TTACCCCAGGTCGTAATAGCCGAGCACAGGAGGAGACTGCAGCTGGGTAGCCGATGCGATAGATGTTGGATGTTGGATGTTGAAATTAAACAATACCCAGGAATTCCCGTTAGCATCATATTAGTTTCGGGCATTTGTCGCCTCTGGAAAATGTGTGTGGGTTTTCTCCAGCGCGGTTTCCTATTGCTAGCAGCATTCATCGCGCTGGCAAAAAGAAAACTCTAAAGATCACGGTACGTGCTGGCTGGTTAAAATAAAATGATATATCGTCGGGATAGTAAGACAACCCTAAAATACCTACCAAATCACTACCTATTGCCGGGCAAGACGGGATAAATATGACTTAAATCGTCAGCAAATAACAGCCTATGTCCCGGTTTCGGCTACTAACAAAGTGATTTCTGCAGGTTAGAATATTGACAACCAGTGTGTAACTATAGAGTCTTGAATAGTCATGGGGTCTAGTAGCAGGATGAGATTCAGCAACTAAAGTATGGTAGAATATTACCGTTGCCACTTAGAAGAAGCTACAGATGACCGAGGGATTTAAGTCTAATGGGGACGGGTCACAGAGGAAAACGCAATATTACCCGTTAAAATCGCATTGGTCGCGCTGCGTGCTCAAAAAGCCCTAGCACTTGGGTATGGCTAACAGCAGGAAAGGCGGTATCTCATCATATTCGAAGATTGGAGCCAATAATAATTGCCAGGTTAGTACCGTTCCGAGGGAACCCGCACAATGAAATACCCCTGTGTACAGTAGAGTATATTACGTATGTCCACCGTTGTGGGCCGTCGAGCAAAAGGGGAATGAATGTTCATGCGTTGACCAGATTTCCTTTTAATTTTGCCCACCCCACAGGGTTCTCATTTGACCACCTTCTGTTGCCAATCCTTTATTATACTCTATCCATCATATTCTAACATTCAGTCTCAAAGTAATTGTCGGTTGACTTGGTCATTGCCCTAAGCAGATATCCTATCGATTCAACTGAATATAGGTATATGCTCGGTGGGTAAAAGTGAAGTGTCATTCTAAACTACAATCTGCCTAGCTATTTATAGTCCCACTTGTTTACACCTATGCATTCCTGATCCTTTGGTATGCCATTTGGAATGGTAGGCCAAGTCTAGGCCAAGCAAGGTACTGTGCGGTATGTGGATTAGGTCAAGATACTCCACTTCTCTGGTCTGGTTGATAACATCGTTCCAACACTGGACCTACTTTAGAAGTGGTAAAAACATGAAGGTCAAGATATTGAAAATAAACGTGCAATTCCAGAATCTAGGATTTATCCCATCCTCCGATACTCAGGTATTGCTCAATTCGAGCGTTCAACCCAACCAATAGCTTGCAAGTCGATGCAGTTCGTATCTATAAGTTGTCTTAAGGCGTTGCAGGGCTTGCTTTTTGTCATTGCATCGGCAGGGTTAGAATCTCCATCGATCCACTTGATATCTGTAATTTGGCGGCATTCATAGGCTTGTCGAAGGCACAGAATGTCAATTATCAATCGTTTCTCTTGCGTAGATCCGAGCCGTACGAGGCAATCGTATAATGACTTCGAGTCAGTGCAGAGTACGATTGGAATATTAGCTTGCAGTATTTGATCCAAAGTTAACTTAATTGCGAATGCAATATCTGAGCCGTAGGCCATAGCATAAAGCTCTGATACTAAAATACTGCGGGTAACACGCTTGCATTTGATAGAACTCCAATGAACAATGTTAGCATTTACGGCAGTAGTGTTACTGTCATTTCTCTTATCGGCTAATACGATAATATAGCCAATTTGTAAAGAGAGGTCCTTATTATTGGCGAATGATGCGTCTGTAAAGACTAGCAGTTAAAGAGATTCTAGATCCAGTTTGACATATTTAAGGCTTCTTGCGGCATTCTCTAGCTGCCAGTTAAGTCACTTGTTAAGAGATTCGGTATCTTCCTTGCTTGGGTTAATCACTTGGGCAGCAAATGATAAATCGAATGAAGCTTCTGGCTGGCAGACAGAGGCAATATAGGTACCTCTTGCGCGTTCTGCAATATATCGATCTTTCAGGGTGCCTGGTGCCTGGGTAGTTATCTTGCCAATAAGTGACAGTTTGATGCATTAGGTCTCCTGGGTAAGAGTAATCCTATCAGGTTCTAGCTTGACCATGCTACCATTGAACTTCAAGGGCTTTTCAATGGTTAACTTTTCGCGGTCTTTAGCCAGAAATTGAGCCTTCCGTAGCTCAATCTCCTCCGATTCAGCGAACGTGGCTTCTGCGAGAATGAGAGTATCATCAGTCTAAAGTCCAACGATGCCGAAACCAGTGGATTCTCTTGAATTGGGGCTATCTATGGTATAGAGTAAGCATGGGTCGAATGTTGATTGGCTCATCCGGAGGTATTCCAGGTGGTGGGAGTGATAGGTTCTGAACCAATGGTTCCCTACTTCAGGGATCCCATAGAGAGGTTTGATAACCTTCATAACAGTATTGCTGGTGAGCCCAAGTTAATCAATAAGTTCCTTCGGTAGGCGCGCGTAGAGTTCTCGGTTAAATTTAGTTGTTGATTGTACGTACGCTTGCGAAATATCGCGAAGATATAGCTGGGAATCTGTTATACTTGTAGCAATGCAGAGAATAAGGCGTTAGCTGACTCGCTGGATTGTAAGAGATTATATAAGGATTAGATCCTTTCCTTAGTCATTATAGGCTTGTATAACCAGTCGTAATTTCTCAAATGCTCTTTCTGTTCCTTTATTCTTAATCTTATTAACAAATCGTAAACTGAAGAGTCTGACCCTTAGTAAAATATCTTCAATTTTGAGGAACTCGAATACTCCTTGTTCGAGTAAACCATTGACTTCCTTTTGCCTTGAATCGTAATATTGTTGGATACCGGGATTTCTCTCAGTTTGCAAGAAGATATTTATAGGCAAAGGGTGCTTTTGTGGACGGCCTGAGCCTCGTTTTTGTAATTGTACAGGTTGCAGGGGCATCAAGGCAGACTTATAACCTGAATTAGGCAATCGGGTTCGTCCGAAGCGTCTAAGGGTAGGTTCTGAGGTTTTCGAGGATTGTCCTTTGTCAATTTCAGGTTCAGTTTGGTTGATCTGGTCCGGTTCTGGAGCTTTCAAGTGCAGTTCTGGATCTTCAGTGTAATATGGCTTGATTACTGTTGATCGAAATGCTGTTGGACCATTGGGTAACTTGACTGTACAGGTCTCCCCTTCGGTTATTAAAAGGGTAAATAGATCAGTCCAGCTGCCTGTTTTTCCTCCGTTCCCTTCTCGCCAGACAAGGACGGGAGAGCTTGGTAGCAGATCGTGTACGGCAGTAGTACGTAAGCCATTTCTCATATTTAATGCATTAGCCAGTTGGCGCTCTGCTCTAAGCTTCTTGATTTCTGTTATAGCTTTTCTGATAGCTGCAGCCCGCTGGGAAGTTGATAGCGAAGATACATCTGAATCAACTATGCAAGGATATGCGCCAAATACCAGTAGGGTAGGGACTAAACCTCCAGGTCCCGCTGAATCGTTTATAGCTTTAAAAGCCATTTGAAGGGCGATCTCTTTGTCGATATCAGGGATTTCAGCAGTGATAATCTGGTAGGCTCGGCGCAGTGGGCCATGGTATCTTTCAATTATGCCTATCGAATTGTGTACTTCAATGAGGATGCTTCTTGTGCTAATATTTATAGTTCTTGCATAGGTCTTGAATTCTTTGCTTACAAAGTTCTTTCCGGCGTCATGTGTGATCAAGTCTGGAGGACCTAAATAAGTATCGATCCAGCACATTCGCAGCATATCCCAGGTATGTTTAGCGCTAATGTCTTTTAATTATCGACTGGATTGGAAACGAGTTGCTTCGTCAATAACGTAAAGAAGAGGCATATTGTCAATATATATAATATTAACAATAATGTTGAAGTTAAAATGTGCCTCATCCTTGAGATTAAATCGGAATCGACCAGGGGATTTACTAAACTTCTGACAATAGTAACAGAACTTAGTAAAATGTTCTAACGCGGCTGTATTTGGCTCATAACTAGCACTTCTTAAAAGCGTCTGAAGTCTATTAACAGATAGATGTCCGAAACGGCAATGTAATTTCCGTAACTCAATGTCTGTCAGGAAACAAGGATTCATATCAAATGAAGAGGTAAGGTATGAAGACAGAGCAGAATTCTATAGCAGAAATAGGTGGCCAAATCGGCGAATAACAGGGATCTCAACAAATGATTTAGTAACAGAGTTGAAAGGCGTTGCAGGCTTCGGAGTCACGATAACATTTTTGAGGTTATTGTAGTATATTCCGAGATTGTCTATATCTGCTAGGCATAGCAGAAATGGGGTATCAGCGTTAACAATATAGAATTGGATGTTACCAATTGGGGTTGAAACTTTTGCGGAGCCAATTGATGAGATTATTCTAATGCCAAATTGGACATTTACCTGGCCAGCTGTAGAGGTATCCAATGTGATATTTTCTGTGTTTTGAAGTGCCTGGAATTGGCCATATCCAGCTGTAGACTTGCTGGAGGTACCAGTATCAATCATTATTTCCATACAGATCTTAGAGTTGTACCGGGTACCGCTCGCGGAAGTGGTAGTGGCGTTATAGCTGAATGGGTCGATGTCAACTATCGGGTTCAAAGGCTTTCGATTATTAATACAATGGATAAAGGATCGATTAGCAAGTTCAGAGGTTGTAATCATTGCTTGTTCAGTAGTAATTTGGCCGAATGAGGTAACGAATGTGTCGATAAGGTCATATTCTTCCTCAATAAGGTCTGTTTCAGCTTCGGAAACAAAAGTTCGGGTATCAGTTACAAGTGTTTCAAAAGCCTCTATTTCCTTTTTATTGGTATCTCTTTTACAATATATTATATACTGCCTGTATCGCTTGCTGAAGTCGCCATTCATTCCTTTGTCATTGTTAAAACGCTGTCGATATTTCTCTTTGGATTGTCTTTGTTCTTCTTCAGTGTGTCTCCAGGAGCGGCAAGTTGATTTTTAATAGATATAACACTTGCCCGCTGGGCTCTTTTTGCCTTGATTGTAGTTCCTGTTCTGGTTGTAGTACCTTCTATCAGTGTAGAAGGCTTCTTCTCGGGTATCTGTGTGCGAAATTCCGTGTTTTTGTGGGTTCTCCTTCTCCCAAGTACTGATTGAGGATTGCAGTTTGTTAATTAGTACTGCTAGGTCTTCAGGTAGATCAGCAATGGCTATGCGGCAGGCTGGTACTCCCTGGCAAGCTGTAATAAGCTTGTTAATCAGATTTATGTTGCTTCGGAGTTCAGGGTAGAGGCCATAACGTTGTTTTAGGAGGTTACTGAGTAGGAGCTGAAAGCCTTGGTAGATTGAGATTAATCTTTCAGAGTTATCATTTATAACCTTCTGCAGTAAGATAACGTTCCACTTAGTCAAGTTCTGCCGGTAGAACTCAGGTCCTTCAAAGAACTGGCGTAAGTGATAGCATGCTTCTTGAAATATCTTTAATGATAATTTACTGCTGTAATAGTGGTCTTCAGCAACTCCCTTAAGCATTGTTGGCAATGCAGCTTTGTAGCCATGTAGTAATAGGCCAGCTCTAGAGCAAATGTCATAAAAGATGTTAAGTTTGAAGTCAAGGCTATTGTTGTCCGTACCGCTATATTTCTGGTCTTCTGTATAGATCTTTGTGACTGAGGCAATTTCCTTGGAAAGGTCGTTCTTGGGCCTCATAGAAAGTAGATGATTGTTCTCTTGGGCAACGTGGTTAGTCTCGAGGGCGAGATAGTCAGCTTCAGGAACGTGACTGATTCCTGGGGTGGAAGAATTGGAGGGATTGGCTTTGGGAGTAGCGAAACAGTCCTCTGGAGAGACTGGAGGATCTGGATAGTCTCTTCTCGCTTGCAAATTGCTTTTGAGGGAGGCTGAAGGGTTTGAATAACCCTCTACAGCTTGTGTATGTTCTTTTAGGCTATCGCGTGTTAGGTTCAAACGTTTTCGGAGCATAGCAGTAATCATTAGTAAATCAAGTTCTTCTAGAGCAGCTTTAAGCTCTTCATCAGTCCATTCATGGAATTCATCTTGCTGGAAAATGTCGGAGAGTATATTATAGAGAGGATTTCTCGTATTGTAGCGGCAGACGAATACTTCTCGCTGAACCAGGTTATTTCGGAGGTTCATTCTCGTTTGAGGACTGAGTTGTTTGAAATGTTCGGATTTCCAGCCTTCGAATTGTTCTCGGAATGTTATCTATAGGTTGTAATCAAGGATAGTATTTTCGAATTGTATATTTATCGCATAGATATTGAGATCCTGTTTTGTGGCTGTACTCAAATCGATTTCCCAATCCTTATCTCCACTTGATGAGGACTGCGGTGGTTGAGACATGGTAGTGCAAGAATGGAGTGTAACAAGGTATAAGGGGGTAGGTAGAAAGGAAAAAGAGATAGTATAGGGGTTAGTAAAGAAGAGAAAGTACTGAAATAAGAAAGACAGGAAGATAAACAGATAAAAGTAAAAAAAATAAGAGAAAATATGAAAAGTAAAGGATAGTGGTCAAAGATTGAGGTTTTTGGTGTTTTTGAACGTATTTATAGACCTTCGGGCTCTATAAATGATGATTAGCAAGAGAGTGCGCTTCTAGGCGATAGTTGTTCAATAGTTTTGAGGCTGTTGAATGTCCGTTCGAGCTTCGAATTGTCACAATCTTCTCCTTCAACTGATATAGGGCAATAGCTAGGCGATCATGGAAAACAGCTTCTTAGGGCTGTTGACTCAGTTTCGAGCTTCGCAGTTGCGTATATCCTGATCTGTACGTCTACTGATCAGTGTCGGTTGACTTGGTCATTGCCATAAGCAGATATCCTATCGATTCAACTGAATATAGGTATATGCTCGGTGGGTAAAGGTAAAGTGTCATTCTAAACTACAATCTGTCTAGCTATTTATAGTCCCACTTGTTTACACCTATGCATTCCTGATCCTTTGGTATGCCATTTGGAATGGTAGGCCAAGTCTAGGCCAAGCAAGGTGCTGTGCGGTATGTGGATTAGGTCAAGATACTCCACTTCTCTGGTCTGGTTGATAACATCGTTCCAACAGTAATAATTCCCGCCAATCTGATGGCGTTGGAAGGCCGTGCCACACCACTGAATTGCCCTTAGTCTTAACGGTACAAGTATCTAAAGGGATACACGGCCCTTGATTCCTTGCGTGGCCTCGACGAGATTCCATGTCGTACCGACTAGCCCTCACTTATATTACGCCAGTCATCTCTAGGAAGTCCCCCAGGGCATTTTCCTTAATGCATAGACATGGACATGCGATAATTTGAAAAGAGACAGGGAAATAATGATACCATAATCGTCTTAAATCATGGAGATGTGGCAGGGACATCGCCCAAAGCGTAACCTATAAATGCTCTCGCCGTGCCACCGCAGACCGAGTAACTGGATAAGACCTTCCTGCCCGTGAAGATCCAAAGTGAGCAAGTTCTCATCTCAATATGTACAGTGCCTGGTTCGCTATAGTACTAGCTAGCATTGTTGGGGCCTTGTTTGTCTCCGATGACGCTGTGATTCAGTCTACTCCGAGCTGCTCGGAGCCTCTAACCAAGTTTGGGCCGAACACTGCTGTAACCGTCATGGCATCTTCCAGTGCTTATGCCTCAGTTTCTCTCGCCAGATGCAATATGAGGTCACAACGACCAGTTTCTTCAAGTATGACCATCATTTCTCAGTTCGTGGGCTCGACGTCAGGTAGAAATGGATTGCGAAATGGAGCCCATCCTTTCTCCCTCAGTGTCATGGCGTTCACTCCAGCCCAGTCAAGTGCAACAACTGGAATTAGAAACGTCAAAAGCAGAAGCAGAAGCAGTTCGGTCCGTGCAAAGACGATACCGTCCGACACACTGGTTTCCACACCATCCGGAACGTCGTCAGCCAACCAGGCTTTGTTTACAGGGGCGGGAGTCCAGGGAATGGGTGTATCCGCACTTGTAGTGGGTTTTGTTCTACTGTCTTCTCTTTGGTTCCTTTCGCACTAGGGCTCCAGTGAGCCCTTGTATATTGCTGTGTCTCCTAGTGTTGTGTGGATCTGTTACTTGGCAGGGCAGCTTGTAGGTAGAATGATCATTAAAGTTAGCATGTACAGGGCGAGAATGTCGCAACGCCTCATACGATGTCTACAAAACTTCTGCGCTCCTGGATAGCACATCGCCAGACTAGTAGAACTAGTATAGCTTTCTCTCTCGTGCGAAATGAATGGGCCTTCTTTATGTACTATAAACAACCCCAGTTTCAAAGGTATGGCTTGTGTATGTTCTTCATTCGGGAATGGACGAAAACCCGACCAGGCCTACCGCAAAACCGGCGACAGAGAATACTAGCAGCCTACACGAACAAATAGCCAAGTTCAAAACATTGGAACCCAAAAATTGAAACATGAATAGTAGGATTTGCGATTGGCTATAGGGAAGTGCTGTGACGTTTGCAGCTTCCGATGGAGTCTCCTTACTACTTAAAGGGACAGTCTAAGATGCTGACCTCTGCATTCATGTCGCCCTGGATTTCCAGAACTCGTAGCCTTCAGAGGCAGCAGCAACAGCATCTTTCCACAATCCAAAACAAACTAGAGCCGACCGAAAACACCACGGCGAGCCATGTTGTGGCCATCATCCGTGGTCCAAGACTAGAAGAGATCCCTGTTTGTCCCAAAAAACTGTTTATGCCTCGCGTGAGCAGCTGATACACCACCGTCACCGTCACAGACGCTCCAATGATCAAGAGAGATGATACCTATCAGCCGTCAGAACTGCCTTACTATTTCTCCTATTGGCTTACCGCTGAAGATATGATGGCGACTAGCTTTGCCAATGGGAACCGAACCAGGCCGGCAACAATAACAATAAACGTGGTAATGAATGCCATCACGTATGCCACCACAGTCCAATGTAACACTTGGCGATATCCCTTCAAAACTGGCTGCGTCAAGCTTGGTAACACACCGTCTGCCTGGCCCAGCCGGTTGGAAAGAAGGTCGACTAAGTCGAAGGAAAAGGAAGCACTGGGCCCTGAGCAGTTCGAGGAGGTTTGGGTATCTCGCTTTCCTTCGCAATAGCTCCACAGACCGACCACGTAATATTCTGGAAAGAGTGAATGCAGCCGGTCAGATAGATCCTGCACATGCCCGCTGACCCGGCCGACCGCATTCTCTGCCGGCCCCGAGATGCTGTCCACGAGGTTGCCCTGTTAGAGCAGAGAGGAATCTCCACTAGGAATATCAACGGATCTTCCTAGATTGGGATAGTCTACTTTCGGCAATTCCGTTAGATTAACCTTTGATATTCCATTAGCTCCATATTTTAGACCGGGTGTGTTGAGCGGAGTCACCTTCATGAAAAAGAGGTCTTGTGGGGAAGATGTCGATGTGCAAGCGGAAAAGACTATAGCTAAGCAGATTAATGCCGCGGTGGACAGTACCAATGGCACAAGTTTCAGAAAAGAGAGCATCCTGAAAGTATAGGAGATCTGGCTCCGGCTGGAGGCGTCTGCACAAACAGGGCGTAGGGCGTGTCTATTATGTACACAGGCTTGTGGTACGAGATGGTAGTGTCTTTGTATAGAGCCGCGGATGTGTGCCTGTTTTGGTACATAATTATAGCCAGTGCTTTCTTAACGGCCGAACATACAATCTAAGGCGTGGTGTGCTCTTGGGCTTATTAGAATGATACCTACCACCCTCTAGGAGCGAGTAGCATACACTGAAGTCCTTCTAGGGGCAATTATTAACTGCAAGTAGCCCGATAATAGAAGGGTCCTGCAACTGCGGGTTTGCATCTCGATGTGGGCGCAGTTGACCAGCACCATCACGAACTTGGTGCTCGAACCTCGCACCCAATTGAGATATTATCCACCTTGCTTGCAGGGAGTCTATTCTTGTGCCTGACAGACACCCAGCAAACTCGTCCTATGAGATGCCCGCGGAGGTAGTGTGAACAGACGAACGCTCATGTTTCACAAGCAGGTTTACAGTACATACTTTCGGCCTATGAATAACTTATCTTTTGGTAGATGGTCAGATCGCTCGTTCTTTTTGAGAAACGTCTCTCCCATAGCCATGTCCAATCGTACCAGCAAAATGTCAACACACCTGGCCAACTGTCTCAAGGAGGCGCCTCTATACTGTCACGATGGTGGCTACTAGGCACTTAATAGACTCGGTGACTACCATCTGCTCCCTAACTCATTTACTCACGAGCCCGTCAGTAACTCCGTCACAGCTTCCCAGGTATGTACGTGCTCATCTCATCGTGGTTGGTTTAAACCTTCCATGGACCGTGGTCAGCAACATCGATGCCATAGAAACTGACAAGAATCAAGGATATTTGGCCGGTCACGGCCTAGTGAGAGCTCTGAAAATATTGGCCCAATCGAAAGCAGTTCTTCGCTTTTCCCTGGCCAGCCTGTTGGGTCGTTTGCTCCATCCCAAAGCGTTCCTATGAAGACGACAATGCCAAACGCAGAGCAACACAAACAAGATACGATTGGTATAATGAGTGATACTTTGCCTAGCACGCGTATAAATATACCGATTCCTGCGCGCACACGGAGGCCAATCAATCCAAGCGCTGCGAATATATTCCCTGCCCCATTCCAGTCCTGTCTCTCGCCCTCCGAAGTATCAACTGGCGACGATGGAATAGACAGCCCAATAATCACTACCAGTTTCGGTATACTGAGCGAGCCTGCGGACATTCTTCACGCTGTTACCGAAACGGGACCTCCCACCATCAATTTCAAGGGTTTCAAGACTTTCGCGATTCCATCTATCCTCACGGAGGCAGATAAAACGCTTTTAGGGAGCAACATGAATACAGTGAGTTCATTGGGTTGGATAGTGTCCCTGAAGTCAGATCGCTCTCTTTTAACCGGTTGGAATGCCTACGAGACGGACACATACCCGCTAGGCTTCAATCCCGCCACAACACCTGCACCACTAACAGAGGCTTTACCAACACCTGAGGCAAATATCATCACATCTATTCCAGCCGACGGAGTCAGTTTCAATCAAAAGGCTGGATCGCCTGCATACATAAAGCCTCTTCAGGCGGAAGACTCATCTCCAGCTCACAGCACGTCACACACACGTCGACTGTCACACCCACAACCAACCACGTCGACACCTACTCAAGCGGTTGAATTTTCGTCAAAGAGCTGGCGAAATAATGCTCCTATTATTAAGACCCATACAAAGTCTCTCATCACACCTCTGCCCTCTGGTCAAGAAGACGGTAATTATAGCGGAGAGCCATTGAAAGTTGCGACAGAAAGGCGGACGGTTCCCACCGGTATTCCTACGCCGACATTTGTTAATGAACACGGTGAAGGTGATCTTGTTCTGCTTCCAAGCAACACGCCGCCTCCCCGATCGAGTAACTCAGCCAAAACCGAGGGGTTAAATAACCCCGGATCAAGTACGACGAGGCCTGCCAGGCCAATGTATGATGACAGAATGACGCCAGAATCAATACATATAGTCTCTGAAAGCCCTGTAAGTACCACAGGTATGTGCACGACTCCTGATGGCCCGGATCAGAGGCCATCGACAACGACTACGGCATCCGAGACCCCGCCAAGATCCGTCGATAACGATTCCGTGTTTGACCAACTTCGAAGAGCACAGCCTGTATCCAAGCAAAACTTGAAAATTTCAGCAGGTGTATCCTCTGCTGGAACTGCGATTTTCATTCTGACATTTGTGTTGCACCGTTTCGTTTACCGGTGGGTTGATTGACAGACGACGTACAGGGGTGATATGGATTGGCCGTGAACAAAGCGCGAACTCGGAATTGCGCATAGAGCTGCTTCCACGTATGTCTCATGACCCAGAAGTTTCTTACTTCTCTGATGGCTCGTGAGCCTTTTTACGTGAGCTTATTTCTGTACTCGGAGAGTGTACGGCTGTCAAAGGTCAGCGTGGCTGGTTCGTGAAACTTTAGCGTATGAAGGGCTATTTATTAGGTAGTCTGTAGCCCAGTATTATCGATATGGCCTATCGATATGAATTCTTCAGCTCATACACTCGCTTAATGTCAACTACCAACAATGTCCTTCCCGCCCGAAATATCCGCCGGACATCAAAGATAACTAGAGATTTTCGAATGAGCCGTTCTGCATCCAGCACACGTTCTAGTGCTGCGTAGATCACAGACTAGGTCTGTTCCAGTAAATGAAAGACTGATCGTCCCCATTGGTCGACAACATACAGGTGATTTTTAATGGACGCATTAACTTTAAGTAAAGAAAGAAATATCTTCACATACCCTTCTTCTACATAATATGTGTTACGGGCTTGGCAGTGGGTAGGTGCGCTTCTACCCGCCAAGACCGTTTAGTAGGACGGTTACCAACTGAGCTACTAAAAAGACCAGAATACCAAGTCAACGACTTGGTACGCGCATCGCTCTATATAGTGGTTCTTGGTCAGTTCGTCACACTTTGTTGTTAAGGGGGTGAATCAGGTTTCGAACCCGACTATAGACTAAGTAATTAGGTGAGGAGGCTTTGTTAGTTAACTAGAGCCATGGCCTGTGTTTGTGTGTGCCTTGATGGATGTGAGACATAGTCACCCATAACTGCAGAACAACTTCATCAATATGGATCCTTTTGTAACGAACGGCTACGCTGGCGATAAGAAATCGCTTCAATGTAGGATATGCATTCAACGAAGAAACTAAGCTAGTCCCGATCGGGTAGTTAGGTCATAGGGTATCGCGAAGGAACGTCTTCGGAGGCTGGTCACAGTCCGTGACACCTTTTATATATCGTCGCCCCTATATGCGGACCCTATATTCAGTTAATCACCAGGTCCACATTCCCCCGTCCAGCCACCAACTAACTCCTTGATCCAAAGGTAAATCATGCCCAGTCTGGCTACCTCGCTATCGACTTCTCCCCGCCATAATCCCGACCGTCTCTGCTCGTCCTTTGTTTCTAGTCTACCCGTCCGTCAGGATTCAAGTATTATGGGGACTCATCCAGCAGCGTAGTTTGCACTAGTTTGCATTGAAGATTCCAGGCATTTCAAGTCATGTATATCACGCGTATAGGCCCATACTGAGAAGGCATTGGCTTTTACCGCAACCATTTTTGCCTCTCTCATTGTGCAACTCTGTTGGCCAGCTAACATAAACCTGAATTCTATTGAGAATCCAATCACCCGTTTTTAATATAGCTATATCCCCAAGGAGGCTAGCCTTTTATTTACAGGGTATATTAGTAGTTAAGGTTTTAGTAACTAGTATTGCAAAAACTTATTTTTATGCCCAGATTCACATCTTCGCATGATTGTTTCAAAGTCTATATGCAATCACCATAGCTTCAAAACATCCAATAACGAAGGTCAAGACAATTGAAATTGCAAGGAATATGAATCGAATATGGATAGTATTGGATCACTAGCAGTGCAGATATCAGTATTATATAAATAGATATTGTTCGCATTCCGGAAAAATGCAAGTGGCTGACGGACGGCCTGTCAAAACAGCTAGATTGGAGGGTTTAATTGGCAAATAAACCACCCCTCCCGTTTATTTGCTGTTTTGAGCATCTTAGTAATATCGAATTTACTGCAGGCGATCTCTATTTTGAGACCTCTTCATGTTGAGGTGGTCCATACTACTCATAATGGCTGATACAAACGTACTCCAGGCTTCTCGAATCATATGCTAGTCTGCGCAGACCCTGAAAGTGGCACCGCGCACACTATTGATTAAAACCTGTTTTGGAGTATATAGAGACGTTATCGCTTCTCTATAGTCTAAATTGACCTTATCGCGCTGACTGTGACATCCTGAAGTCAGGGAACTTCCCGGTGCGGAGGAACGTTCGGGAGGAACGTTCCGGTTAGTTAGTATAGGATCTAGAGACCCTCCGGTAGGCATTCCTGCCTGAGGCAAAGCCTCGGGCAGTATATAGAGCCTCTACATCCTCCCTTCTAGATAGCCTTTCTTCCCCATGGGAAAATTCCTTGACTACGAGTCATAAACAAACTAGTCTTATATCAAGCTCCTTTGTAGACCGTCACACCGACTATCTACCAACAGCATCGTTTACACTCCTTTAACCATGTCCTTTTCAAACCTACCACCTGAGTTGGTACTCTTTATAGCTGACACCCTTCACAGCACTCAGGATATATATGGACTGATAAGAGTGAGCAGAGGTCTTTATCGTTTATTGAAAAAATATTTATATCAGTACAGCGTGAACTATAAAAGCAGTTGCGGGCTTAGTCGTGCAGTGAAAACAGGGAATCTGTCCGCGACATGCTATTTCCTCAGCCTGCCACGGGTGAACGTGCATATTCGAGACGATACTGGACAGACAATTCTTTATGCTGCAGTACAGCGGCCTGACAGGTTTTATATTATGATGATCCTTCTACGTGATGGTCGCGTCAACATAAATGCAACTGATTTCCAGGGTCGAACACTGGTATCTTATGCAGTATCTAATGACGATTTTTACCAGCTTAGCATGCTCTTACGACGCAACAATATTAATGTTAATATGAGCGACGTTGAAGGCCAAACACCTTTCTATTTTGCAGTCGATTACGGGAACAAAGATATTGTAAAGAGGCTTCTTGATGACGCACGTTTAGACCCGAATCTGGGTAAGAGTATGTTACCTTTAGCACTTGCTGCAGGCAGAAAATCGCTGGAGCTATTGAAGATGCTACTGCGGGACCAGCGCGTGATTGTCAACAATCAAACATACAATCGTATGCATCCATTAATCGCGGCGGTCGTTACGGGACGTAAGGAAAACACCTTTCGGTTGCTACATACCCCTAACATCGACGTCAACTGTTGTTGGGCTGCTATAAGTGCACTTATGTGGACAATCCCATTCAAGCGAACCACGATTGCGGCCGAGCTCCTAAAATGCGACCTGATTAACGTAAATCGCCAAGACGATTCTGGTCGAACACCATTAATGGTCGCTATCCAATATGAAAACAATGAATTATTTATGACCTTGTTGAACAGGGAAGAAATTGATCTCACCCTTGCAAGTAGTAGTGGTAAGAGCGCGTTAGACTACGCAATGAAGTCAAATAGTTCGAGGATAGTGGAGGATATCAGAGAAAGACTGTCACTTACCAGTTTACCGTGTATCCAATGTATGTAAACTTGAAATGCAACGACCATATTCGATCATTTAGGAATGTACCTATTATAACTATACGTCATCTGCATGACTTGACACAAGTTACAGGAAGATTTATACCATGAAGACGGGTTAACGGAGCAAATGGGCAACAGTACCCTTCCACTTGCGACCTGCATTTATCCGAATACTGGTCCGATATGTCCTCCAGATGGCCCAGGCGAGCAGGTGACAGTTCCCACAAAGAAGGAAAACCAGGTCTGGTTTCGCCTGTATCCCATGTTCCTGGAAAAGAGGCAAATGGTGTGAGTCTGCTCTTATATGGGAGGGCGTGATCACTGAAAGGCTGTGGACCGTGGAGCCACGGAGGATCCATACTAACTACGATGTCCAGATAAGAACTGCGTCCGCAAAGGGGATTCACACAACGGTAAAGGAATAGACCCGGGAAATCTACCTGGTCCAGAGGCGCAAACTTCTGTACAACCACAAGAAATGAGCGGTGATCCCAGAGCCCAGTATCAGCATCAAATTTCTACCTCTGACAACGGCCAGACACACCATGCTGAGCTCTCTGAGTTACAGATAGTGAAATTAAAAGCACCCCTTCAAAGTAGGAACTCACAAACGACACGAAACCAGAATGGCAAACACAGGGCCCACACTTTCGTCAGCTAATGTGAAATGGCTTAGCGGCTCCTGCTCTTCCTTAATACTAGACTGAGGGGTAAGATTGAGCTATGGGGCAAAAATATCCATAGAGCATCCGCTACACCGCAAGATGCCTTTCATGGTCAAATGATTCCACACATCATCAGATATTTGATGCACTCCATTATCCGTCTTTCACACCTATTCTCCCGTTAATGATATATTCTGTTGCCACACGGGCAGTGATGTATCCTGGGAAGTAATATCCGCCAATATGGAAGTTAACTACTTTGGTGTGTTTGACCGTTCTATTAGCTTGAATGAGTTCTCCGGTCATTCATGAGCAAATCTTTTTCATATTAACTTCCGATGATTATTTCTGGACTTGAGGCAAGTAACTAGCGAAGGCTTTATCCATGTCTATCTATTATCCTCATCCGTCCGCTTTTGGCTTATCTTGTCATGAAGGGTTCCAAGAAGGAGGGATGCCGGTGAAATAGCAACATCGGATATGCCAGGAGTTGGCACATTGGTAGATCTCGAGCTGAATTCAACGCGTGGTCTACGCTACATGCAAAACACTAATAAACAAAAAGAGAAGAGACAGAGAGCTGTAGGAGGGTAGCAGCACCCCGTCGGCCACAAAAACTGCCCTACCGTGCTGTAATGCAGGCTTGGCCATTGCCCCGGGGCAAGGTTTATTTAATTAGACTTGCCCAGCGTGGACTTAAAAGCAATTCCAGATAGAATAATTCCAGGCCTTCCTATAGTAACTTTTCTTGTGCTCATCTACATCTGAAGTTTGGTTACTGCTGATTTTTCGGATTAACCAAATATGTATCCCCCCTCCCCGGTTGGGCTACGTCTCTGACAAAAGAAAAATAAATTGAAAGGGTTGAGCAACATATAGTCTATCGCGTCCAGTACTCACTCCAACGTCAACTGAGACTTAGAATGATGTCACAATCTCAATGACTGCGCAAAACGCCCAACTGAGGAAAAAAGTGCAGGTGGAAAATTAGATGCCGTATCGATCATCCAGTCATCCCGAGTCACCAAATGTAGGCTCCACATTGTCAGCGGCCCTTGAGTATCGGCCTCTTGCTCAGTATCCATGTTTACTATGCTTGCTAGCCGCGTAGTTGTACAGCAAGTGGGCGACTGTACGCTGGCTCGGATCAGGTTGAACCGTTGTTGGGATCGTGACCAGGGCGGACAACTCATACATTCCTGCATTTGATGCACCGACCTGTTCTAATTGCAATACTCCAGGTTATACTAGAACTAGATGTCCTGTATCTAGAGATAATTGAATTATTTTCTAATTCGTTGAATTGGGTTGTTGGGAATAGATTCAATTTGATCAAGCGTCTCGGAATCCAGTGGGGTAGCCGGATCACCCGTGAAATACGTTAATAGTTAGTTAGTTAACCAAAGGGATGAGTAACTTATCTGCAATTCTGCATGATTTGCGGGTCACCTGACTTCCTAATCGGGATTAGTGCAGCAGCCGGAGCTAGGAGTCGTCCGTCATAACCTAATTAGGATAACGCACGCTAGTTAGGTAGTGGCAATATTCTAGACTCAGGAACTGTGCCCATTGGTGCATATGCAGTCAGCGAAAGTATTTATTCCTTCGACTACTGTGGGGACACTAGCCCCTAAGTCACTTCGCCCAGGTGAACCAAAGTACCAAACGTACTGCTCCAGTCCGAGGTGAAGGCCTCTTTTGTCCTGCGTGCATAGAGGCCCATGCATCTTGGTCATGCTCGAGCTACTTAAGGAGGTAAGATCTGCACATCATGCATGGCTCCGCTACTTTAACTATTCCATCTTGAGATAACGCACCCTAAGTTAGTGCTTATTCCCAGCTCAGCCGTCCAGGGCTCCTCAGCTAGCCATCGTTGATGTAGTCCCAGTATCGTCCCATGTAAGAAATTGTCACGTGGACGAGGTCACGCGTCCTACCTGCGCAAAGGTAGAGTTGGAGGTGGAGATGGTACCTAAATTAGTACTAAATGTAAAGGAAAGGTTACATCCCTATACCCGGATTTGGTTTATCGTATAATCATCGAATGGAAGATTGGGGAGGTATTATTCGACTAATGGGAATATTTAAAGTGATCCATGTCAACCCAGCCAAGGCGGACCAGCAAGGCGGACCAGTAAGGTGGTCTTCTGGCAAGCTTGCCACAAGCCCCCACATGCATGCTCGTATGGGTTGGTTTTAAGGAAGGCCTTTTCAATCGCGGCCATCGAGGTGCAGTGGTTACAAGCAAAATATATGGAAGAGCGACCATGTTTCTGGAGGTTTTAGCTGGAGTAAATTTCAAAGGAATGAAGGTTAAAGCTAAAGCAACCGTAGAGACGGAAGTCGAGGCTTCGTTACAGATAGAGGAATTGAGAAATTGAAAGTGTCTGGGAAGCTCGGGGACGAGACTATCTTTGAGATTGCTGTAGGGATGCTCTAGAAAGTGGAGGAAGTTTGCAGATATTCTTTCTCACTCGAGGATTTGTGGGAAGAAGGCACTGTCTCTGCCACTTTCATGCAAGGAACAACAACGAAGACGGGGCGTGAATTAACCCTGGATTGAGATGCAGCCTGTGACCTCCTGAAATCAGGGAACTTCCCGGTGCGGAGGAACGTTCGGGAGGAACGTTCTGGTTAGTTAGTATAAGATTTAGGGACCCTCCGGGAGGCATCCAGGAAGGTTCCTGGATGCTTTGCAGGTATACCTGCCTGAGGCGAAGCCTCGGGCAGTATATAGAGGCTCTAGATCCTCCCTTCTAGATAGCCTTTCTTCCCCATGGGAAAATTCTTTGACTACGAGTCATAAACAAACTTGTCTTTTACTAAGCTCCTTTGTAGACCGTCACACAGCCTCAAGCCCAAATTTAGACAAACTAGCTTTTCTATTTATATATGCCTAGCTAATCACTTTCTTTGAACTATCTCAAAAATACAAACCCCCGAACCTTCATACCAAAAAGAAGAAAATCCCGCGTGGAAATCCCATCCTCCCGGATACACCCCGTTGTGGAGACACTTTCCACATATCTTTCCCTAATATTCTGGGTTAATAGAAAACAGCATACGGCTGTCATAGGCAAAGGGGGTATCAGGTAAATTAGCCGAAAACCAAGTTGGCTGTAGCGACTAGACCAAGAAGCAGTGTAATAAAATCAAGGCAGTGTCAGACACTGTATTCTGGTTCAGTCTCTATTTATAATATAAGTTTCTAGAGTCTGAAAGATAGAGAGCGTATAGATTATAAAAATAGAATATAATAGTATCGCCCTCGTGGGCTATAACAGCCTAGAGTTGGAATAATGACTTACTATTATAAAAATGCAATTTTTTGGTTGATAAAGGCCCTCATATTTAGCCCGCGGGCAGCAACCGGCGGTGCGCAGGCCGCTTACCGAATACGTGGTAAAGAGATATTCCTAGGCGATGTTCTTATTAGTAATACAGTAATCGAATATGATTTTGGCAGACAGTATTCTAGTTGATATCGACCAAAGACTGGAGTCAAGGAAATACTCAGTCACCTTCTCAATGGCCTAATGGCATGCTGTGTCCACTCCGAATCCCAAACGCAGATAATGCAATAATGCAGTACTACTACGGCGCAGGGGTCGGTTACGGAGTGGGTACTATTCAGGCCGCTAATATTTATAATACAGTACTAACATACGGGGCTGAGACTTTGGTAATGCAGCTGAAAATAACTAGTAAGAAAGTCGCTCAAGGGACTGCCCACTCGACAAGATGCTACTTCAGCTGCGGTTTCAGCTTGTTGTGTGAGCGTGATCAGCGTAACTAACTAGCATATGTAACCCTCTCCAACACACGCAATCCTACTGCGTATGCCTGTGCAGTGACGGGCTGCCCCCCTTCACTGCATGATGCGGAAATCACTGCACAAGGGCGCATTTGGCAATCTATATTGCTAATTACCTCCCCGTGACGTGTTGAACGAATTAACTGTTAAAACCTGTAGGATCCCAGGGATCTCGACCGATTCCTTTCTCAATACCTACTCCGAACTAAAAGATTGTCTAAATTGTCCACCATGACCTATACTCCGAACACAAAAGAACTTGGTAAGAGAAGAAGAGAGGCAGATAGATAACTTGAACGATGGTTGACTAATGCTTGTAATTTACAACCTTCCTCCCCCAGAGCTTATGCAAAAGCTTCTGAACAAAACCTTTAGCTCCGAGGACGATGAGTTCCTGATGGGCCTGCTAAATGCAGTCCAGAAGGGTACTGCCACAGACTACACCAAGGCCCACGGGTTCGATTTCAAAGAGATCAATTGGCGCATTATCAAAGAAATGTCCAAGCCTGGGCCTTATTTCGATCTTCGGATGGTTGGGGGTGTGTATAGGTTCGACGATAACGACCTAGGTTTTTACGAATTGCTCGTGGATTCATCAAAGAGGACTATTTTGGGTAAACTTTGGCCCTTGTTTCTTCCCTCCACTCCCTTAGCCTTTTATAGCGAAAGATGGACTAATGAATTGCGTTGTAGTGGACGGGGACCCCACCGACTCGATCAAAGTCAAGGGAGGCTTGGTCACCTTTTCGACCAAATCCCATCATCAATTTGAACTGTCTTTTACGGGATCTCAGATGCTCGGAGAGGGAAAGTCCAACCCGTCCTTTGCTGGTCACTGCACTGCTAGCGGAGTGGATAGTAGGGTCTCGATCACTGGGCGCAAGTTCTACCTATGGGGTGACGTCCAGGATCGGGGGGATGATGAGATTGACCACAGCGCGAAGGGAAGTAAAACAGTCACCGAGCATAAGTTAACGGCAGTTGAAAATGCACGAGACGAAGCCGCCATCAACTCGCTCGCCGTGGCGATTGACTTTATGAGCACGAAGTATACCCCTCCCAAGGATATTATGTACCTGGCTGCAGTGGATAAAGGAGACCTCTATCTAGAAGGCATCCATATTACCGCGACGTTGTTGGGAATTGGAGTGGGGGGGCTTATGACGGGGATTACAGGAGCTATCGCCGGAGCTCTCGGCGCCCAGTCATCTCGAGTGATCTCGGCGGCCGTGAAAACAAGATATCAGACCAAGCAAATGCGAAAGATGAAGGATTACATTGCGATCAAACCGGTGAGCTTGCAAGGATGGCTGAATGAAAAGGTGGAGATGTTCGTCAACACGTATTCTAGAGACAACCTAGAGCGCTCGGACATGGTCGACGATGTTGTTGGAAAAATAGAGACCGAGTACAAGCTCGAGGCTAGTGGCCAGTTGAGAAAATGGGTTAGAAGGAAGTTCTCGAAGTTTCGCCATCTCTTCAAAACGGAATATAACAGCACGTTCGATACAGCTGTGGCGGATAAGTTCAAGAAGGAGGTATCAGCTCCGTATCTCAAGGGACTTATTGAGAGGCAGCGAGACGAGAGACTCGTCACCAAAGACTTGCCAACAGAGATAGCGAAGCTACAAAAAGAGCAGGAAAAAATGGAGGCACGGAAGAGAAAGGAGCTGGAAGATGCGGGCAAATTGCCCATTGGCGAGCAAAACCAAAAGAGAGAAGAAATTCGCAAGAAATACGAGGCTGATCGGGAAAAGATTGAGAGGAGACTCAAAGACAACAGCGAAAAGACAATCGAGCTGAAGCAAAAGGATCTAGGAAAAGACATGAATGGCATGGTCAAGGATTTGCAGAAGGAAGCCGAGGTGCGTCGCCAGAGGGAAGCAGAAGCCCAGAAGGAAAGACGTAGGAGGTGGAGGGTATAGGAATGCACTAAAAAGAGTTAAACTGGCATTATCTTAATGAATGTACCGGAGGTATACTCTGGTTGTCTATTCCAGATGTCACACATCTAATATATCCTAACCAATTCATTTTAAACACTCTCGAACTGGTAATCAAATTCCAGATATGGCGACTGGACGCCAGAAAGATCCATATTCTTGTTCACTGCGTTCCGGATCTCAATCTTCCACCGAGTAAAGGGCCCTGGCAGGGCAAAATCATTCTCCGTCGGCCAGGCAATGTTGCCGTCCACGACGTCATCCCCGTGGACCTTGTTGGTCTCCGTATTATATCGGAAGGTGACCTTGAGCGGATCATGTGTGAAGGAGAATCGCTTCAGGCGATTGTTCACAACGGTCTCCTTCCCAGTGTGTGTTAGCTTGACCTCGAGTCGGTGGTTGTCCGTTTTCGCCCCCGGTGCAAAAAACCGGACCTTGGTAAGTCGGACGTCCGCCTTGCCACGGAATGTGTCCGCGGTTGGAGGCACGTCGACGAGGAGCATGATGCCCTTTTTCCCACTCTCTTTGATATCATCGACATCATCCTTCTCAAGCGAAAACTTGGCCCCGAAATGAGTCTGCGGTGGCTGGCCCTTCTTCTCCTTATATACCGCATTGTAGTATTGATATAGGGCCGCTTGTGCCTTTCGGAGATGAGTGACATTGTACTGAGAAACGGGGACACCCTTGAGAGCATCTCCGATGATGTGGGCATCGCGGAGGGCAAGGAAGCTGTACGCTCGTTCTTGCTTGTAGAGCCACAGTTGCGCTGTCTGGACGGCGTCCTGGTTCGTGTTCTTCATAAAGGCAGTCATAGACGGGTGGTCAGCACCCAGATTCTCATATTCCTTGCGCACGATATCGTCCTTCTCGACTGCGAGCGATTCTAATTCACGGTGGTACTGAACCAACAACGTCAGGTCGGAATTGTATCTCACCACCGCCGAATTGCGTTGCAGAACAATCCCTGGAGTGAGGTCAGCTGGGGAACGGCAGTTGCTGTATGATTTCTTTAATTCCTCTTCGTAAACCTACCAATATACTTTTGGAATTTCTGCTTCACGCCCTTCAGGATGTCATCACCGAGCGCAACCTCAAAGGCATCCAGCAATTTCTCCAACTCAGTTTCGGCTGCAAATAGTTTTTCGGCACCGGGATCTGTTAGTTGAACTTTGCCATTCAGGACTTTGTATCCCTCGGCAAGACTTTCGAAGGACCCACTAATGCGGTGCAGTTTGGAGAGCAGGTAGGTCTTGGGGATTTGTATTCCATCGTCCTTTTCGATTTTGTTCAAGCCTTTGTCGACCAGGCTGGTGGTCTGCAAGGCGGCCATGGAGAGGATGGCGGGGCCTCCATGGACGAACAGCACTTGGCTTAGTGAAGAGACTAGGTCGTCAAAAGAAACAGTGAATTTCTCCTTGATTTTCTGAGCGACCTTTGCAGCCTCGTCCAGCACGGCCTGCCTGGCTGCTGGGAATGTCTCTGTCAGACTGTCAATTGTCGACGCACTGATGTCCAGATCAACAATAGCCTCCTTAATGAGGCGAGTCTTCAGCTCAGTTTTTGTATCACATAATTTGCCCCGGTTCTTTATTGCATTCAGCCGTGCAGAGGCATCGTTTCCATTATTGAACCAGTCCTTGTATGTGTTTTCAACGAACTCCAACTGACCCAGGAAATACTCGGCAATGTTATGATACCAAGTAAAAGAGCCCCGAGGGACCTCGTCCGCCCTTTTTCCGTAAAAGTCCACGCCAGACATAATATGCTTCAAAGTCATCTCAGCCTCGGATGTGAGAGTCGTCAGGCGTTTTATCGAAACCGGAATGGCACTCTTTTTGTCGCTAACAATGCACAGGCGGGACTCAGCTTCGCGGTACGCCTGCACCAAGGGCAACTGGGTCAATGATGATGATGATGGGCCGGGGATCATCAGAAACGGTTCCAGTCTTTTCTGCAGGCGCTGCAGGATAGTAGCGCTCCGTGCTTTGTTCTCCAATGATCCAGACCAGAACAACTGTTTGGCCTTGTCCAGTAACATACGGCACTGGATCGGATGCACGTAACACACCTTAGTATGGAGGAGAGCATCAACATCAACAGTAGATGCGATGATTGGCTTCTGGTCCTTCCCTTGGTGTCCACTCTTGCCGGGCTTCTCGGAGCCCAGGGAACCGGTGCCATACAGGCCTCCGTGGACATCGATGGCATTGCTCAGCGCGATATGCAAGTTATCAACCGCAGGCCCCAGCACTCGCCGGAGTCTTCTCACTTGAGTTCGAAACGAATACAGCTGGACTTTTCGAATCTCTTCCGCCGTCTTCATGTTACTCGGCGGTACGTACACGGGCTTCACCTCCTTCTGCTCCACGAGACGAACGAACTCCGCTATGTCGTTCGTGAAATCTGCCGGCCACTTCTTTTGAGCATCTGCAAGGTGATCCAGGATGCGATCCGCGATCAGGGCGTTGTTGGAAACCTCTCCCCCGACAACTGCCCAGACCCGACCCCCGTCGCCTCCATTACCTCCATTTTCACCTACCTTGGCATCTAATTTGTCCAAGGGCGTATAACCCCTACCGCCACGAGCTATAGCATTGATTCCTCTTTGTCAGCTGTTTACGTACTTCAAGTCCCTGTGCGGTAATATTCATCGGGCGTGTCCGTTTGCGCACCTTGGATGCTAAGTCCCCGAGCGGTAGCTAGTGATAGATCCTCGACGTACATGTCGATGACGCCACCTTTGTGACCATTGGGATTATCTTTATCTGTACCGTCTGCCCCCGAGAGGGAGATGGAAAGAGGTTTGGCGACGTTTTCAAGACCCAAGAGGTTGCGGGTGAAGATCCCGAAACGAGCTGGCGCATCATCACTCGTGTTTGTGGACGAGATGCTCTTGTCCAACTTGAAATTTTCGCAGTAGATGTCCAGAGGGGCCTTCACACCGGTCTGGGGTGACAATGGGTCCTCCGATACCGAGAGAATTAAATTGGCATCGTGAAGGGGGTACCGGATGACGTCGGGGTCAGGAAGTACGTCAGGCATTGTCGAGTTGAGTAGACTTGTTAAGTTGTTTGTAAAAGACTGGAGTTAATCGTTCGGGGGCCGATATGTGATAAGCTGTAGGTGTTATGCATTCTTTGTTATCCCCTTCGCTTCGCGCCCTCGGAGACCTTCCCTGTCACCCTCCTTTGATCCGGGTGGCCCTGGGTTTGCTAGTTGCTACAACTAGTATACCTGATGACGTGTAGGGATTCCGCCACTCCGCATGTACAAGCCAGGGGTGGTACGTGTCGGTGGGGAATCTCCTTCGACTTAACGCAGCCGGTCACTTGGTCAAGGGCAATTTCACATGTTGATGCAACCTCGGACGAAGTTCACCAGGAGTACGGAGTACGTACTACGTAGTATTCGGGTTGACCGCGGTGATCTCTTTAGTACGTTCCACCTGAACCGCTAGTATTTGATATCCCTGCTGCAACCTTTCAGTCTCCACTTCGAGGCCAAGATCGCGGCTGAACCCCACCGAGCTGAGAATGGGTATGGATTTGTATTATCCAAACTACTGCAGTCAACCAGAATGGGTAGTAGTAGGTGGGCACCAAGGACTGTGCATGGTCAACATAAGGAAAAGAAACATGCTCAAAGGTAGTTAGAGTAACACAAATAGGTCCCAGCAACCCAAGAGACCAAGAGACAGTCAAGGTATTCTTTTCTTTTCTTTTCTTTCTTTTTTTGGCAGTATCAGATACCCTTTTCTCAACTTTCATCCAGAATGACTAAGTCTCTTCCGGTCAAAGACCTCCACCAAGAGCTCAAGAATAAGACCACCACGGACGGATGGGACATCTTAGTCTCGTATTCGGAGAAGCAACTGAATCAATTTTTGAAGAAAAGCTGGGGTGCCTCGAACCGTTTCACTAATGTTCCCCTCAAGCAGCCCCTGGGACATGGCAAACATGCCTACACTCAGCTGTACAATATCAAATTCCATGCCCCTGATCTCAACTTTGATACCGCTGCTGGATTTGTTTACTTGACTATGCCAATCAGTGGCACGAGCCGTGCCTCAGACGACAAACCCGAGGATGCCATCAAAATCCCAGAGGGCCACTATAGTTTTAAAGTCCGGTGCCAGATCAAGGGAATGAAAGGGGACGGTTCGAATTCCCAGGTATGCGAGCAGCTTTGATCCTTCCCGGTCTTCCTTTATGGCGCTAACTGAGCCAGACGAGTGGCAGTATCTTCCATTTCGATGACAACGCGAAGAGCTCATACTATATCACTTTTAATTTTGACACTCAGAATTCAAATTGGCAATGCCTGGCGAAAGATAAATCCGACGAGGCCATGACCAATGAGTTGTATCAACTTGTCACCGAGGCCCAAAAATGGTTTGCAGCGCACGACAAGCTCCAATGGATTGATTATAGCATAGCAGAGGTGTCCAATAGCTCTCAAAGCTCCAACAGCTCTGGTAGCAATCTCCTCACACCGTCGTCATTTGTTTTTTCATGTCAGCCCGGTGTTTTGAATGTCTTCATCCACACCATGGGAGGCACTAAAGGGCTAGGAAACAATCCTCCACAGTTCGGTTTCGAACATGTGCAGCATGTCACCCCAGTGCCCAGGGAGTACCATGCCACTATAATCATCTCACGGCAGCTGTTCCTCCAAGCATACCTGTTGGAGAACATCAAGAAACTATGCCCGAGCCTCTCCAAGACCAAGCCTGTCCAAAGCATGACGGTCAACAACGGATTGAAGCTGGAATTGCGTTACGACAAGAACAAAGTGATCAAATGCAAGGATTTTCGCAGTCATGCGTTCGACCAAATATTTGAGAAATTGAACGTGGACATGGACAAACACCCGTTGGTGCTCACTGTCGAAGATGATGCAGATGACCTGACACCTAAAGCATCGTGGAAGTGGGATTTATCTGGACAAGTCACATATACGTATTACCCCCACGTAGGTCGGGCCCCTATACCTATGGAGTATCACGTCAACGTAAATGCTACAATCAAAAATGTAAGATTCCCCCATTACTGCGGCTCATGAACTTCTCTATAACTGACATTTCTTTAGCATAAAACGGACTTTGCCCAAATAAGCGGGAACACAATAAACACCAGTGTCAGATTTGGCACAGACAATCAACCGACAGTTAGCAGCGACCATGAAAACATCACTGGCCTCATCAACTTCCAGTTGGACACCTTTGATCTGCACATGCCACAACTGAACTTCTTCCGGACGCAGAACATCTTTGCCCCAGGAAAGCAGATGATCAACGTCAAGAAGTTGATGCTTCCATATGATTTGGTGATGGTGGGAGACATTGCAGTGTAGTAGTATTATTATTATTACTTCTATTAGCATTGAAAGTGATTTGAGTGTGTTTCTATTTAACGTAGGAAGGTTTCTTCCGTCAGTAAGATCCTGATCACATTACAGGACAGACTACGGACGTATCGGAACTGCCTGTCACCCAGCGAATCCACCATCCAGGAAGACAAAGGGCTGAAAGCTTTTTTTTTTTCGGGTTGTGCGATATGACCTTAATGTGATGCTCAGGAATCCGGCCACGTTAGACTCCTCCCTACTAAAATGTTTCGAATTAATATATGGTAATAAGAGTTATTAATAAGTTACTGTACTAGATGGTATTAGTGTAAATAGACCTAGTAATATTGTACAGAACACTCCATAGTATTTTTCTTATTCAGTAATGGAAGTGGCTGGCTGAGATGGCCTCCGTCTCGCTCCGCGATATGCATGCAATCACACAGCACAGCCTTGTCGCCATTTCCCCGCTCGCTCCTGACTAGGATGCACTAGATATGAGTCCTTTCTACACAAAAGGTTAACTCTCAGCTCTTCCGAAGATACTCCCTTTCAATATCCCGCGAAATTCAAACCTTAATCTTACTGGATTCTTGAGTGGAAAAGGCATGTGCTCTCTTCGGTTAAATGCCTGGGTAAATCCATTGCCGAGCAGCTTGTTAGTCAGATGATCTTCTATTCTCCAATTTCCGTTATGTGTTGAAGCGTAAGCCCTAGCTATCGCTATATTGCGATGTGGTGCCCTGAGGTACATGAATATACTGGACTTTCCCGGGTTCTCGTGATTCAATCCACCTAATGTCTACAGTACATAGTCGGCACTAGGTTGTTTACAAAACTACAGAATTAGGTATTGGTTCCTATTGACTAGCCAACCATATTTCCTACGGCTGCCGAGAGCCCTATGACGTACAATTAGACCTCGCCAAAACGCGGGTTGGGTTTCGACCTTTGACCCAAAACCCGCCAAGAAAAGTAGATAACGGTAAACTATACACATATAACACACCTGCACATATTAATATTCCAATATTTCATACACATTACCATAAAATACGGAGCTTTGGGTTCTTGGCGGGTTTGCAGGTAACCCATGGGTACCCGAAAAAGCAATATGGCGAGGTCTACTGCGAGCAGATCCTAGGCCGCATGGACTCTTGGTCCCGCGAGAGAGAACCAGGAAGGTGTTCGATCCACAGCAGACTTAAGTCGGGGTGGTTGAAGACCGGTCTGGATTTACGGTCGGGGCATGCAAGCCAGAAGGGACAGCGAGACAACGAGCCCCCGGTGTAGATCCAATGATCACAATCGTCCAGCAGAGATCGGCAGCCCAAAGACAGGAGACCTAGATCTTCATCTTACATTTGTTAATGCGAAGATCTGCGGGCTTGCTCGCCTGGGTAGAAGGGAAGAACCTGTAGAAAAGACAAAAGAAGCAATGATACTTAATGGGTTCATTTTCTGGTGATATTCGCGACATTTCTCGTTCCTTGACCTATGATTTCAATGGAAATCAGCCGGTCGCCAATTTAGGCAGTCAGGTGGTGAATTGTCCGTCTAACGGCAAGAACCTCACGCTCGTTAAAACACAGTCTACCCAAGCTTCCCATTCCAGCTTGTTTAGTCAGTTTTACCGTACCCTGTTTGGCCTTTCCAACCACGAACCCAGGCCATGGGATCATTTTACCGCCTGTCCCGTTGGCCAATTGTGCAATTGCTAGAACTGGAGTCCTTGGCCTGACATGCGGTCATAAGAATTTGTGATTAGGTGGTCGGGAAAGGAAAGGAAAGTTGTTTAATGTCGGGTTAAATTGGGGGTTAAGGGTCAGGATTAGTGAATTCAGCCAAATTGGTGTTGCGGGCAAAACTCATATGTATACGAGAGCGTCGCAGCAAGAAGAATGGAGCATAGGCGGAACGAGATGTATGGGTTGAAACAGCGGGATTATATGGTTCTGGCCGCCTTTTTCTTTTTCTTTTTCTTTTTTGCTTTTCTTTTCTTGCACGCAAAAAGGCAGGCGTTGATAAGAACGTTACTGTAAGGAAGCCAGGCCTGCAAGGCAGGTTTCGGGAAAGCTATGCATGAGACATGCAATTAGACCTCGCAAAATCGCGCGTTGGATTTCGACTCCTAGCACAAAACTCGCCAAGAATAGTACATAATAGTAAAATATACACATACAGCACGCCTACACCGAAGATATTCCCTTCCTGGTATTGGACTCGTCACACACAAAAGCAGGAATACTGGCTCCGGGCTGATATACGGACCACATCTTGCATTTGCGGTAGATATCCGAATGGGTAGTTGGTATCACGCGAGGTATTCTGGTATGAGCTCCCAAAAGGCCGTGTACAGGTTCATACACGGCGTCACTCAAGACAGTGGTGGGGTATACGTTCTTTCGTCTCCTTGAGGAAGTGATGGTAATGGAGAAAGCCGAATATATCCTGGAGAGCCTTCTGGTTGCCTCGTGTGTAATCGATAATCAACGGATAGAGGAAAGGGAGAGATGGCTTCTCATGGACAGTGGTCCTATAGCGCCTATAATTTCCTTCACTATTGACAAAGTCAAAGAGGTGGTTGATAGGTTCTGGCCGCTGACCAGCCAGTGACAATCCACTTAAGACGGCGGTAAGGGCGAAGAAATTGCGCAGATTGTAAAGGTCCTATTACAAGTTATTAATAAGAAGTGCTGTGTTACGGGGACCGGTTCTCAGTCACCAGTACTAAAGACTGCAGTGCACCACCCAGCTCCGGAACCACGGCTGCCTCTTCTGTCTCGCGGCACAGGCGGTCCCATCTGATACCAAGCCGAGGCAGAGCACCGGTCTTTGCCTGCACGCTGTGGAGGCTCAATTGATGGAATTCACGCAGGGCAACTGCACTAAGTTGTAGAGCCACTGTGTCGGGTGAGCTTTCGCTGATCTGAATTAGAAACTCGGTGTTGATAGGGAACTCGTCGCCCTGGGCCAAGGTTGGACTAGCTAGATAGCGGCGATAACGGACCTCAAGAGCTGTCAGCCGTCGAATGATGTGCTTGTCCGGGTTGGAAAGGATCGCCTTGAGAGGAAGAAGAATGCAATCGACATTCAGGGTGAGAGGTTCAAAAGGTTCAAGTGTCATACGACAGCGAACAGCATAAGATATCGCCATAGATAAAAACAGATCATTACGCCGGATCAGCTGAAAAACAGGTGAGATGCGGTTACCTCGCTAGAGTTTGGTGGGGACTGACCGTGACAACGGCTGTATATTTCTCGATCTCCTCCGGGTACTGGCCGAGAAAGTGGAGCAGAGAATAGCTCAATCGATTATAATATGTGTTGAAGGCTACAATTGCAGCCGGCGATCTTCCCATTGCCTGCTGCACCCAGGTGTCGAGGTACAGATGTTTGAATACATACCAGTTATCTTGAAGAAGTTGAAAGGCTACTGCGCCCGCGTCTTCGTTCCTCGAGAAAACTTGCCATGGCAGTGTCTCATGGAACGTATAGCGAGACTCGGGCGATAACACAGGGCATAGTTCATGGCTTGTCTCAAGGTTGTTTTGTTGGTCGGCAGCTGGGGGTCGAACTTCTGGTGAGACTTCATCCGACGGGAAGACAAGGTCGGTGGACTTGCCGATTGGGGTCAAAAGGGCGCCATAGGACATGGCAAGCAATACCTACGTTTGGCTCGTAGATATCGCTAGTTTTCGTTGGATGTAACGCGTCACCTTGCGTAATCGGCGAGCAGTGGCATCGGAACTTTATAGAACAGAAAAATAGTATGATGTGGCCATCTTGGCTGCTCTGAATTTATTATTTCAGCTGACCAACGCTGCAGTCTGGAATTTGCCCAGTAATTCATTATATGAGGGGATCTTGGACGCTTCGAAGTCTGAATCTTGTCCACCGGTGTCAATGCGTGAGAGCAGTCAATACGTCGATAGCGGTTGTTCAGGAAAGCTTATTTGTCGGGTTAATGAACAGGATTAAAAAAGAGGTAGAATCTTAGATGTAATGGCCAGTGGTCGAGAAGCTGTTCTGCAACAGCAATCACTTACGCACCAGCAGTCACCGGAATCATGAACACACGGTTGGAGTCGCCGTCGTCGATAACACGGCCAGTGAGCTACACTCGTTTTACTTCGGCTCGCTTTTCTTATAAGCCAGGAGCATTTATCGCGCCGGCAAGAAAAGATTAACCAAACACTATTTCCAGCAGTTGAAGGAAGGAAGTGAGATAATCGCATGGATAGCAAATCATTTCAGATACCCATAGATCACGCCCGACCACCATTCAACCCACCACAACCGTGGTGATTGCCCAGGCAAGATGGAGTGGGACTAGGGAAGGGGGATCGTCAGCAATGCCGTCGTTTGCCCGGGTATCTTAAACCGCAGCCGTCTTCTGATCTGCAGACACGGTTGTTTCTGGAATACCCCGCTGGTATGTAGCTGTAGGTTAGGGACGCGGCTCGCCGGCGAGCCGCCAGTCAGTCAAGCATCTAGAACGGGATGCGACCGTTCTTGGTCCTTTTTGAAGAAGTTATACCTGATCGGACGATGTCCCTGAAGTGGGTCGCCAGAGTAAAATGATGCCCTGGCAAATCGCGTCCATTCATGTTGCGTTATGTGCAAAAATGCCATAGTAGTGTAGACTAATAATGCCATAGGCACAGCCTTGTACAGATGGTCCGTAATTGATTGGAAAATTTCATGTCTTACCGTCCAGCCGGTCTTGTCAACTGTCAACCGCCGCCTTCCTGTTTCATAGCAGCCGACCGGATAACTCCTGGAAAAGCTGCTGAGTGTTGTGATTCAGAGGATTAGGGCCCTGCGGAGCGAGGGCCTGAAGGATGCTGAACTGCGTTGGATCCCCGCTCACATCGGGGTAGAAGGAAACGAATAGGAGGACAAGAAAGCCAAGGAGGCTGCAATAAGAGGAGTTGAACTAAGCTCAGTAAGGCCGCGGGATCAACCGATTATACGGCTCGCAGCTGCAGCTAAAAGAGATATCCGCCAACGCTTGCGTACGGAATGGACAAAGCAGTGGGAAAGGCAGAAAGTAGGCAGGCCGACGAGGCGGCTACTGTCTAAACCAGACAAGAAAGATCTACGGCTCTACGAGCATCTCAGTAAGCCGCACACCTTGATTATTATTCACATGCGCACTATGAGGATAGGATTAAGGCACTTCCTTTACAAGATCAAACAGGTTGACTCCGACCGGTGCGCCTGTAACCTAGGGTCCCAGACCCCTAGGCACGTCCTTCTGGAGTGCTCGCTGCATACGGCCGGCCGGAGGATAATGATGGATTACCTCAATCAGATAGAGGGACTGCGTGGGCGAATACAGGATTACGACGCAGTTATAGCATACCCGCAGGCGATCCGTTATATCGCCGAATTTATGCAACAAACAGGCCTCCTTCAACAATTCCGATTCACTCGACTGGACGAAGAGGATGATGAGGAGGCTCCAGAGCCCACCAACCTGCTAGAAGGACTCGAACTAGGCGAGGAAGACGATGGTTATATGGAACTTTAGGGGGCGGCCTAGGTCAGGCCGCTACCAGTGACGCATACCACTCACGAACCACCTATATAGAACGAGGCGGAAGGAAAGACAGCGTCAGGACGCGCAGTAGGCTGCAACAGGCGAGTGGCAGCCAGTTTAATTGCGTTACTTCTTGATTTATCTGCTGCGTTTGTGAGCTTACATGGCGTAAGGGCTCGAGATTCTGCTTCATTCGGCGAAGCGCCTGCATAGCCTGTTGTTTCAATAGATAGGCTTCATCAGGTTAATAGAATTTTGATTGATGATTGATTGATTGATTGATTGACCAGAGAGCCAACAGAGCATGGCCTCCAGTCAGTCGCACTCATACGACTTGGGGTAAGATGCCACAGCGCCTGGGCCGATCCAACAGAGACTTCTTCGTTCGACGGTAGAATCTAGAACCCGAGAGACAATAAACGCCCAGATGGAAAAGACTGGCAGACAAGCCCGCACGGGTGGATAAGTATGTGAACTAATGCCGACCCCGATAAAGCAGATTCTAAGCATACTATTATATCAACGTGGGGTGCCGGATATGCAGGACGTAAACTGCCGCTGTGGGCGGTTACCCAGACCGTGCGGCACGTCCTTCTCGCATACCCACTCTTCAAAAACCTACGCAAGCAGGATCTGGAGAGACCAGAAGGAAGGTTAGAAGTAAACGCGAAAACGATACTGAACACGCCCAGGTTGGCGGCTCAGGCGGCCAAATTCATTCTACGAACGGGGCTCCTTGGGCAGTTTAGAGCTGTACATTAGGAGGAAATGGATGAGGAAGAGCACTGAGGTCAGCGCGTATATAGATGCCGAAGAGGGGTGAATGCCCAAGTGGAGCCAAGCCCTCGATTCTGCATTAACACACTGCTTATTAGCGGTTTGGGGGGGAGGCCGCATAGCCATCGACTATGATATGCTGGGATCTAGGATGGCGAATAAGTTGACTCAAGGCCAAGTACTGGTTGGAGGCAATGGACGCAAACGCACTCTGGACGTGAGTCCACAGCTCCAAGCCTAGGAAGGCCTTCAAATTGGCGCCCAAATCGACACAAAGAACTCACGAGGGCAGATAGCTTTATCCGTTGCATTGTAAATTGGGAATCCGAATTTGCTACCGTGCTGTTCAACAGAGGCGCGCATCCCTTGATTGCCATTAAATTGCGTAATAATGACAGCGACTTGAAGTAACTGATCCCAATATTTTCAAGGAATGAATACGACGTGCGCCATCTCGACTTTCCCCAGGTTCCATGGAAATAATAGCTACGAAGAATCATTAGTAAAATGATATCTGTCGCTTTATGCCAAGGATTGAAGGGACACAGTGTTGTCCAAGAGTAATATCGCAGTTCCAAGCCGCGTCCTGTGGCAGGGATCCGATAACGCTGGCATAAAATGAAGACATGTTGTATGTGCGATGGTCACACTTCTTCTTGATTAGGGAGTTATGAGAACGAAATTGGCATGCTTTGTACGCAGTCCCATCTGATGAAAAGTGAAAGGCGCGGCAAAACAAGAAAGTAATTGAGTAATATTTGAATTACAGTCCGAATGCTGCTTTGTTTGTCGGAAATATAGTGCCCTAACGTAGAAATGGTTTCTAATTTGTGGATAACTAGGAATATCTTTGAGAAGGAAAAGTGGCCGAAGCGATGTAACTAGTAGACGGCAAGAACGAGGGAGACTGGAGACTTCGGAATTCGATATCCTCTCATTCAAAAATGTTTTAACTATTTCATAACATTGATGGTCATTAGCCAAGATCCATTTTATGAGTCCTTTTCGACTGATAGGATATCAAAAATGTTTTCTCATCCGTTACCAATTAAAATGAGTACTCCCTTTGAATACTGGCCAGCAATGTATGACACGCAGTCTCTATCTAGGCTGAACACAACTTAACTTGAGATTAGTAGAATATATCTCGTTTTTATAGTTTACTTTGCGGTAGACTCACGGATGTCATGTATTGGCATGTTGAATTTATATATGGCCTAATATGGCTATACAGTAACTACCACTATTTCCGTAGTTGTTGACCTAGTGGGTTGCGCCGTGGTCTTTGAGAAGTATACAGATTTGTATTTGATTGCGTCGAAAAACTGGCCAGAGTGGACTCCTGGATTGAGGGCAAAATGTGACGGTAGGTAACATCGACAGGTTTCAGCGGAATTGTATGCGAGGAACCAGGTAGGGCTGGTAGTATGTACCTCATAGAGTACAGTGTCCTGGCCTTCATTTTTGATCTGCCGGATTCGAAGATACGGATCTTCAAATGTAGTATTGAAAAGAAAAAGGGATCCATCTGTTGACTTAAAGAGGACATGATCGCCGACAGAAGCATTCAGAGATTTGCGGTCGAATGTGACAATATCACCCGAAGTGAGTTTTACAGTATGCGTGGACGCCGCAGACGACATCTGAGGCGAGTTCGGGCAGGTTAGAGGTGTTTTCCCTGCTGCTGTGGATGGGATTGATGGGGTAGGTTCTGTTCCTTCGTTGGCTGATGGGTCATGCGTACTGCGTGGAATTGAGCCGGGGGACGAGGACGAGGTACTAATTGAGGCAAATGATGGGGTCCCAGCAGTCTGTATCGGATCTAATACCGTGGTCTGACCTGCTATGCCTGTCAGGCTCGAACGATGGCTCATCAAAAACCCATCTGCTGTTGATGCCTGGAGAGTCGGGCAAATAAAATGTGTAAAGATTACAGCCAGATGCACTCGATAGACGAGTGCGCAGACACTGGCAACGACACCCCTGTCGAAGTTTGCAATGTCAACATTCTGATTTCTCTTTTTTTTTTTCTGGGAGGAATGCCTCCCAAAAGATAGAAGCAAAGACCTACATCAGAGCTGTAGAGAAAATCACAAATAACTGTAGCCGCCGGCTGTTCGGCATTTGCAGTTGCGCCAGCAGCGGAAGTGACAAGATAAAGATGTATATGTCCAACACCACGGAGCATACCCCCTGGAGAACGCCCCAATAGGTCAAGCGATGGGGCCTGCCGTTGAAGAGTAACTCTTCCCATGTTTCGCCGATGTGTGGTGCATTGAAATAGCTCATCAGTGGAATGCCTGCCCAGTACAGGAAGGTGAACACCATCCCGACCCAGATGGCGATTCGTATGGCCTGATGGATGGTGAAGATCTCTAGATATAGGAGAAAGATGGAGCACTTGGCGAAGAATATTGTGGGGGCTAATACAGTCCCTGAGGCGTATAGAATCTGGTTTATTCTATTAGTGAGCTTCGAGGTGTTTCCACTAGGTACAGTGTTGAGAGGGAGGGAAAGACCGTACCTTCGTATAGCTGCCATTATACTAACAGGCGGGAATATCCCACTGATGCCGGGAAAACTTCAACACTGTAGCGAGTGGTTAACACATTTCTGGAAGTATCTTCATCGTGTATTCTCACTTGCTAAAATCAAACCGACATATGCTGCTGATAACGCCAAAGCTATGATCGCGAAGTCTAACCGACCGGTTAGCTTAGCACTGATGCAGCCAAGCTCGTCGCGTACAACGCACAATCAGCCAAACCCAGCTTGCGAAATCTCGTAGACACTCTGGCTCCCGTGAGAGCTACAGCCCAGACCAGAGTCACCGTCGTCACCGCGATCGTAGTCGCAGCTAGTGAGGGTGGATTAACTAGGTTAGACGCTTGGTGGCGTCCCCGCGGGGTAGGCACACAGATCTACTCCTGCGTCGCTGGAGGCCATGATATCGACAATTAATCTTTCGGTATGCGCATTGCCATAATTGTAGCGCGAGGTGGGAGTTAAAAGCGTTTAAAAGAGAAGATTGATAAACCTGACACCCACCCATCTGGCTGGCTGATATCCCGCTGCGAGGCTTCTTCGCCCCCACCGGCTGCTCAAAAAATTGCTTGTTTTTTTTTTTTTTTTTTTTTTCACAAGGTGCATATTAAACAGATTTTTTCGATTTTAACCACCTGTAAGGGGGTTTAATCAAGAGGGAGCTCTGCGGGGTATGTCTGACCGAACATAGCCTTGATGCAGCTAGCACCATCAGCCGAGTCAGCTCATTTCGGCGAGACGGGATAATCAGGCTTCGATGTCAGAATGTAGAGGAATGAATGGCCTCAGTATTACAAGTGGACGCAACCTGCAAGTAGATATTGGCCGGACAAATTCTCTGTTAGAACCGACTCCGGGGCCCGGATTGCACCGATACCACTCAATCATTAGGGCTAGTAGTATATACGCGAGCAATCCTACCGATCGGTCAGATATTTCAAACTGATTGAGATTATTTCGCATTATTTCTGAAACGGGTTGGCGCGAGCAGCTGAGCTTACTGAGATAAGGCTGAGTGAAATAACTTATGCATGTTTCACAGTGTCAGATTTTAGACCCCGTGGCCATTCGAAATTCATGCAGCGCAAGGAGCGGAGGTACCTATCAGGCCATACTTGCTGATACCGAAATAGGGCAGTTGAGATGAAGACCAATTTGCAAAGGGGCCGATTCTGGGACACTTGGAGAGTGCTTTTCTGAGATCTTGCGAGAGCTCACGTGGATCCTGATACCGGGTGGGATCGCGCATCATGGCTCGCTGGGGAATACAGACCACCGGTTGAATAAAGTATTTAGGGTCGGTAGATAGGGCAGTGACGTCGTAAACATACTCATTCAGATATCTGCAAGCACTGAGCAAACAAAATGCACATCCAACAGCCTGACACGAAGCGAAAAAAAAGCTGTACAACAATCTCATAAATCACCAGATATCAAAAGAAGTAAACCCATAATCACATCTATTTAATAACTAAATCAGGCCTGCTGTTCCTTAATATGGAAGCTCTTCAACTTGTAAAAAGCATCAAAACCATGCGGTCCCAACGTGCATCCCAGTCCCGAATTCTTCCACCCGATCCACGCCAGATCCTACAAACCAGCCAAGTTAGCAATCATTCCACACTGCAAATCCAATCTTCTGGGGAAGGGAGAGGTTAAATCATACCGGACTCGGATAGTCACAGCGATTCACAAACACGGTGCCCGCCTCCAACTTCTCCATCAACGCCTCCCCAGCGCCAACATCCTTCGTCCAGATACTCGCCGTCAGGCCGAAATCGGTATCATTCATCAGCGCCACCGCCTCGTCGTCCGATGCAACTTTCATGATGGGCATCACGGGCCCGAAGGTCTCCTCGCGCATGGTGCGCATGTCATGCGAGACGTTGATCAGGACTTTAGGCGCAACGTAGTTGCCGTCTGGCGGGGGAGCCGAGAACGTTGCGTTCTCGGGGGTGGCGTCGACGGCGCCCTTGGAGAGTGCGTCGGCGATGTGTGAATTGATGTTTTTGACGGCTTGTTGGGAGATTACGGGGCCGGTGGTGGTGGTTTTATCGAAGGGGTCGCCGAGTTTGTATCTTTTCATTTCGTGAGCTCTCTGAGAAGAATGTGGGGGCTTGAGGCTAAAGGGATAGATAGAACATACGTCGCTAATTCCTTTTGCACCTCCTTCACAAACGCATCGTGGACATCTGCGTGGACGTACACCCGTTCAACGGCGCAGCAGCTCTGTCCGGAACTGAACACCGCGCCGTCGACTAGCTGTGCTGCGACGTATAGGAGGTCTGCGTCCGGACGCACGTAGGCTGGATCATTGCCGCCGAGTTCTAGGTTCACAGGGACGACGCGACGGGCTGTGGCTTCGCGGATACGCAGTCCGCCTTCGGTGGAGCCGGTAAATGAGATGAGGTTGATTTGGGGGAGGGTGACGATCTGGTCGAGCACGTCGAGCGAGCCGCAGTGGACGAGCTGGAAGAGGTTGGGCGGGAGACCGGCTTGCGTGAAGAAGGAGAGGAAGCGTTCACCGACAAGAGGTGTCTGAGGGGAGGGCCTGAGGAGGACGGCGTTTCCAGATAGGAGGGCGGGGAGGATGGTGCTGATTGTGATGAGGTAGGGGTACTATATTAGGACGACTATTGTGAGTAAACGGTTCATTATTTTCCAATTTAGACGAAGCTCAGAAGAAGAGGGGCATACATTCCACGCTGTCGCAATAAACGCGACTCCGACAGGCTCCTTCTTCAGAAATCGCCTGAACCCATCCTGCGGCTGACCGGGGAGATCCTTCAGACTATCGTCGGCGATTCCAAGGAGATAGTCGGCGCGTAGGCGCAAGGTGTCGATCTCCTTGGTTGTGTAGGCAATGGGGCGACCCATTTGAGTCGTCAGCTCTTCTGCGAGAAATTGCTTATTGGCGTCAATGAGTTCCAGCGCCTTGAGAATGATGGCCTTGCGCTCCGATAGAGGAACCTGTTTCCATGATTTTTGGGCATCTTGGGCGGAGATGGCGAGCTGGCGGGCCTCGTCGAAGGAGGTGCCCGGGTGCTCGTAGAGGAGCTTGTTGGTGGATGGAGAAAGGGTGCGGATTGTGTTAGACATGGTTGTGCTGTGGTGAGAGTATGGACAGTTGCAGAAGTGACTCTCAGTCCGATAAGTAGTTATAGGTTACGATCCTCCATGCGGGCGTGACCTAGTTGATTAGGAGACCGCGCTCGAAGATTGGAGTGGGTCGGTGGATTGTGGTGAGTTGACTCCGCGAATAACCATCTCATCCGCGGTGAGGAGCAGCTTGGAATGGGCTCTTTCTCCTATGCCCTCCGAGAGCTGGTGTTGGCCTTCTTTTGAGCCGCCTAAAGTGTGAAGATTAACGGTCTGTGAATGTATTCGCCCGTCTGGCTAATGGCCTTACGAACCAGGCATCCTGAAGCATCCCAAGACCACCTGGTCTAACACAGCTTTCTTAAATTTACACTGCGTAGTTTCGCTCAAGGCATTATAGACATAATCTAAACAGTCCCCATTGAAGCCAATATACAGTAACAGTGGTCCTGGTAACCCAAACCCAAACCCGATTCAAAATTCGCGCACTCCATCCACTGTAGCGAATGTCTCCTGAAGATTCCACAGAAACAGGAACATCATCGCGACCCCCACCGTACTTTCAAGCTTTCCATGGGAGCTTGCAGCTACCCCGCGGTCGACCTCTGAAACCGAACCCCACAGCGCGGTCCGGGACCGCGCGGTCGATCTTATCAACTCAATGCTTGTCCGCGCTTATCGGGCCCGCGCTCAACCAAACCGAGGTCGGATTGGTGTTTGGTAATGGGGAAACTCAATGATGGTCGCAGCTTAACCGCGTGGTGGGATGCAGGGGAGGGTCATATGAACGATAGCAATGGTGGGGTTATAAAGTGCATTTGTTTTCGTCAGTGAAGACATTAATTTGATTAGGATTCCCGATTTATCTCTGCCCACACAATCGACATAACATACCATCTTTTTCATTCCACACAAGAACATCGCACAATGGTTGGAAGACTCGCTGGAAAGAACGCCCTCGTCACCGGTGCCGCCGGGTGTGTATTTCCGACCCCGCTGCTAAGCAATTGTGCTAACGAATTCAGTGGCATCGGTCTCGAAACCACGATCCTCATGCTGCGCGAAGGCGCCTTCGTCCTCATGACCGACATCAGTGCCCCTGGCCTCGAAAAAGCCCTCTCGAAAGTGAACCAGGCCGTCCCGGAACACGATGGAAAGGTGGAATTCCGCGTGGTTGATGTTTCCAAGGAGGCAGAGGTGGAGGCGGCCGTCGCACATCTGGACGCATGGGGTGGTTTGGATGTGATATTCAACAACGCTGGCATCATGCACGCGAAGGACGGTGACTCGGAAGAAACTCCTGAGAGCATTTGGAATTTGACCATGGACATCAACGTCAAGGGCGTGTGGTATGGATCCAAGCATGCCATCAAGAGTTTGCGGAGACACGGGAAGAAGAAGGGCAGTGTGATCAACACTGCCAGCATGGTCGCCCTGGTGGGCGCCGCAACTCCGCAGTTGGCCTACACTGCCAGCAAGGGTGCGGTTTTGGCCATGACTCGCGAGCTGGCAATTGTGCATGCGCGGGAAGGTGAGTTGGTTCTCTCATGTCTGCAACGACCAGTACTAAGATGACCAGGTTTCCGTTTCAATTCCCTGTGTCCTGCACCTCTCAAGTAAGTTTTGCTCATCCCAATTCATTGCTTCTCATCTAACCGTTGCAGCACCCCCATGTTGCAGGATTGGCTTGGAGAGGACAAGGAGAAGCGATTCCGCCGTGAGGTTCACTTCCCCTCCGGTCGCTTTGGTGAAGCCATTGAGCAAGCCCATGCCGTCATCTTCCTGGCTAGCGACGAAAGCAGCTTCGTCAATGCGGCCGATTTTGTGGTTGACGGTGGCTTGACCAAGGCATACGTGACTCCGGAGGGACCCGCAACTGAGGCCCCCAAGAACCTAGGCCAATAAATGTTCTTGCAGGGGTTCTAGCGAGGGTGATGAGATGCCGGGGAGGACGCACGAATGATGACCGTATTGTATGATTAAAATAGCCATGATTCACTTTATGCAAATGAGATCCATATTTGATATTTTTGCATCGCTCGGCATATGTTCCATGGTCCAGCTTCGTCGAGAGGCATCTGCCACATATGTTCAAGTAATAGAAGCGTTCGATGCATATTCCCTAGACCAAATGTGTTCACCATTGTAGTTAGCCGGTTCCGTAGATCCACTTGATGCTCTTCTTGAGATAGGCAGGATCCTATCACGGCGATAGGCCAGCAGAGCCCAGAATTGATTCGCACAGTGGCCGAGAGCTGGTTCAAGTACAACATTCCTTCAGTAATAGCGGTGTTCATCAACCCTTGGTGCATACCTCTCTCAGTCCGCGAGAATGAGCTCAAGGCTGTGTATAGGTAGAGAAGCATGGCCTGTTGGAAGATGCGGCCCGCCAGAAATACCTCGGGAGTGACGGTGGGGTAAGGTGACCATTGCAAAATTTGCGTTTGTAGTGAGCCATACATGGCGATCTCGTCTGCTGACGGCATGGTTGGTTGTGCATCGTACATCATCCACTGTCTGCCCAAGTCAAATATACAAGGAATTAAAAGCAGCAGTTCCAACCAGCAGCCACAGAGATTGCCGAGGTATTGAGAGTCAAGCAGCTGGCGAGCTCGGTGCTCCAACTCAAAATTCAGCAAAAGTTGATGGCTGACCCTGGCATCGATAGATATCATGCTAACTGCTGCCGTATAAGTGTAATATTCAATAACGAAATCTTTCAGTTCTTTAGGCACGGCTGCGTCGCTAAGGGATAAAAAGCGCGTCAAAAGCGTGTTGGCGGCGGATAGATGATCAAAGATCGTGCCATTGATATCTCCTTTAGCCGTCTAGCAAAGTATGGTCAGCCGAGGTTCTTTACCGGTCGCACATGGTGCATACCTCTGTAAAACACATGACAAGAGCCCCCACAGTCAACATTAATGAGTTGGATTCCTTGCCATTGATGAATTCGTTGACACCTTTGCGGAACAACTGCAAGGCTTTCGTATAGTGGCTCTGAGCAATTTCATCGGAATCATTTCGGCTTCTGAATGCACGATGAGCAGCACTTTGCGTGAGAACGAGCTGTAGAAGAAGGTCACTGGTGAAAGCAAGCGGAACGATTTGTACTAGAAATGGATTGACGGGAGTTGACCCATTGGCCATGCACTCAGCCGTGGTCGCTAGATAGTGGCTCAGTAATTGAAAGGATTCCTGGCTGTAGCCCGGAAGCATTGATAGGCTTCGAGGCACTAGGCCCCCAACGGCCAAAGTAGAAAGGTCCGATGCTGAGCTATCCCTTCTCGGGGCAATCTGTTCAGGGGAGACATGCTCTTCGATCCGTAAGGCAGCAGGCTCGGCGGAGTCGGAGGTGCACGACAGTTGGGCGGGAGAATCGGCAGATGATGGAGATTCCAAGGAGCCAACTGAGTCGCGATGTACTCCCTCTGACACTGGGCTCGATGGTTGGTCCTCGAGTCTGTGTTGATTCGTGGTCGTAGTATCTGGGTCATTTGTTGCTGCAGCCGATGAATTCTGGGGTACACTGGATGGCCATTGGCAGGAGAGTTTATTGCGGACACATCCTCCGCAGGATGGCCTGACCTCATCGCATTTTTTCTTGCGGCGTCTGCAACTCCAGCATCCAGTTCTGACCCGAACAATGGGATCGGTGCGTAATTTTCGAACCGGAGGCATCTGAATAACCGAGTACTACTTGAGTACAGCAGTAGTTACGGGCGTTGCCACCGGGAAGATGAACGGGGGAGAAGGCAGCGTGTGGTGGAGCCGGTCACGAGTGATAAGTGCCCGCTTTCTTATCTTTCTTCTCTCTCTCTCTCTCTCTCTCTACATTCTACAACCATCTTCATGATCATCTTAACTTTTAATTTCATTCAGTTCACTCATTTAAATCATCAAAATAGCCATCCCCGGTATTATCTATCCATCCACAGATTACCCGATTCGATGTCTTACCTCCAACTGGCAAGACTCTGGGTCATTAATTACACACGACCGTGCAAGAACAACTTCCGAGGCTGAAGCCATCCAAAGAAACTCGGAAAGCTAGCCAGTGCATCTTCCGATCCATATACTCCTCCTGTTCTTGGGCCGCCTTTCGTTCAATCTCATAGAATTTCCACGAGCGCAAGATCCAAAGACTCAGGGCGCCCAAAACAAACATGCATGCAATATATACCTGGGTATTCAAGTAGCCAGAGCTGGCCACCAGGCTGAGTGCCGCGGGCTCAGCGACGGTGGTTGGAATAACCAGAGTAAGGCAGATCATGGAAAATGACGTTAGAAGACGGCTCAGCCCGACCACCTTGGCTGTCACGGGCGTTATCGTTCCCCAGAATGTTCCACTGACCATTCCTGATAAAATGGCGAATATTAGCAAGGACGCATACGACTGTGCTGGGATCCAGATGGCAAAACAGAAGACAACGCAAAAGGCTGCCATGAACGTTGAAACCGTGATTCTGCCGAAAGTGTCGCTGATATAGCCGGTCAGAGGCCGTCCGATTGCTAGCCCAAGGTTCAGGATTGCACCTGCTACCGATCCCTGCTGTGAATTTAACCCGATTGAGGACGCGTAATATGGCAATGAGTAGATCAAAGCAATGAATCCCAGCTCTGTGCTGACTCCCCACACGATCATCAGACAGACTTGGAAATTGAGATCGCGGATATTGAACGTGCGCTCAGCGATGGCAGCCTGAGATTGCTTGCGGTCCTTCAGTAACAAGGAGCACGCCAGATTGGATCCTAGCGCGCAGAATGCCAGGATCTTGTAAGTAATCTGCCAGCCCATGGTTTCGGTTGTAAGACCACCAATCCCAGAGCCGGAGGCAGCAATGCCGATACAAAAGCTCCTCTTAGTTGAGAACCAAGGAGGAAGAATGGCCGAAGCCAAAGCATACCCCTTGAGACAAAAACAATTGCCATATCTTTGTGGCATACGATGCACTGAAAAGAGATACAAAGACCAGTGCTGTGCCAAACAGCAGTGTCATTGTGGTTCCGACCGCTTTGTATGTCTTGGTCACGATGGGTCCAATCAATAAGCACTGGGAGATGGACAATCCACCAATAAATGCATAATCCAGATGACCGGCACCGGGGAATGTTGAGTTGGACAGAAAATAGGCAAGGATCACTCCCCATGCACTGTTCACGCCCCAGGTGTGCACAGTGATCATGAACACGCAGAATGTGCACACCCAGCCATACCCACCATCAGGTGGGATGACTTCGAAGGCATCTACATTGTAGTTTCCTTCAATGCTTCTCTGATCTCGCTCGGTAGTGGGAGTTTGGAAGGGATCATTGCCTTGCCGAGAAGTGGTTCTTTCGAGGTCGACACCATTCATGATCAGGCCCAGCCAAAATGAAGATTGACAATAAAGCTTTGGATATCTCAATCTTTGTGAGACGAATACAATTTAAATAAGTGTGAAGACGAGTGAAGTGAGGTGGGGTGGAAAATGAAGTCATTCTGGGTCTGTCTTGTGTGCGCAATCATTATTGGATCGTTGACCAGAACGACTCAAGACTGCCCTAAAATATTGGACCCTGGCGATCAATCAGCCCTGAGGGCCTCCGGAGTACACCCGACATGTTTATCACGACAAATGTGAAATTCATTTTTGCCGTTGCTGGCGAGGATCTCAATTCGAAAGACGATTTATGTTTTGCACAGTCGAACTAGCCTATTGCTAGTCAACCACGGACCGAGTCCGAGCTTTTCGAACGACTTGCAAACCCTACACAAAGGGTTATAATGATCAGCCAACCTTATACTCCACAATGTACATTATTGAAGCGCATCTCAAAAACCAGAAGATGAGCTTTCGGAGATTGAAAAGGCTATGTGGTAAGACCTGTCTTCTCTTCAGGTGGACCTTTTCTTGCCCGGTCTTTGATCGCCACATTCTCCGCGTACGCGTCGACGTGATAACTCCCAAAGTTTTTGGTGGACACCCCGGCCGCGAACATAATGTCTAGTTCCTCAAAAGTCCGCCCTTTGGTCTCGGTGAGACGGAAGTAACCCCAGACAAACGTGAGGAAAGCAAAAACGAACCAAAAGAAGCCCGTTTTGCCTCTCCAATTCCATGCGACCGGGTTCATCATGTATGGTTCAATGACATTGGCCACCACAACGGTAATGTAATAAGCATTGCGGGCCACGCAAATCGTCTTCGATCGCAATCGCGTCGATGAGACTTCTGATGGTATAGACCAACCCATTGGTCCCACGGTCATTGAGAAAGTAAACAACCAAACGATGCAGAGAGCAGACTGTGCCCAGACAAGGTTGTTGTTATCCTTCGGAAGTGCCAAGAAACCGATGATGAGAAGATATAATGACATCAGTCCCATGCCAGTCAAGTACATGGGTCGACGACCAAACAACTTCATAAGAAACCAGGAGAGGATTGTCCCTACAAACGCAACCGCCGTGCCACCCAGTCCGAGCTTGTATGCATCCGAAGGAGTCATTCCCGCTTGTTCGAAGAAATATGTGCCTGTGTACGCGAATTGGATGCCGGCTAGCACCTGTCCGGCAAAGGTCATGCAAGCGATTTCCGTGCGTCGCAGATTGCTTCCTTTGAAGCAATCCCAGTACGAGCTGCCAGCCTCAATTTCCCGTTCGATGCTGTCTGTATGGATCATCATGGCGACTATTTGTCGAGGATTAGCTCTCTCTGACCTGCTGGTCAGGCGATGGACCGTTTTCTGAGCAGCTTCATATTTTCCATGGCGCACCTGCCACCAGGGTGATTCCGGCATAAGGACGGCTACTAAAAACAACGGTATCGGCCAGATCCATTGTACGGCATACGGAATACGATACGACCATTGGTCATCTCGACTAACCAGACTTTGAAGCACACCGGCGCTGATGAACTGGCCGATAGCGAAGCACATATTGATGTAGGCAGTCAAGTATGATCGCAGTGTCATGGGCAGTAACTCCGACGAGTATGCCGGTCCGATTGTCGCAAAAATGCCCCACGGTATGCTATCGAAATACTGTCAGAATATCATCTAGTAAATGAAAGTTCACACTCACCCGCAAAGAACTTGCCCAGCCACTTGAAGGCCCAAGGACTTGCCAAAGAAGGATACAAAGATGAAGCCGCACATGAGCACCTGCGCCCCCATGAAGACTTTCTTAAACCCATAGTACTTAACCAGGTACCCGTTCAGAAACGCCCCGACGATGCAACCAACATTGCTGCCGGCTCCTAAAGCCGACTGCCACGCCTGGGGCACCTGATACCCATCAACATGCTCGATGCCAAATTGTTTCTGGAAAGCGGGATACCCGTAGAAGCTGCCAATGAGATTGGTGTCATATCCTTCCATGATGATTGACATGGAGATGGTGAGTGACCAGATCACCGCCCAGGGATAAGATCGTAAGGCCTGCCGAACAGTCATATTGTGTTCATTGATGTTTGCCGCCTTCGCTTCGTCCACGCTCATCTGCCATGCAGCAGGTTTCTCGGCACATTGGGTGTCTTCGTTGGAGTTTTGTGCCTCCAGGTGAGCGGATGACGTCTTATCGGCTTTTGACTTCTCCATTTTCAATCGGTTGATCGAACTATTTCTGGGTAAGTAACGGAATACAACTGTCAATGACAACATCATGTACCTTTCGTCGAGATCAATATACACTGATCTTCTCAAATACTACCCAACAAGGTATGTTTTCGTGGACCCACGCTGGGTTATATACCAACAACACACCGCTCAGAGCAACAAACACAGACCAATAGATAAGCACGGCATCAAATCCTCGAGAATTTGAGTCAACCCCTTGCGTCCCTATCTCTGCAAGGGACAACGGTGAGCTCATGACCCAAATGATCCTACCTCGCCATCTGCAGTCTGAAAGACATTTGATGCCAACAGACCAATAGACGAATCTAGAGAAACGAGGGTCTAGAAAGCAAACTTGATGTGACCGGTGGAGTGAGGCTACCAGTTCACATATTCTTAGTAAAATATTCATCTAACGATCCTATACCTCGCAGTAATAATACTCAATGCGGAACAGAAACACTCCTGACTCAAGTACTTAGCATTGAACGTGTTTTTCAAGTCCCTGTGCCTGAATGGGGGATTTCCGTCTACATTAAAAATAAACGGCCATTTGACAGCAACTAGCGTGTGAAGAAGCAGCAAACTCAAGACACAGTGACTTTCAGTAGTCGAGCCGCCACCCTGGAAGGAATATAGACCTTGAGAGATCCCTCGGGGCTCTTCCATGATGTTTCAACGGGGATGGAAGTCGGGTAGAGCAACTGTACACTGGCTTTGCTGCCACGGAACGCCACAAGGGGGAGTTCGACTGACTCAGGCCCCCCTCGCCTCCAAATAGAAATGTAAAAGTGGCCTGCATCTTGCCCTTCCGGTGTTTGAGCTGCCATACCCAGCGCGACCCAATCATCGTGCCAGTGAGGAAGACCAAGAGGCCAGAATGCAGTGGCTGCTTTCAGATCAGATCGGATCTTTCGATAAACATCCATGCCTTCTTTGATCAGGGCAAACTGATGAGGATGAAGACGATCTAATCGTCCACTGAGATGAATACGGCCGAGCAAACTGTTCACGACAGTCATTGCGTTGATTTCATCATCCCATTCGGGTTGAGGATACGCCCACACGGCCCCCTGTTCGGGGGTCACGGCCGTTGGAAGGGCCGCGGCAATAGCAGCATAACGATCCGGGTCTTGCTGGTCACTGGTGGATTGGAGAGCGTGAACGGCTAACATGGCATAGTCCATGCGCTGAGCACCGCTGGAGCAGTTTTCGATTACAAGCTTTGGATACTTGTCGTGCAACTCGCTAACCCATTGTAGATAGGCCCTATTGTGCTCTAATTGACCCGATCCAGGGTTGGAGCAACGGACATCAGTGCCCTGCGTGACTTCGATGTTGTAGTCGAATTTGAAGTACCCGACTCCATAGTCCGTTACGAGGCGATGTATAATATCGCTCATGTGGTCTCGCACGACCTTTTGGCGGTAGTCGAGTTGGTACCGTCCCTTTTCAACAATGCGCTGGCCGTCTCGTCGGAAGAAAGCGTGTTCGGGGAGCTGCTGGGCAACAACGCTTCGGACTCCGACTACTTCTGGCTCTATCCAGAGACCCGGGGTTAGACCTCGTGCTTTCAATCGGGACAGAAGCTCCTTGAATCCCATAGGAAACCGTTTCTTCGAAGGCTCCCACAGCCCGACATCGTCCCACCATCCCGAATCATCGGCGTACCAACCGGCGTCGATCACAAAATACTCAGCTCCGGCCTCGACTACAGGGTCAACGAGAGCCAGGATCTTCTGATCTGTAGGGTCACCCATGAGACAGTTCATATAGTCGTTGAATATGATTGGCAATCGCTCGTGGTCGTCGTGTTGCCGCCTCATTTCCCGCCTGTACCGCGTCATCTCAGCGAATGCCTTCTCGTAGTTGTCCAAAACGTGACAGATTGCAACAGGTACCGTTGTGAACTCATGTTCTGGACATAGCCTTTCTCTCCAGCCGTGGTCCGTCTCGACAGGTCCGCCAGCTGCCACATAGACGCTGTCTTTCCAGTCCCCGATTTCCCACTGCCAGGACCCGTTGTTCTCCACCTGCCAAAGCCACGTTTCTGCGTCGTCAACCCGCTTCAATAGGCCCATGGGTAAGTGGCCTTCTGTCGAGAAGCTTCCATGGTTAGAAATACTATAATGAGCTAGACTAGCCGCGTGTGCTTCAGGGCGGCCGTACACTCCGTAATCATCGATCCCGAGACTGGGTAGATCATATTCAATCCACTGAGCCTCTCGGAACCATGAATTATTAGCCACGGACAGCTTGTAATCGAACCACCACTTCTCAGAGCCTGTGGTTAATCCCCCAAGAACGAGCGAGCTGAGCTGAGTCACCACGATGTCCTGGTCGCCATCATTCCGAATCGTGGCTGTTGATGACAGAACCGGAACGGACTGGTATAGCTTAAGGTGGGAGGTGACAGTGACTTTGGAGACGTCGTCCGCAAGAACAACATCTAAGGTTTTGGTTCCCGCTTGCGTGCTGATATGATGCGATTGGTATTTCAGTCGTGTGCCCAAATAGGTTCCAATGAGGGACTTGGAGGATTTGTGTTTTATAGTGCCTTCGCCTGCAAGACGCACCTCCACTAGTGGAGCGAACGAATTGGAAAAGTATTTCGATGCTGAAGGGCGAGTCGAGCCGGGAACGGGGATGACTTCTTGGAGGAAGGCTGCTCCGTCTTCGTCAATGTGGACTTTGACGTGCAGAGCATCGCTCTGAAGCGAGATTGTTTTTGGGAGTGCCATATTTTGGCAGAGAATGGTGGAGTTATGGTGAAACTGTGTTGAGTGTTAGACTCGGTCTAGGTAGAGAAAGGGGGTTTGACTTACAAAGATCCCATCTTGAACCCCACTCGATAGGTAACATTGCTATCAGCGTGCATGGAGGAAAGGAGACGGTTGGTGGGAAAACAAGAGAAGGAGATCCTGGAGTGGAAATATTTCCCCGCATTCCTTTAGTTCCTGGTGACAAGACCTGCCATCCATGCGCTTTCCTAAACGATTCACTGATCCGTCAGCTGTGCCTCACTTTCCGTCTACCTTGCTACATCTACTCGGAATGAACAAGCGTCCAGGACGCGGTCAAAGCTAAAGCTCATTATTTCACAAATTAGCCACCCATACGAGATCACATGTCTAATTACGTGGAGAAGAAAAAAAAAAGGTGTGGCATCAAGAACAATCCCAGATCCAGCGAGGTGAAAACAGGCTTGGCCACTTTTCAAACAAACGAGTCCTAATCCTCCACGCGAGCGAGCAGTGCACCGAGAAGGATACCAGTCATATGATCCTTACGCAACGCCTCATAGATGATCGAGATCCAGGCTCCAATAGTCTTTTTCTCTCTTCCGTTGAGGGAATTCGCCACGTTCTCGTCGCACGACAGGTCCTCGATGATGCCTTGATGGAATGGGATACCCAGCTGACGCCGGATATACACATACACCAGCTTCGATCCAAGGCCCATGTAGTCATGGGTATTCGGCTCTTCACAGAACTCATCAAACACCTCCTTGTAAGTCAAGGCCAGATTGTGGGCCGCGAGTTCTCTCCACTGGTCGATTTTGACGAGACGGTTCACTTCGGGATAGCTAGTCGGAGGGATCCTGGCGAGCTCTCTCACCACTACGGGCAAGGAATTATCGACAACATAACGGCAACGCTGTCCGATGTCCAGGCGGGAGGTCACGGGCCAAGTAGTCTGAATGGAAACGGCAATCTGTTTGAACAGCCCCTCTATTTCATCTGCGGAGAGAAAATCATTAAAAGCAAAATTCATTGCCCCAAGAAGAACCGAGTCCAGTTTCTCGTAAAAATTCAACTGCAGAACACGCAGGTCAAGGGCCTGGCACACCACATACAGGGAGCTTGCGGCCATCATGGAAACCAGATCAACCGCTTTCATAGTGTACCGTGCGGTCACAAAAGCCAGGGAGTTCACGGCTTGATTATGCATCTCGGCAGTCTGGACATGGGAGCTGACCGGGTTCGCGAGATAGGCCAATTCCGACATGTACGCAGCCATGTTGACATCGACTCCCTTCATAGTAAAGGACACACTGGGCTCATCAGCGGCCAGGTTGGTCGGCAGACCATTACTCAGACCAGGGTCTATCATCTCGGTACACTGTGCAAAAAGCAGTTTACCCAACATCTGCAGTGCCAAACGAGTCTTTTCCATCGCTGATGTCACCGAAGTAGCTTGGAAATTTCCGCCACAGTAGTATCTGGACGCCGAGCTGTCGATCAAGGGATTGTCGGTAGTGGAATTCAACTCTACATCGATCTGGCGATCGGCGAGCGCGAGGTCCTCCAGCTGGGGGCCAATCCATTGGGCAGCTGTTCTGATGGAATATCGATCCTGAATCAAACCGGCATATTTTGTCTGCATTGCTTCATCTCCCTTCACCAGGGAAGACCCCTGAAGCACGGCGAGGATGTTAGTGGCAGCCTCCATCTGGCCCTCGTGGGGACGGGTCAGATGAATGAATGGATGGAAGCTGTTCTTTGAGCCGGCGAGAGCCTCCACAGTAAGTGCTGTCACGACCTGGGACAGAACGGCAAGCTGATGGGCCTCATACAAGGCAAGACTAGCCAAGCCAGCAGCCGCCGCAGTTCCATTGACAAGTCCAAGCGCCTCCTTCGGACCTAGGGTGATTCCTGGGATTTTATGTGATTTGAGAGCTTGCTGTGCGGTAAGGAACCGATGGTCAGGGCTCTTGCCAACCTGCACAAATATTCCAGGGTTTCCTTCAGCAGCTCCAACAATGTAAGCGAGAGGCATCAGATCTCCGGAGGCCGAAATGGTACCGCGAAGAGGCACCACGGGGACTATTCTATGACGGATCAAGCGTAATATTGCCTTGATAGAAGCCACGGATACAGCCGAGTGACCTCTAGCGACAGAATTGCTGCGGACCAGCATGGTTGCTTTCACCCATTCAGGCGACATGGAATGGCTTTCCAGTGCAGACCCCTCATCCCCGATGTCACCCTCTGTTAAGATACCACTCTGAAGGAACTGCAAGAGGGATTTCTGCAACGTGAATACTTGGGTAGTTCGCGAGTCCGCGCTTCCTCCGAAGCCGGTGTTGACCCCTGCATCTATCAGTGACGGCCTCATCGTTACATGGAAAGATTTAATATCTTACCATAAATGAATTCTCCATGGGCCAAACGGTCAGTCAAAACGCTGACGCTTCTGTTGATGCTCGCGATTCTCTCAGGGTCCTTCGTGAGATGAGGACGGCAGCCAGATCTGATCCCAGCGTTTGTTAATTTCTATGATCTTTCCACAAAGTAAGGCAACAGAGCATGCACTGAACTCACTTGGCAACTGCGACCACGTCGGCAATGGTCAGGCTGTCTCCATCAATGTTCACTTTTCCAGTTTGATTGTTGACCTGCAATTTTTCCCAGCGAGCTTTAGCCACTTCCAGATGACTCTGAAACTGGTTGTAGCTGAACATCGTGGCAGTTGAGAGATGCAAAGAGTAAAGAGAAGGACAAAGAGGTATAGTAAGAGCGGCGTCAACAAAGGAGAGGTCTCTGCGGCCTCTTTGCGGACGGTGTGGGCAGGAGAAGGTCTTCTCGCTTAAGTGAGGAGGGGACCTGCACGCGTGGATGTTGTTGCAAGTCACTGGGCTTTAGGGCGCGTCTGGGGCTCACAGCTGCTCTTTCGGGGCTGGCTACACCCGCCACCTTCTCACTCACCACGGTGGATGACACAGTTCAGCTGTTACTGGAGATGCGGATTCACGCTTCATTTGCTCCACTTTGTTGGGTGTCTGCAGCAGTGGTCTGTTACAGCATTTGAATTCCTTATAGGTTTGTAATGACAAATCTACATCGGAACAACCCAATATGCATCTAGGACTGCGGTATCTACCGATTACCTTGAGTACAATCACAACCTTGTGACTTTTAGCACATTTCCCACTGAGTGTCGGACTATTCCGTGACTTGTCATGAAAAACCTTCTGTCAGCCCTTTAATCTGCTGCCCAGCCTCACTTGGAAAGTCCACTTGTGTCCAGAGCTCTTGGGAAGACCTTGACTATAGGCTACATCACTCTCTTCTACACTTGCTTTTTACCTAAGGTAAAGCGTGCTTTGGATCTGCAGGTTTCTGACGTCATGATCACAGGGTCAATCTCAATTTTCATGGGGATTCCCACAAACTTACTACCCTTGTTTGTATACCGATATAGAACAATGTACCCACTAGGTGCATCTTTTCAAATCTGCATGCCTAGCTGTCCGATCTCCACGAATTAGATAATCCATTCGAAATACTTGCTCCTAGCCCAGAATATTTTATCTGTTTAATATAGATACCTCTTTGTATAGTTTTGTCTTTGTTCCCGATTTATCACCCAACTAAGAGGAAGGTTGGACGTTACCCGTATGAAAAAGAAAGAAGATACAGCAAAGTATTCCTTCCTTCCAAGCTACCTACTCAGGCTAACGAACGAAAAGACCTGCCACTTCTTCCACGTAATAGACTATTAGACCCGCCCCATAACGGATAAAGTTTCAGGACAGGGCCTTAATTAATTTGTGTTTCTCTGCACTGGCGCTCAAGCTTGTCCACCCTCTAGCATCCTTGCTACAGTGTTACGGAATCCCGATTGTTTTGGATGATTTGAAGATATCTAGCAGCACAAAGGCCCATCATTTAGATCCGCAATCCTACATACTGGTGAAAGTAAAGCATCGTGCTTTTACGTGGTGGTCTATGGATATTAACAGCTCTGAAAGACCTTTCAACTGAGTCTTTAAAAAAAGTTTGTTTTACATTATTTACTTTTCAACTATTCAGACATGAACGTATCGTTTTTCGTCATCCCATATCTAGCTAGGCTTTTTAGTTGGCCGGGACGTGGAAGAATATATGTATGTGACAAGATAGGTAGATAAGTGTAGTCTACTCTACTCCGTAATATGGCTCTCAACCTTTCCGTTCTATCAAACAACCAATTTAGTTAGTCAATGTATTCTCAAAGAAAACGAAGGGGATATCACATACCAGCTCACGACTATACTTCACTCCAACATTGTTTCCGCTAACCGAATCGTACGGAACAGGGCTCGTGTAGTTGAACGTAGCCGTCAGATTCTTCCACGTCTGCTCCACCACGTTCAGGATGCCGTGGCCCGCAGAGCAGCGGCCCCGAGTCAACGGGACCGGCCACGTAGAAGCACCGGGGTTGCTGCGCATCGGGCCGGGGTGCGTCTCGTTGAGGTACAGGTTACTCGTGTCAACGTCCCAGTTCTTGTATCCAACCTTCTCGGCCAGGAAGCTGAGCAAGTTGGCGCCGCAGTCCCAGCGGCCCAGGGACGGGAGGCCCCAGTTCGCGGACAGGGAGGCGATGATGGAGTAGTGGGTGTAGAAGGTGTCGTCTTGCTTGCCGCGGAGGTGCTCCGGAACGGCGCCGCCAAGCAGGAAGCTGTAGATCTTGTTACCGATCTCGTAGGTGTCGTTCTCGTCGAAGGTGAGCAGGATGAGGGTGTCCTTGGTGAAGTACTCGTTCTCGAGCAGCTCGGCGAGGAAGCGGTAGGTCCAGGAACCGGCGAAGGTGATGTTCGTGTCGTGAGCGTCGTTGGTCATGTTGGGGGTGATGAAGCTGTATTGCGGGAGACGGTGGTGGGCGAGGTCGTCGTAGAAGTCGGTGAAGTTCTTGATCTGGCGCAGACGCGTGGCGTCCTCGGTGACGGAGTTGAAGAGGATCTTGGGGTTGTGCTTGCGCACGTAGTCGTTCGGCCCGCTCTCTGGGTACCGGTATCCTTGGTATCCTGGGTGCGGCATGTGTTCTTGGTACTCGCCCCAGGCGATGTGCTTGACGTCGAGCATGTCGGCGATGGTGGATACGTTGGACGGGATCTGGTTGAAGTCGTCGTTGTCCATGCCGAAGGTGTCGCCGCCGGCGGAGGCGCAGTAGTTGGGCTCTGAGGGATGGGTGACGGCCCAGTAGTTGCTCAGGAGGAGACCCTTCTCGGCCAGCTTGGATAGGTGAGGGTCCTTGGCCGCAGCGTCGAAGTCCTGTGGTATTCAATCAGATGCGGGCTCATGTGGTGCTAAAGGAGTATGAGGCGGACTTACGGTGTTCTCCAACCAAATGTTGACGAATCGGTTGAAGGACAAGCCCTTGACATTGGAGACGGGGGAGTAAGGCAGGACTGTCGCCTGAGCAGCCTCGATCTCCGCACGAGAAGGCAGTTCCTCAGTGGTGGTCTTGGCCAAGGCCAGGGAAAGACCACCCAGGAGAGTCACCAGGGTTTGTTGAGGAAGCATTGTGCTCTCTGGGGTGCTTGAACTGTCGATTGAACAGTAGATGCTGTCGTGAGGGATGGATAGGAAAGAATCATTTCATTGTTAAGGCACCTTCCATCTCCCTTATATACCTTTCCCAACGGCATGGCACATTAAGACGGATTTTCCCGGCAAGACCTGGTCCATTCACGAGGTGAATCCAGATAGCACTACCACGTACCCCTCATGGCAGAAGCATCTCGCTTCCAGCATCTCTCCACCCGGGACATGGCAAGTTGGTCGTGTCGTGCATCGCGTTGTTGCACGTTGCAAGGCGATGATCGCTGAGTGGCCCAAAGCTTGGCGACGGGTCCCGGGCACGTGCGGGAGCTGGCTCACCCGACCGGCTGAGCTTGGCCCGGGTGGAGCCGCCTGGTATATTCCCTGTAGTTACTGTAGGTACCTGCGGAGTAGAGGGAGTGCATACTTCCACGAACTTGTCGAACATGCCAATGTGAGCATATCCATTGGTAAAAATTGCTACGAAGAAACAGGGCTGAGTGGCACGCGGTTCGCTTATTGCTTATCATGACCTTCGGGGACATAATAGAAATTGGTCACTGGCTACCGAGCAGCGGGCCTGACTCGATTCATTTCATGGAGGTCATTCCAGTCTTCTCCACGACAAGATACCCAATGAGTACAAGCGTCTGAGCAGGAAACTTCCGAGCAACCTTGAGATTGGTCTTGGTTTGTGCCTTGCTTCACACCTGGTAAGGTTTCGGAAATGCTGATACCCGTGGAAGCCTGGGAAGTGCACCACCTCGTCAAATTACGGGTCTGATAGATGGATATTTTGTCTTGAGCAGTATGTAGACTAGCTGGTCTTGAGTATAGACCTCTGATACAAGGCAGATGAAAAAGGAAAAGCTTTCGTTCATGACTCGGTTACATTAAAAACCCTATCTTTATCTAAAGGAACACACAGTAGAAAAAATAAAGATAATGTAAGTCGATTATCACCGTGGGCACGTGGACATATACACAGCAGTGAGTTCGTAGGACCTTGACCTTGACAAAGAGACAAAGATGCAAATGAGAACAAAAACATAGCATCCGGTGGCGGTATGCGTTTTAGAAAAATCATGTGAGAAAAAGAGAAGAAGAAAAATTGAAGATCGCCAGAAGCGAGATAATAAAAACAGGGAAATAGAAGAATCAAAAGGCACAATATTAAAGGATTTAAAAGACCGCCAAGTCTATGAGGAGAAAGAGGATAGAATGCTGGTACAAATCGGAGGAAGCAGTGGTTTTTGTACAGGACAGGGCGTTTCACATGAGGTATTTTTAGGTGGCGAGGATTGATGCGAAGGTTGAGATGCTTACTCGGGCTTGCGGCCCACCATGAGGTACATGGGAGTGAAAAGCTTCTTCTCACCACCGGCGACTAGGCAGTCACCGGCCAGAGCCAGACTGTCGGCAGTCTTCTGCGTGCCCTTGGGGGCAAGACCGACCTTCTCCATGGCGCCAACAAGGCGATGAGCGATACCACGGCCCCACCAGGTCATGCGGGCGATGGTAAAGAAGTCCCAGGGCGAGGACATGTGCTTGAAAGATCCAGCGAGAGGGTAGTACCAGGGGATGGTGTCGGGGCGGTCTGCCAGATCCTCGTGGTGCAGGAGCTCGAAGCCGGCGTTCTTGACAGCGTCCAGACCCTCGGAGACGCGGACCATGTTGGAGATACCGTCACCCTGCTCGATACCGAGACGGATCTTGCGGTGCTCGGGGTTGTCGTTGTTGTACTCGTCGGTCATGAGCCACTCGTACACGCCGAAGATACCGCCGGGCTTCAGCACGCGCATGATCTCCTTGTAGACGCCGACGAGCTCGGGAGCGTGGACGGTAGCCTCGATAGCGTAGACGGCATCGAACGAGTTATCGGGGAAGCTCATCTGCATGAAGTCACCCTTGACGAAGCTCAGCTTGTCGCTGAGGCCCTCGCGCTCGGCGTAGCGGGTGGCACGCTGGATCTGGTAGTCGTTGTTGTTCAGACCGACGACGTTGGCGTCGGAAAACTTGACGATCTCACGAGCGGGGCCGCCCACACCGCAGCCGACATCGAGCACCTTCATGCCGGCTTTGATGCCCATCTGGTGAGCGAGGTAGTGCTCGTGGCGGGCGATGGCCTGGTAGAAAGGCTCGCCGTAGGCGAATCGGCAGAAGTGGAAAGAGGTACCCCATCCGTATTCGTACAAGTCGGTGGCAAGGTTGTAGTAGCTATGAGGGGGAAGGTTAGTAAACGAGAAAAAGAGGTGGTGACTTGCAAACGCGGTGAACATACTGTCTGGTCAAGGTGGCATATTCGGCACGACGGGCCTGTCGACAAGAAAAAGACAATTGGTCAATGTTTACTCCAAGAATCAATTGAGCAAAGTATATCTTACAGCGCGAGTTTCCTCGGTCTCGTCGGCGGCATCCTGGTTATCCCAATGCTTGAAGTATTCATCAATAGCAGCCTTCTGCGCGGCAGCGTCCTTTCCACGCATGGCGGCGAAACCACCCTGGGCCTGAGCAGATTTGCCGTGCAGAGCCTTGGCGAATTGCGCATCGCGCTCGTGGTTCTCCTGTTCCAAAGCGGTAGGAGCCATTGTGAAGAGTAATTACAAGTGGTGTGAAAAGGGGTGGAGATTCGGTGGAAAAAGAATGTCGGATACGACGCGAAAGAGTGGAGGGGACTCGGAGGGCAATTTGTAGTTTGTAGACCACGAGTCAAGAAGAAGAATCAGGCAACAGGGAAAAGAGAGGGTGGGAGAAGTGAAACCGCAATTTTTTTTAAAAAAAAAGAAGAAGAGAGGAAGAGAAGGAGAAAAAAAGCAAGTCGCAGGTGAAGATAAGCGGCCAGCAAGCAGATCGACGAGAAAAGAAAGGAGGCGGAATCGCGACTGACTTTGACAAGGGGCACGGCCAATCGCAGGTGAGGAACTGACCAGGAGACCCACTCTTGTCTGCGCTAGCCCCAATCGGGCCATCCGGGGTTCGAGCCGGAGAGGGGGGGATCCTATTGGCTGGCAAAGTGGCGCAGGGAATACGCAAATACGCCGCGGCAGGTGGAATACGCAGCGAACACGACGGGTCTAGACACTACCTTAGTACACCTACTTATACTGGCACCATTGAAGACCTGTTTAATATTCAGAATGGATGTTTTGTGTATATGATGCTAGTCGATGTACCAATCCCAGGTTATATTCAACCCTCCCAAAATAGATGAGCCTTTGGATCTTATCGCGGAAGGTTCCACCGCGCGAGGTTCACCGTTCACCATGTCCGCGGCCGCCGAGAACCATTCCCACGTGACATCCGCTTATGTCACCCACTAGCCACATGATCCCGCCACTCTCCAGCCACAGAAGGAACTCTATCGATAATCGTGATTCTTTCCCGACCACCGAAGCGCATCCACTCGCTCGAGCTACGCGTGCCTTCGCCGGCTCCTCATCGAGACTTGCTGGAACAACCGCGTTACAGTATGCCTCAGCCTCAGATTAAACAAGACCTCAACCGGTCGGGGTGGGAAACCACCGACTTCCCCTCCGTCTGCGAAAACTGCCTGCCCGAAAATCCGTACGTGCAGATGCTGAAAGAAGATCACGGTGCAGAATGCAAGATCGTATGTCGCCCTTCTCCCGCCTCTTCAACCCTTTCTTGGACCTAACTGTCGGATAGTGCACTCGCCCTTTTACCATCTTCCGCTGGAAGGCCGACCGTACCGCGCGTACCAAGCGCACTGCCATCTGCTTGACCTGCGCTCGGTTGAAGAACTGCTGCCAGTGCTGTATGCTCGATTTGTCTTTCGGCCTTCCCATCGTCGTGCGTGATGCCGCTCTCAAGATGGTGGCTCCCGGCCCCGAAAGCACGATCAACCGCGAATACTACGCCCAAGGACACGAGAAGGAGATCGAAGAAGGACGCGGGGCGGTAGAGGAATACGAAAAGACGGACGAAAAAGCGCGTGACCTGCTGCGACGACTCGCACACAGCGAACCCTACTACAGAAAACCTCGGCAGATCGAAGCCCCGCGCGATGAGGAGGGCGAGGCGCCGTCCGCCGACGGTCCGGTTATGCATAGTCGATATGGCAACGGACCGGGTCCGATTCGAACAAGCGACAGTAGAAGAGGGACGCCTCTGCCTGGAAGAGGACGGGGTGGAATGCGTGGTGGCCGCGGCGGTCGTCCGTTCCCCGGAACTGCTCAGTTGCCGCCGTCGCAAGACGATATTCTTCCCCCCGCGGACCCGAACGTTACGTCTCTCTTTGTCACGGGTGTCGAGGACGACCTACCCGAGCATACTCTGCGTTCTTTCTTCTCCGAGTTCGGTCAACTCCGGTCGCTCGTCTGCTCCCACCGCGCTCACTCTGCGTTCGTCAACTTTGCTACACGCGAGGGCGCCGAAGCCGCTGCCAAACAGTGCCAAGGAAAGGCTGTCATCAAGGGCTGTCCGCTGCGGATTCGGTGGGGCAAACCCAAGCCGCTGGACAATATGGACCGCGAGGAGAGATTGAAACATGCTCGTGAGGGACGATCGGCCGTCGGGACATCCAGGGGACCAGGCTCCGGCAACAAGGCCATCACCGCGGCGGGCGAGGGAGCCGTCGACAAGCCGGAGGCGCCCCGAAATATCGTGGCTCCGCCCCCGGGCAGCGGCGAGATCCAGTACACCAGTCTGTCTGGCGATTAAGCGTACGGTTCACATCTTGATACATCTCTACTTGTTAAAATACTGGCACCATTGAAGGCCACATGTACATTCGAAGCGGGCGTTTTTGTGTATTCTCTTTTCTTTACATTGCTATTATCAATCCAAAATACCCCAAAAGACGCCGGAAGGAGAGAAAAGTTTGGGTATACTATAATACAAAGCACAAATGCAAATATTCTGCAATCGCCCCATCCCATGCGTAGAACATGTATTCCAGCACCCGTTAAGGTTCGCCTAAGCAGAGCATGGCTTGTCAATCTTGACACTCTTGCCGCCAATCTTGATCGAGTCGTTATCGCCGCGTTCGATGTTATCGTGGATATTAAGTTCTATTCCCAGACTGTTAGCAACATCCACACAGCTTCCAGAAAAAGACATACCCCATCTCGCATTGTCATCTCCGGCCACTCGAGACCCTTGCACAATATTATGCTTCAGAATGTTGGCCACCTCCACGGCGTGGTTGATCTGCATCGGGGTGTCGATTCCGACACGGGGGTGGTCATCGAAGTTCCGACGGGCCTCCTGGCGAGCGGCAAGCATCACACGGCTGTCATCTATGATTCAAAGTAAGTTAGAGCCGTGCGATTGAGGACAAACAAAGCGTTGACTGACTTTCAAAAGCGACCCGGGTGGCGCGGAGAAGCTGACGATAGGCACTTCGAGCGGAAACGGCCATGTTGTGAGGATAAAACGAGAGTAAATGATTCGTAAAGTTTGTGGTGAGTGATTCAACTGCTGGAAATCTCTTCCAACCAAGTTCTGCCGTCCAAGTAGTTGCTCGTCAACTTGTCCCTGAAGCATTCGATTTGATCTCCGAAACCACCGGCGGCTGATTGGCGTGGCGTGGGCGGAATGTCGGGGCAGAAAAATTAAAAGAGAAAAAAAAAGACACACTTTTTTTCTGCCGCCGCCGTTCTTTCTTGTCAGCATCCACTTTCCTTCGGGCCCCTCCTTTCTTTTCTTTGTACATCTCGAACGCCGCAAAGTACAGTTGGCTTCGATCCGCATCGAAATGACTTCTGTTACCGTCACTCTGCCGGCTCTGCCTGCTGGCTGGTCCGCCGATAAGGACTTCAAGGCCGTTGGCTCGCTGTCTGCCGCCACCCAGCGCACGATCGAGCCCGTTGGCCCTCACTTCCTCGCTCACGCCCGCAGAGTACGTTCTTCCGCTGACTGAAATCTATCTGATTTTGCAATTGTCAAACTCTGCAAACGGAGTGGCCTAATTTTTCCCGTTGTTCAAACACTAACAACCCTCTAGAAGCGTCACAACCGCACTTTCTCTGAGGACGAGAGAATCCAGGCCCAGAACAACGTCAAGAAGACCGAGGATGAGGACGATGACAACATTTCCGAGCCCGAGGACGGCATGCTCCTGGCTCGTGAGGCCAAGGACTGGAAGGTGCGCACATCCATTGTTTCTTTTTCCGCCCACTAAAGCCAATCGCTAATCCATCACAGAGCCAAGATCACTACGCCGTGCTCGGTCTGACCAAGTACCGCTGGCGCGCAACCCCCGAGCAGATCAAGCGTGCTCACCGCAAGAAGGTCCTGCGTCACCACCCCGACAAGAAGGCCGCCATGGGCCAGAGCGACGAGAACGACCAGTTCTTCAAGTGTATCCAGAAGGCCACCGAGGTTCTCTCGGACCCCGTCCGTCGTCGCCAATTCGACTCCGTCGACGAGGCCGCTGAAGTCGACGCCCCCACCAAGAAGGAGGCCTCCAAGGGCAACTTCTTCAAGCTCTGGCGCCGCTGCCTCGAGGCCGAGTCCCGTTTCTCCAAGATCCAGCCCGTGCCTATGCTGGGTGACGACAACAGCACCTTCGAGGAGGTCGACAACTTCTACAACTTCTGGTACAACTTCGACAGCTGGCGTACTTTCGAGTACCTGGACGAGGATGTTCCCGATGACGGTGAGAGCCGTGACCAGAAGCGTCACGTCGAGAAGAAGAACGCCAACGCTCGCCGCAAGCGCAAGACCGAGGACACTGCCCGTTTGCGCCACCTGGTCGACGACCTAGCCGCCCAGGACGAGCGTATCAAGAAGTTCCGTAAGGCCGCCCGTGCTGACAAGGACAAGAAGCGTCTGGAACGTGAGGCCGAGGCCAAGCGTCTGGTCGAGGAGAAGGAGAAGGCTCGTCTGGAGGAGGAGCAGCGCAAGAAGGAGGCCGAGGAAGCCGCCAAGGCCGACCGCGAGAAGTCGAAGAAGGCCAAGGAGGCCGCGAAGAACGCTTCCAAGAAGAACAAGCGTGTTCTCAAGGCCTCCGTCAAGGACGTCAACTACTTCGCCGAGTCCGGTGACGCCTCTGCCGCCCAGATCGACGGCGTTCTCACCGACGTCGAGAACATCATGGGCAAGATCGACGCCGAGGAGCTGGCTTCTCTCGCCGAGCGCCTTACCGCTGCCGGTAAGGATGCCGCCGCCGTCAAGGCCGCCTGGACTGAGGAGGCCGGCAAGAAGCTCAAGGAGGGTGAGGCCAAGTTCTTCGCTTAGATGTGATGTCTTGTTGAACGAAAAACTAAAATCATGGTGTTGTTTTGGCGTGGTCTGGCGGACAAACGCTTTTACATGTTAGATGGCATGATTGGCAATGATAAACATGCTGGATAGATGGATAGACTAGCTTTTCAAGATCTAATGGAGGCAACGAACTTATGCATTCCTTTTCATTCTTCACTTTGGTTTTAATATTGGTGATTAGATTCCGTATCTATCCCTGAGTCCTTTCATGAACATATCCCAGCGATCACAGCACCCTAGTGAAGTAGTTCTACGACAACAATTTCCTGGCTGCTAGTGCAGCCGCAGCATCAGTCTATACATCTCACCCGCCCTATACCAGACAGCAGCTGGACGCCGCATCAGATAAAGGGTTGGCGATCTGGTGCATTTTGCGCCAGTGCACTCGTCCCTGCGGTGAAGAATCGCATTCGACCGGCCTATCCGGTCAAGATGACTAGAGAGTCGGGCTGGTGCATACTCTCTGCAAGTGATGCCCGAGATTATTATAATATGGTTTCCTTAACCACGCCTCAGTCAAGGTCATCTTACTCTTCCACTCCTGCTCGCGCCCTTTGATTCCGTTGCCGCCTGGGGTATTCCACTAGTTCACGCGTCTGGTATTCGCCGAATCTTGCCCGGTCCACTATACTCTTCCCCGTCATCCTTTTTGTGGCATCTTTTCGTTTCGGAGCTGGTGGAATCATTCACATGCTTGGGAGAATCCGATGAACTAGGCGCCACTAGCTCGTCCATGAGTCGGCCGACAAAGGTATCAAGAGGCTTGTACGGAATCATCTTCCGATGAATCGTAGGCCACGTTAAAGGCATTTCCGCAGTCTTCAGGTTTCCGAGCGCGTCGAGAAGATCAGTGGTGATCTCAGCCTCGCATAAAAGTAACGATTCTTGATCTATGACGTTCGTCACTAGAAGACGGGACTGGGGAGAACATGATTTAGTATCGATATCGGCAGCGAGCGGATAAATAAACGTACAACGCGAGTTTGTGGTTTGGATGCAGGAGATTCGCGTTGTTGATGCTATGCAAGAGCCAGCAGAATAAAAAGGAAGTACGGGTCTTCGGTCCAATCTTCTGGGGTTGCGTGCGCAAGGAGTTCTTGCCGCCGAGTAGACACTCTGCTTGCTCGGGCAAGGCCCTTGCAATGTGCCCTGCGGGCTCCATTGATACTGGTATAATGTATGTAGCCTACTGTATCGGATAGGGGATCACTTTTATGACGATGGAACGCGACAAATGGCGGGCGGTGGATCGGCCGGCCTTATAAGTAGAAGTGAGACCCTTACCTACTCAGCAGAGGTTAGTTAGTCTTACCATCCAAACAGGCTGTAGGCTAGCTCTTACATACCTAGCGCGTACAAACCTTCGCCCTTCGCGGAGCAGAATATTGTAGATACAATGAAGTTTCGATTTCGGAGACAGATTACGAGCTAGCGCTTCAGTATCGTCTGTGTACTTGGAATCCTGCGGCGTGGACTCTGAGTAAGTGGACGTCTCAACATCGTCGAAGAGGCATCCCGGCGATTCAAGATGCCTCGAAGTCCACAGTAGAGGGTGGTCTAGAAGATCACGTCGGCTGCGAATAAAGTCAAGGAGCGGCTTCGGCGTACAGGTCTGATCCATCGTCAAGATGGAGGTTGCAATGACGAATGTTTTACCGCCTAGGCAGCCGCATGGTGTATGCGCTGCAGTGCCCGTGACAAGCTAACCCTAGGCTCTAGGTACGGATTTGAATCCAGTGATCCGTTGAAAAAGATTATTATGACTTGATAGTGATTGATCACTATAGTACCTCTTGTGATCCAACTTCAAATACCCCAATTAAATCCTAAACATGCATCACTGGCCAAGCACCAGCCATGGACCCTTCTATAACCTCCTCTCCTCCAGTTCTAGCTCAGCCTTCTGTTTCGACGAAGGCAACTTCTTCTTTTCCACCAACACAGTGACGAGCAGAAGAGCCGCCCCAAAAACACCCCCTACCACGCCATACGCGATCTCTCCACCGGGGGTATTTTTGACAAGTTTCAAACCAAGCCCACCATTGATGATACCAAGAAGGATCAAAACTCGGCCGTACCAAACATGTAGACGGGTCCACTTTCCAGGCGCCCGGGCTTTCCGGAACCGGAAATGATGAATTAACCCGATGAACGGTTGGAGTAGTAATAGGACAACGACGATGGTTCCGAGGATTGTGTGGGCGTTGTTGTGCAGCTACGGTTGGAAGATGTTAGGTCCCTGCATTGGGACTTTAAAACGGTGCAATGCAATTTTCCTTTTTTTTTTTTTTTTTTTTTTTTTTTTTTTTGATAGACATTTGGAAAATGTCTTTCTTTGAAGGCTGAAAAATAAAAGTGCTACTTACTCGGTCAACAATCTTCCCAACACGAATGCCAGTTGCCAGTCCCGCAAGCATCAAGATCCAGCTGAGCATTTGCCATACAGCATGTATCCAAATAGTCCCTTTGACACGGAGAAATCGAATCACTAAGACTCCGAGGGGCATCATAACGGTGAAAGCCAGGCCCATGACAATGGCATGGGACTTGACCAACTTGGGGACTAGATGAAGATCTTCGAAGATGATTCGAGCCATGGGGAGCGAGTGGAAAGAGAAGGATCTGCCATTGAGCGTCAGTAGGCAATCTTGAACTTCATGAATCAGACATACTCAAAGAAAGTATAGCAATGTTGGATGCCAGGGGTAGGCTGCCGAAGTGGTCAAAAATGATTGAATTGATGGAATAAAAGAATGACTGCCTGATCAACTATCTAGAGGCCAAATTAGGTCCTTTTTTTCTTCAATTCCACGTGATCTTCATGGCCAATACCATGGAATCTTCCGTTTCATTGATGGAATCCTCCACTTTGTGAGACATGTACTTGCCTTCGAATCGAGGTTTATTTTCTTTGTCTTTTAACCCGGCAGGGTTTGACGTTGAATCTTTGGAGTCTCGGGAATACAAAGCACTTACAATGGTTCTGCTATCGTGGATCATCCAGCACTTTATATGCGATCTCTAAAATCTAGAGCATTGAATGAGGTCATTTTGTATAGAGATGCACTGACCAATCAATCGACACCATCCCTCCAAGCACCGAGAAATGCGGGAACCGCGAAAAAGCCGTTGCATTGGCAGCACAGCCACACCTCGTATTGCCAACATCGCTGCCATCTGGCGAAGATGTGAAGGGTCTCAGGCTTCCATATTCCGAGATCGCCGAGCTTTAATGCGATTGACAGACTTGACCAGCAGGTAAACGATTTCATCTGTCGATCAGCGTTGTAAAAGCAAATGTCACACAGCATAACCATGGACAAAGAGACTCGACCGGCCGGACTACCACCAATGACAGGGCCTTTGATATTCAAACTTAAAGCCTGCGTTGGTTGTCGCGCCCGGAAAGTAAAATGACAGGGAAACACCCTGCAGCAATTGTATACGGTGGTCGGTGGCGTGCATATATCCGTCGCCAGTGAGGACCTGCAATCGACCCTCAAAGGAGCAGTTGACGAAGACGGAGCCAAAGTCACAGCTGGATGTGATGCGTATCCCTAGTCCAGCATTGTGGGACCTGGACATATCGATCCGAATATGCAAGCAACCGGTGGTTTCCTCCCCGTTACTGTCTCAGGCGCGAACCTGTTGGCGAATTTTCGTCGAGAGGGTGGACCCTGTCGTGAAAGTATTGCATCAAACTAGCCCAGAAAGGGTCGTTGTTGTATCGGCATGTCAGCCGGAGTCCCTACGGGACATTTAGAAGGCTCTTGTCCATGCGATCTACTTTGCAAGTATTGCAAGCATGACGTCGGAGGAAGCTCAGGAATGTTTTTACATGAACAAGGACACGGCTTTGATGGGCTATAGTCACTTGGTGGAGCAGTCACTGGCACGCGCGGCATTTCTCCTCGATGACGAATTCAGCACATTACAAGCGCTCGTTCTTTTTCTGACGATAAATCGACTATCCGGCAAGCCGAGTGTTGCATGGAAGCTGGCAGGACTGGCAAAGCGGTCGGGAGTGTTTCGCAAATCCGATTTGACAATCTATGAACGTGAGATGAGAGCCCGATTGTGGTGGAACCTGTGGTATCTGGATCATCGAGCTGTCAAAGATCTCGGGGAAGAGGATGCATCCGACAAAGAGACCTTTCCAGAACTGCCTTTGAACATCGACGATGCCGACCTTGATCCACATGCCACAAAGTCTCCGACTCCGCGAGAAGGTTGGACTGAAGTGGCATTCGCTCTTGTACGCTTCGAAATTGCCATGACACGATGCCAACTACATGATCAACTTGATCTGAACCAGAAAGAGCGTCTTATACAAGCATGTGAAACCAGAATCCATGATCGGTATCTCCGACACAACAACGATACGGAACCGATCCAATGGCTAACACAACACGTCGCACACGTTCTGATAATGGAGATGTGGTTCGAGCTGTACAGTGCCGACACTGTTCCCATTGACAGTTGGTCGCAGCATGTGCAGGACCGACTCTATCTGCTGGCGATTGACATCGTCGATATTTCTGCGCGATTAAAAACGGAGCCACAATCGCAAAAGTGGAGTTGGTTGCTGACGGGATACCAACAGTATCGCCCGTTAGCCTTTTTGTTGAACGAGCTGTGCTATCGACAGGAGTGCGAGGCGGTGCATCACGCATGGAAAGTGGTGGAGGATGCGGTCACTCGCTGGCCCGATCAGGTGCGCGCTTCCGTAAGTGGGAAGGTCCTGGCTGGCCTGAGGCAAAGGGCCAGGCGAGTGCAGTTGCAAATCACGCAGCGTCAGCATTTGGTTGATATCTAGGTAAATAGGCCTTATATGATGAGGTTTTAGTTGATGAGGCACTTGTCCAGTTGTATTAAAGTCTATATAAGTAGGGGGTACTAAATTTGGTATTTGACAGGTGGTATATAGCACTACTGTCAAGCAGTAATTATTATACACACGAAGAGAAATTCAGGCCCCCTTCCACCGGCGAGACGCTTAGCAAGAAGCACCGGAGGGAACGTTCTTGCACTTGCTGCTCTTCTTGCCACCGGAGACGCTGTTACCGCTCCAGGTCCAGTTCTTGCAGCTGCCGGAACCGCAGAGGAGGTAGACCGGAGTGGCAGAGCTCGTGACGCTACCGGTGACCTTCTTGAAGGTGATGTTCTCGATCGGGATGCCGTTGGTAGGGTTGCCGGTGGGGCTGCCGTTCTTGTAGTCCTGCTGGACGACGATACCGTACTTGGTGATGCCGGACAGAGTGATGTCCTCGAAGCGGACGCCCTTGACGGTACCGGTGGCACCGTAGACGGTCTTGATGCGAGCACCGTTCTGGGAGTTGATGATCTTGGAGTTGATGATGTTCACGGTGTCGACGGTGTTGTCCTTGCGGCCGCCGACGGAGCCGATGGAGAGACCGTGGCCGCCCTCGCAGTGGCCGTTGGAGAAGGTAATGTGCTAGAAGATTATTAGCCGAAACTCTCTGCAGTGCAAGGAGGCAGAGCGGAATGGCACGTACCTTGCCGGAGTTAACAGCGAGACAGTCATCCTGGTTGTAGACGGTAGCGTGGTCAATGGTGATGTAGGTACTGGAGCCAACGTCGAAAGCGTCAGTGTTGTGGCCCTTGTTGGTGCCGGAGGAGTTATCGATAAGCACGTTCTGGATGGTCAGGTGGTTGGACTGGATGCTGAAACCCTGCACGGGGGTATTGTAGACCTTCAGGCCCTTGATGACGGAGTTGTTGAGCTTATGGGCATAGAAGAACTTGGGCTTGGTCTTTCCACCGTTGCCGCCCTTGCCGTCCCACCAACGAGCACCGTCGCAGTTGATCTTAGCACCGGACGCCTGCTGCACGGTGATGTCGGTTCCGGACACGGAAATCAGGGGACCCTTCCATTCCTTGTAGCCGAAGGTGGTCTCACCCTCGAAGGTGACCTATTGGGATCATGAGTTAGTTGCGATATGGCTGCGGACGGGGAAGGGAGCTCGTACGGTAGCACCAGTCTTGAGGCCAGTCAAGTCAAGAGTCTGACCGGCAGGAACCTGGATGTTCTTCAGGACGATGTTCGAGCAGGAGCTCTTGCCGGACTTCGCCTGCGAGGCCGAAGTGAAAGTACAAGAGGAGCCACGGGTCTCAAGATCAGAAACTGGGGCGGCAGAGACCAGCAAAGCGCCCATAGCAGCGGCGACGAGGCCGGATTGAAAGAAATGCATGATGAAATGAATGGAAGTGATTGAACGAAGGAATGAATAGGGCAAGCCCGGGAAACGAAAGAACAGAAACAATAAGAAGAAAGAATGAAGGAATGATGGTGAAGAGAAATCCTCCCATCCTCAGGACCCTGCAGGATCCTTATATTCTTCATGATCTGGTCGCCAGTGGAGCAGTCCTTCCCAAACACAGATGGGCCAACCCGCCAAAGGGTCTCGAACACTCGACCAGGGGCAAAAGTGGAAATGAGGTCAGGACCCGGACTATCAGCAGCGTTTATGGATTTCCGGACTAGTTTAGAGCGCCCATTCATTTCGACGAGGAGCTGGCAGCCAATATGCGTGCCGGACGAGATTTTAGTCATTTTAGGGCTGGTTTGGCGAACGGTTCTCAGGCAGCAGAGAAAAGAGTGGTTTAGGCCATGGTTTAGCGCCTCCCCACTTCGCCCCAAAAAGCTTCGCCGGAAATCCCTCGATCCGGCCGTGACCGAGACATGCACCATTCACAGCGTCTCTTTTCATTTACTCATCCCCCCTGGGATTCTTTTCGCGTTTGAGATTGTCTTGCATGGGTGATAGTCGTGGTTTTATCAAGCCGGAATATACATGCCTTGGTTCATGGTTCAATTCTTTGGCTGAACAGCCACCAGTCACTAACACCCTCTTGCCCTAGCTTCAACCCATTCCAATGCTTTAATCTCCGGATATAAATTAATTGTCCGAGGTTTTTCCAGTGCAGGTTTAGAAGTTCCCATCCCGCTTGACACATGGCCATTTCTAATGGTCTTACTGGCCTGGGTCTTCATCGTCTCACCGAAGTTGAATGCTTTTGATCCAACCGTTAGCTACCCCAGTCTGAGACATTTCTCTATCCCTGAATCCCTGGGATGGTTTTGGGAAGATTGTCTGCTGTGGTTACCCCTTGTTGTCACAGGGTATCAGTGTAATGATATCACTCTCTGTTTCTTGACAACTCTTCGTGTTTGAATCAACGACTCCTGGGTTTGGGTTCGAGAGTGAATTAAACGCTGATGCTGTCAAGCAATTCAGCATCAATCGTACACTGCGTCGAATTCAAAACATGTTAGGAAGCTTCCTCGCGAAGTACGATCAGTCTATGCATCTACCGGCTTCAATGTAAGCATCCTGACAAAACTACCAACTCCCAGATCCACAAGTTCCAGGTACGGATATCAACCCCTGCCTTCAGATGCATTAGTGCGGTAACAACGTTCCTCTTCCATCCATGGAATCTACTCTAGAAGCTGGTAGGTGTGGAGATGCTGCGGCGGAACGAACGGAACCAGGATGACTTCCTACTTCCTAGTCTACATAAGCCTGCAAGTTTTGACGCCCACACACGTTATCTGAAAGCAGGCCGTTAGTTATTTTTAGAGTTAATTTAATTGATTCTTATATTATGAGTGTTTGCACCTTCCAAAACGGGCCCTTGGAATTGTTATCATCACATGTCTACTGCGTTATTACATAGAACTAGTTAGAAATCGTTTCGCAGGCTTGCATTCGAACACCAGGGGTGAATCACTAAGCAATGTAAAAAAAGCATCGGATACAGCTCTATGCCAGGTTAGTGATATCCATTATTACTTTGTGGTGAACAGAATTTAGTAAAGCCTGGGTTGTATCATTGTTTCTCTGGCCTTCGAGCAGGGACGTATCTAATCATGGGATACAGACGGCTATGAGATCAGTCTCTAAATATATTTACTAGTTAGAAAAGAAAGGCATGTAAATTAGCTTCCATTTACGTTGTACATGACACGTTATATTGGGCTTCGAAGTATGGTATTTCGTTAACTAGGTTCGACTACCAGAATGCGGGACATATTTACGGGAAAGTGGCATCTATGGATTTTTACCAATGAACCCAAAAGGAAAACGTCGATCTGCGGACCGATTCCTTGACTTGCAATAAAACAAGTTAAAGTGACGTGGCAGTGGCACGAGACTCCTAGTAATTAGCAGCATTTTTCTCGTAGATACCTTGCTCTTCTTGGATTTGGTTTTTACACAGGGGCCACAGCTACTCGGGAAGTGAGAGCTGATTGAGAAGTTTTTGGACTCAGCTTTGCTCCTGGTAACCAGTGGCCTGATAGGGCATTGGTAAATGGTCGCATAGAGCTGTCAGTTCATCGCTTCATACATCACGAAGAATTGCATCTTCAGATACGATTATCTCTTTTCGAAAACATTCCACATTTCTTCCGTCTCTTCTCAATCCTATCTGAGTGCAATCTGACCACCTCAGAGACAATGAGACTCTCAATCTCAACAATCTCCTCCCTAGTGCTCATTATAATCAAGCCCTCGTTGCTCGAAAGCTCAGGAGCCCGAACCCATTTTTTGCACCACGGCCAGGGCGAAACAAAAACTGCCTCGCGATGAGAACTGGAGATCAAACCGCCGATAACGAGATGGTGTTTATAGCGCTTCAGTGAGCTACGCGCTTTATAGAGCAGAATGTTTGGATCGGATTCCAGTTTGAGCGAGACGATCATACTTCCGGTAGGCAACCATTCGTTCACCAGGTTCTTCAGGAACTTCGGAACCGGTTTGAGCTCAATACTGGGATTCTCGGGCTTCTTGGGCGCAGCTTGTTTGTCTTGACCTCGAGTGTTTGCACTATCCACTACACTTATGCCGCTCTTCTTGAATGGACAGCACGGCTGTAAGGGCTTGTTTCCAATCCCAGTCATTCTCCTGGGCGGGATGAAGACCTTGGTCACATCTGCGGCGAGGTATACAAGCCCTTTAGTGTGCAACGGCTGCATTAGAATAGTCACTGCTCGCAACTGAAACATGTAGTCGGAGATTGTTTCAAATGGCAGAAGGAGTAAGTTACGGAACTCCTTGGCGCAGCGCTGACCTTTAGGGGCATCACGTATTTGACCCTGATATCCTCTACGGAGCGGGTCTCTACCACCCTCTCCATTATCGGAAGAGTCCTGTTCGGCGTCATCAAGGTCCAGGAGAGGTCTCTTCGAAGGGGTGTAACGCCGGGAGTAGGGAACCAGACTGTTCTGGCGATACAGAAAGATCACTGCATATCTGTTGTGCAGGAAGTACTCGGCAGAGCGAGCACCTCTCGTGCCGCGAGAGAAATTATCCATGAAGTGGGCTCTCGACTCGATTGGAACAGCCGTACCTCCCGATGTGACAAGGGCCACGCGACGTTCTGTCTCAGCATGGTAGTCGATGAACCTGCTTGCGACCACCTCGTGGGCAGCAAGGTACTCCGGGGGCGAGTGTTGTCGAAAGAAATCTGCTCCCGCTTTTGCTCGATCCATCTTGTCTACACTTTGGGATGTATGGGCCAATGGAGGCTCAGGCAAGACTGGACAGTTTCTTCCTCCTTCCGGATAGGCGACAAACCTTGGATATAAGAGTTTTTTTAATACACCCATCTATTGGCTATAAAACGGAGACCTCCAGGGTGCTATTGGATGCCCCGATAGAATGGCCCGACTATAAAGGGATTAGTCCGCATAGTGAGATGAATTCCGGGTTCATGGAGGGAACTTTTGCGTGAAACTCTCCTAAGCCAAGGTGTACGGAACGAGCCAGAAACCGTGACGACAGTATCCGACATTTCTGGCGGGTTGCGTGCTGACATAACGGATGAAGCGATGTGTTGTCTCTTTGACATGAAAGACATGAATCCTTTCATACTGAGAAGTGTGTTGGTACATTGTAAAGTAAGCGACTACTAGATTTCCCCGCTTTCTCCTCGCTCTTATCTCCGACAGCGCTGCCCTAATCCCAACCAGGCAGGCTATCAAAGCATCCCTTCCTTCAGCGACGCATTAAAAAGCAATTCAGACCCCGCTCTGTCCGAAAGGTAAGTTTAGCATCTGAGATGACTGCCTTCCTAGCCAAGAAACTGGAATGTACCATGAATAACACTGGCCGAATGAAGAAACCTCGAGGCATCCGGCGGGACCGCCACTGCCACGCCTGTCGAGCAAGAAACATCAAATGCGATCTGAATCGGCCTCGATGTCGCTCTTGCGCGCAAGACAGGTGGACGTGCACTTACCCCAGACGAGTGGTGTGGATGGAAGAGAAGAACTACTCCCCCTCGTCCTCACCGTCGCCCTCCTCGATGACACTTCCGACCACTCAACTACCCACCCCATCCACAAAGATCCCAGCTAGTAATAACAAGACCCAACCCCACACTCCTATCGGCCTCCATGGCTTCGTCGATCTCCTCGCAAACTGCTACTACCGCATCCGCGCCTCCCAGCGCGGGTTTCCCATCGAAGCCATCGAGCTGATCGCACACACCCTCGAGTTCGCACGCGCACGCATCAACGGGGCCAAGCAACAACAGCATCCTACCTCATCGACCCTCACATCCATCCAACTCAATGTAGCCGTCCTCATGGGCCTCAGCCAACTCGTCGAATCCGCTCACCCGCTCGCCCTCTTCGGCATCGCCACCTTCGCCATCTTCGAAGTCTGCAGTGGCTCCTTCGGACGCTGGCACTGCCATCTACACGGTGCGCGGTCCCTCCTCGATCTACACTGTCGCAATCGAGCCGACTTCGAGACCCTAAGTCGCAGAATCACCGGGCTTGGCGACGTTCTGAGATACCTGGTCTGGTTCGACACCACAGGGGCTCTGATGCGTGGGGGGAACTTGATCTTCGACGACTGGCACCGCGAGACGCTGCAGACTAGTTTCTATGAATCCGTGGGCTGTCCACCAGAGACATTCGAGTTGTTCGTACACCTAGCGAAATACCACCATGTCGAGAGAGCCGCTACTCTCGATGCAGTGGATCTCGCCTGGCGCGCAATGGACCAGATCCTGCAATCGCAATCAACCGACTGCACGACTGATCGAGGTCGCGCGGCTGTAGTGTATCGATATACGGGTGCCATCGTGGCATTCACTCGCGCGGGCTGTAATCAAAGTACCACCACCACTACTAATAATAATATATCGACAACAATGCTGTCTTCCCGCGTGGTCTCGTCCATGGTAGATAAAGTCTGCGAGGCCGTGGCTCAGATGGACGTGAGCTCACAGTTCTACATCCACATGGCAACGCCTGTCTATCTGACAGGGATGAACGCGACGACCGAGGCGCAGTGTGCCGTGTTTCGCACGTACTGGCGAAATTGCCAGTTGGGTGACTTTCCGCGCTATCCGGATGGACAGGCGCAGTGTGAGCGGAGGTGGAGGAATAACCGAGTGATAGTGTAGATGCGAGATGCATAGTGTAAGCAATTTAGCTCGCGTGATTAGTCTGGTTTTCTTATTGATAATGCATGGTTAGTCTCAGACATTTCAGTGACGAATGACTCGCTCGCGTAGAATCCTTTCCCGAAGAGGAAAGCAATCAAGATATGCAGCCCTAACTCAGTCTACCAGCAGAGAACTTTCAAGACCCTCTTTAGCATACTAAACTGCCAATCACCATGTCTAGTTCTATCATATCAGTATCTCCGCGTTATAATAAATGCTATATAATCCCCTACCCTTGAACCGTAGCCTTTATCTCGCCCTCCCTCAGAACATCCCCAACCTCTAGAAACCTAATACAAAGAATGGCACCTATATACGAGCAACTCGCCGCTCAAAAACGCGCCGACCAACTATCTCTCATCCCACCCGAATGGCGACTCAATCCCATCCCATCCGTCGAATCAGCACCCAATGCACTAACCTATCTCCGGAGGATCCTGACGCCCGCCGAACTCTCCCTGACAGAGGAAACCGACATCAACGTTCTGCTCCGAAAGCTGCACTCACGAGAACTCTCCTCGCTGGAGCTGACGAAGGCATTCGCCAAACGAGCAGCCCTCGCCCACCAGCTCACCACCTGCTGCACGGAGATCTTCTTCGAAGAGGCCTTCAAGACAGCCGCCCAGTTGGACGAGCATCTCGCAACTACAGGATGCCTTGTCGGCCTGTTGCATGGGTTACCTGTTTCCATTAAAGACCTGTTCACCGTGAAAGGCGTCGATACTTCCATTGGTAAGATCCCGTGCCATTCCTATCCCCATCCTGTCCAAGGATGGGCTATGGGTCTATCAAAAACCCAACCAATCTGACCCGTGACCCTCTGACCAAACTGACCACTAACTACCCCCACAGGCTGGGTCGGCCTCGCAAACCAGCCCGCCCCATCCGACAAGTCCGTGGCTACGACCCTCCGCCGTCTCGGAGCGGTGCTGTACGTGAAGACCAACCTCCCGCAGTCGATGATGATGTCCGACTCGTATAACCACGTGTTCGGGCAGTGCGTGAGCCCATTCCATCGCGGACTCATCTCGGGCGGGAGCTCGGGTGGCGAGGCCTCGCTTGTCGGCGCCAGAGGGAGCGTGTTGGGCATCGGGACGGATTTGGGTGGCTCGATTCGCATTCCGGCGGGTTTGTGCGGGATGTATGGTCTGTCGCCGAGTCATGGGAGGCATCCGTATGAGAGGGGGAAGTAAGTCTTGAATGGTTTTTCTTTGTTAGGATGGTTTGAATGCTTGGCGGTGTTGAAGACAGGGATGGGAGTTGTTACTGTGGTTGTCGTTATTGTTAACGATGGCGATGCTGATGCTAATGCGTTGTCTACCTCCCCAGTCCCGGACAAGATATCGTGCGTTCTGTAGCCGGCCCCATGACAAACAGTCTGGCCAGCATCGAGCGCTACATGGAAGCCTTACCATCGGTCTTGCCGTGGACGATCGATCCGCATGTCTCTGCCGTCCCGTGGCGCTCTCATCTCGCCTCTGTCGGGAGCCGACGTCTCAAGATCGGGTTCCTGATCGACGACGGAGTGGTCAAGGTCCAGCCGCCGGTTGCGAGGGCAGTGCGGGAGGTTGTGGATGCGTTGAAGAGCGCAGGTCATGAAGGTATTTATCTACCTACCTATCTACCTACCTACTACCCAGTCATACATGCCCTCCTGCGCGCATTACATGCTTGCGTGCAAGCCGTAGAAGACTAACACAATTCCGTTCCTGTCTGTAGTCATCGAATGGGACGCATCCTCGCACGGCCACGCATACTCTCTCTGGCTGAAAGCCGTTCTCTCCGACGGCGGCGAGGGATGTCGCAAGAAGACGGAGTTGAGCGGCGAGCCACTTATCCCGGGGATGTTAGTTGGCAACGAGACGGATCTATTGACCACGTCGCAAACGCATCAAGTATAGACCCCTCTTCCTTGTCCCCTCTTCCCTGTCCCTTTCTGTCTCCCTACATGAATCTCAAGACTAGAGAGAAGAAACTAACAAACAACCCAGCTCCACGCCGACAAATACGCCTACGAAACCGCATACCTCTCACAATGGACAACCAGCGGAATCGACGCGCTCATCATGCCCACGAGTCCCTGGGTGGGCTATAAGCCGTGGACCTGGACCAGCGGCAGCCAGTACGTCGGGTACACAAGTATCTGGAATTTCCTGGGGTATGCGGCGCTGGCAGTGCCTGTGACTTGGGCGTCCAGAGAGAAGGATCAGTCGGATGAGGAGTGGACGGAGCATGTGCCTAGAAATGAAAGTGAGAGGTTTACAAAGGAGCAGTGTAAGCTTCCCCTTCCTTCCCCTTTCTCTCTCTCTTTCCTTGTTTTGAGGGTAGTTTATTTTTGTCTTGGTTCGTTTGGAGATGGGTTTGGCTGATTAGATCTGGGTGCGGCTAGATGACATCGACCTGGTCGAGGGCATGCCTGTGGGCGTGCAGGTTGTGGGCGGCCGGTTCGGAGACGAAACGTGTGTTGCGGTGGCGAAGGTGATTGAAAGAGTTCTAGCCGGGCGTCAGTTGACTTGGGCGAAGCTGTGAAGGGGAAGGTTTTGATAAGAGATGATCTGATGTGTAACAATGGGTTGCCATATGATTGTTGCCCTGACATTTGGCAAGAACCAGGTTGTAGAATCGAACATATCTGGAATCTTTTTATCTGTTTGCATAGATTGTTTCAAAACTGAAGAATCCTATTAAACTCCCTGTTGAGTTTGGAGCCTGCCAAACATTAACTGCGCCAGATATCAACAAATTTTGAATGCATCTCCATCCAAAGCAAAGCAAAGACCAACTCCCATAGTACGTGCGAAGCAAAATTCCTCAACGCTCCGAGGAAGAAAATAAGCAAATAAATCAAGGCTAGATTCCCATCGTCATGAAGATAGGAAAAAAGAGCCGCGGCCCACAAGGAAGCTCACAAATATACACAAGAATATTATGACGGACGGCTTTCGTACCCAGGAATTGTCAGACACCAAGGCCCTGGCCGTCACTCGTAAGACGGCCTGCTGCGCCTAGAAGACCGACTCCGTAGTGGAAGATGAAGGGAGGGGACCGACAATCTAGAACCCATCTCCCTCCTTCCAAGGTCTTCCGGCTTCCTTGGCTCTGGCTCGGGGGTCCTTGCCCCGTTCTGTAGCATTGAACAGGATTTCATCCAGCAATAGCTCTTTTTCGTAGATTTGGTCTTGAAGTGTGAGATCCTTGCCCGGCTCAGGAACCGTGAGACGGCTGTTCTCTCCCAGATTTCCGCGCATCCGAGCAATCTCAATCACTTCGGATTGGCCATACCAATGCTTCAGCTGCTCCTCCAAGTCTTGCTTTTGGAGACCAACACTGCGGAACTCATCGTACTCGAATTGGCCGCCAAAACAGACTCCATACCCATCACAGTAGCAGACGTTCTCCTTGGGACAGACCACGTTTTGTCCGGTAAATACCACGTGCCACAGATATTCCCAGACACGACCGGAAATGTAATCACTCAACTCCGTCCGAAGGATCCAGTCGCGGTAGTACACGAAGCGCGCTTTCGGGATGGACAGGATTCGCTCGCGCGAGACCGCAAACTGGGCGCAACATGGCTGCGCCAGGACGTCCGGAATGGGGTCATCGGGGAAGATTTCGCCCCATGATCTAGCCAGCATGGTCTCTTCCTGCTTCGTTTCGTCCTCTTCCACCGTGCCGGGATGCAGCCAGTCGGGACAGCCGGGGGCCCAGGTGCAGCGCAGGTTCATGTACCCTTCGCGGATCACACGCGCGGGGTTGAGTCGGTCCAGAATCTCGGCCGCATTCCCGCCAAAGATCTCGTCATTGTGCCACGCGAACTGGTGAGAGTGCATGAAAGCCACGATGTCGGGCAGCTGGTCGTAATGGTCGATGATGAAGCTCAGGTATACCATCACCTCGTGTCCTTTATTCCGGGGCGGGTGCAGAGGCGCAGAGGGATCGTCAACTACGTAAACGGCAGACTGCCAACCGGGGAGCTCGTACTCCATCCACGTGGTGTCTTCTTCGCTCGTCTGCGGGACCACGAGCGTTTTCGAGTAGTCCGACCCGGGAGGCTTAGGTTTTCCAGGGACGTATTGCGGTTGAGGAGCGTACGGCTCTCTGCCCGGTCGTTCGTCGAATCCAACTCCGCTAATGTTCCAGCGAGCATACGGGGTAGGGGAGGGCGTCGCGACGGTGTCGCCCAGTCGAACGGTTTGCGGCATCCGGCGCCATTGCGAGAGGCTGGTGAACGAGTATAGGAGGATGACGAAGAAGGCCAGGCCAAGGAGCGGGATAGCCCGCCGTGTAGAAAGCATGGGATCGGGTGTGTCGGCGCTACCGCGTAGAAGAAAAGAATCGTCGCAAAAGGATAGGAGAATCTGTTGCAAAGCAATTGAACCAAGTCATGCGATTAGCGACCGGAAATTACAGAGGCACTTTCACTTTTCTGACGAGAAAGGGGGTGGAGGGGAAGGGAGGCGTTAACGGAGCATGAACGAGAGACAACAAGAAACGTGGCTTGCAGTAGAGCGTCCTGGGACTGATCAGCGCCGCCAGGGGACCAAACTTACGCTTTCTGTCAACCATGTGCGATGTCGGGGGGTGACATCAGACGGGATGAGGGAGAGGGCGTAGGAGGGAAGGACGCATGAACAAAGAGGAATAAAAAGGATGTCAAGGAGAGAATAGAAGAGGAGGAAGGAAAGGAAGAGAAGCGCGCACACGACCGACGCAGCAGAAGAGGAGTTCGAGATGAAGAGAGAGAGAGAGAGAGACGGGAAGACGGGCGGAGGCGGAGCTGGCGTCAGCAGCGGATGACGACGAGACCCTCCAGAATTCCCCGTCATGAATCACCCCTCGTCCTACGGTCGCATTTAGTTCCTCGACATTGGCAACCACGAGTGTCGATCTTTCTAGGCTGTGAAACACCGCCAGTCCGTACCTGAAAATAGTCCGTATGTATCCATTTCATCTATCGGAACTATCTCCAGAGTCCGGATCTACAATAACTAGATGGATCGATTCAGTTCACGCCAAGATCACCGCATCAAATTCGCCATTACACTATGTACAGACTTCTTCTTCTGATGTTCCTAGTGAAATCTTTTTCCAACGTCATGAAATCAAGCTGTGGATAGTATGGTCACAGCACTACCAGTCAAAACATACATCCCGGGTATGATGGGTCTGCCTCGCTAAAAGGAAAGAAAACAAAAGGGCAGAACAGTATGAACGCCTATGAAATTTTACACCAAGGCAAGCCAGAGAGAAAGGGGAACGAAGGGGCCAATAAATGACAAAAAAAAAAAAAAGAAAAATCGTCAGCTCTCATCGTCTGCGGCATCTTCTACGGTCGCCGCTCTTGCCTTCCCCTTGGATGACGTTGACTGAGCGTCCTCGTTCTCTCGCTCCGTGGCTTGTGCAGATGACATTTCACCTTTCTCGGGCTGTGTCTCCGAAGCCACGTCGGTCCATTGCTGAGAAGGTGATTCAGCCCCGTCACGTCCCCAGTCCGGTAACCCCTGGGAAGCAGGAACAGACGCAGTAGTATCCCCATGATCTTGGCCTTCGTTCTCGACATGCGTTTCCGTAGGGGGATGGGGCATGGACGCATTCTCAGTCGTCTGGGCGGGCGATGTAGTCGCCGGAACTGCCGGGCTTGCGCTCGAGTTGGTAGCACCTAGAGGTCCATGTGTCGTGGATTGGAGAGGAACGAGGGACCAGCCCTGTGGGAGGGTAAGTCCTTCCGGCAGTTGAGACTCGTCGGAAGCCAAAGTCGGGACAGGGTTGTCTGCGATGTAATGGTGACGTGCGAAGATCGACGGTGCGGTTGATGTGGGAGGAACCGAAGAGTTGGTAAGTACATTGGTCAGCGGTTCTGTCGGATTGCTCTGTAGAGTTCGAAGTCTCTGCAATTCTGTCTGTAATTGTCGTACCACATTGAGCTGGTCGGCTGTGACACGGAGATCATGGATTTCCTGCATGATCTGCTGTTCCATTTGTTGCAATTGATTCCGCATATCAGGGACGCCGGTATTCGTAGGATTGGGTGCAGTAGCCTGCGCCGCAGCTGGTGGAGGCCGCCCGAACCCGAATCCAAAGCCGATGTGTTGAGGGCCCGCGGGGTTGGCGTTGTTTGCTGGCTGCGGTGGAACGTTTCCTTGGTGGATCTGCTGATGGAGATTCTGGAAAAGATCACCTCGGCCGGCGCCGAACCCAATCCGGAAGGGGCCAAACTGGTATACGCGAGCCCTGGGCAAACCGTCGGCGTTTCTCCCGGGAGCTTGGTTCCCACCGGGGAAGTTCTGTTGGCCACCAGCGCCCGGGTTGCCCTGTGCATTGTTCGCCACGTTCCCTACGTCTCCGCGAGGGCGAGGCGGTGCGATCACCGGACGACGGCATGTAGGGCAGTTCTGTTGTCTTTCCAGCCAGCTTCGGAGACAAGCGAAATGCAAGATGTGGCCACAAGGAAGCTTTTTCGGCCGGAGACGGTCTGAAACTCGTGCTCGGAGCGGCTGCCCATGAGCAGGCTGTTGCCAATGTGTCATCTCCTCGCGGCAGATAATGCAAACTTCCTCTCTTGCGACTTCCTCGGCGGTGGCATCGGGGTATCTCTCGTTCATGTCACGGGTGGCATTTCGGAAACGAACGAAATCCATGATTCGTCGACCGAAAGAGCGAATGGTAACCACGACGTCGCGCAAGATGTGAATCGGCAATCCGTAGAAGGTGAAGAGGATGGTAAAGAAACTCAGGTACACAGTCAACTTCAGGAAATCGGTGACAAGATCGAGATAGAAGATCCATCGGCTCTTTTCCTCCCAGCCAGGAACGTCTAGTTCCATCTCATCGACATCGTTCTCGTCCGGAAGTTCAGTGGGGGGCGCGGTTTCACCCCTGCGCACATGTTCCTGGATCGCCTCCGCTCTAGTTGCTCGGATCTCTTGACGGCGCTCCTCAAGCTTCGCTTTCGTCTGTTGGTGGGTAATGTAGATCTCAACCAGAGATATCGTGTATCTAGCTGCGATGGAACTGGACAGAATCGTAAGAACGGCAAACTCAAAGCCGAACATAACCATCATATCCGGGCGCGCCTGCTCGAGGACGGTGGTGATGCAATACCTCAGCATGAAGGCATTGAAGAGGACCGAGATGAGCAACGAGGCAGCCATCCGGATATGGAACAGGCGAGGATTAGCCGGTGGCTGCTGTTCCAAGTATTCCACGCGACCCTCGCCAATCCATCCCCAAACCTTGCCCACGAGCAGGCAAACAAACATAACCAGAAACCAACCACCCAGCTCGCCCCGAAATATTGTCATCGCCAGGCATGTTTCCGTGATGGCAAACCATCCCTTCTCGTATAGCTGCTCGGTTTCGATGGGTCGTAGGGGTCCGTATAGAAGTCGCTGAAGCCAAAAGAGGAAAAATCCCACCGTCAAGAGACATAAATTCGTCAGGATCTGGGGAGCGAGTGAGTCTTGACATCTTCCGCAAGGCACGCACGCTGCGGTAAGGGCTTACCATAAGGTTGGCGCTGCTCTGGGATAGATACACGCAGGCCGAGTAGAAATTGGCCCTTTGGTGAAGCGCTTTCAGAAATACACCCGTGGCCAGGGCCACAGACGCCTGTGAAGCAATGAGGTCAGCACGAAGCGAATCCGCGACGCAGGTGCAGGCGAGTTACTTACCCCGGCGTAGGCGGCTAATCTCATGGCGATAGGGAGACAGGCGTGGGCGAAAAGCCCGGGGTCATCGACGAGGACGGGATATCGAAAGTCACCTCTGTCTCAGAAGGACATTGGCAGAACTGGACCGGAGAGAAAGAAAGCAAGAAAGAAACAATGGGGATAACTAGTAGAGAGAGGGGGGAGAACCGCAGCAAGTCCGGCGGAGTGGACGGAGGTCTTCTGGACAGCTATACTGTACCGTATTGTACCGGTTGTTACCGTCCGTCTTCTTATGTCAGCGGGTTCTGCTTCGGCCGGAACATGTGACTTGTCTCCGTTCTCAGAAGTATAGATGGGGGATTGGGAATTGGAGATGTTGGGGTGAGGATAATGGTACTTGTAGTTGGGATAAGAGGGTGATACAGGTGGGAAAGAGTCATATTCAACTATTCTGTACCTATTGAAGAATTACTGCTTTCACTGAGCAAGGTCCACCTTGCAGATAGATATATTTATGGAATGACTTCATTGCTGACAGAACCCGTACCATGTGAATCGATCTTCAACAATTGAACAGACACCCCAGGAGGCCACTCAGGAAGAAATCCAAGATTCCAACAAACCCGGGATGTGGGCTGTATGGTGCACAGCAACTTTATGCAGTGCCAACTTGGCCGGGCCCAAGCAGCCATGACGCGTAATCATGTGACACCGGGGATCGCTGGAGGGGAAGATCACTTCCTCTCCCTTGTCAGCTTCATCACCTCTTCTACAAGGATGCATGGTTCTTTGATGCCCTAATTTAACAAGAACAAAGGACTAGTGGATGGGAGTACCTGTGACTGTTATATGACTGGGATTTAATCTTCTATACACAATGGCATTACAAGGCTCTTTGTTTACCGCCAGTCGCACTCAGACACTAACCTATCTACTTGCTGTCTGCCCTTTTTCCATTGCTTTCTTGGTCTTTATCAACTCCTCTGTATCATTTGTTGTGACTGATCTGATAGGACTACAAGAAGGAGAGGGCAATGCTGTGGGAACCCTGGGTTTTGCTGATGAGCTACTTGCGCTGGCCGCTTGTCCCTTGTGGGGAGCTCTCTCCGATCGCATAGGTGTCCGCAATGTAAGTCTCTGTTTTGTGACTGATTAGATAAAACTTTGAAGTTGCTCTGATGATAATAACTTAATTTAGGTTTGTGTCGCCGGGTATGCTATTGTCGCCCTGGCCCTGGCCTTGTTTGTTCAGGCCAAGAATGTCTACCCCCAGCTTCTTCTAGGAAGACTGCTGTTCAGTGTAGGAGGCTCTGCAGTCTCGACCATGGTGACGGCCGTTCTACCGGCAGTGACCGGAAACGCCCGTGGACATGAATATTCATCATCTCGGGCTTCCAATGCGGCCGATACTCAGGATGACCCCGCCTGTCCTCATTCCTCTCAAGGTGCCGGGTCAAAGGCCGAGAAAAGGTCACCGTCATCCAGACTGGCTGGATTTGTGGGGATGTGTGCGGGATGCGGCGCCCTGGTATCTCTAGTGGCCTTCCTGCCGCTCCCAGCCCGTTTCCAAACCTGGGGGCTCTCTCCGCCTGAAGCAATCCAGTATAGCTACTACCTAGTTGCGCTCGTGGCCCTGTTGGTAAGTGCTTGCTGCTGGATCGGCTTGCGGAATCTACCCGGCGAGAAAGATAAAACGTGGAGTTCACTGTGGTCCCTACGTTCGGAGGACTCGGAGACTACATGGAGCGGCCCATCCTGTCCCGTTTACAGCAAATCCCGACTCCCTTATCTACGACAACTTAACGCAGCGATTACTTTGGGCTTCTGCCAACGCGATATCTTTATCGGTTATCTGGGAGGATTCGTGGCCCGGGCGTCGTCTGTGGGCATTTCACTATTCATTCCTCTTTTTGTTAACCATTACTACCGAGCATCCGGTCTTTGCGGCGACAACAGTGACACCGGCCCTAGTGGAATCAAGGAGTCGTGTCGCGAGGCCTACGTGGTGGCTTCGATTTTGACCGGCGCCTCGCAGCTGATAGCGTTGATCGCAGCGCCTGCGTTCGGATTCTTATCCGAAAAATCAAGATGGTATCATCTCCCTCTTCTTTTTGCCTGCCTCGCAGGTGTTGTCGGCTATACGGCATTCGGACTGCTGCCCAGCCCGCAATTTAAGGGTCCTGATGGCAATGCAGGTGTGTTCCTAGTAATGGCTCTGCTCGGAATCAGTCAAATCGGAGCTATTGTCTGCAGTTTGGCGGTTCTCAGCGGTGGCATTCTGGATGTTAGCGACGATTCTCGCGCAGAAAACCATGACTCAGGAACATCCCCGCAGACGGAGACGGAGCCTGACCGGAATCTTGGCTCCGACGAACAGCGATCATTGTTGGGTGGCACGGCGGACCAGACCCCGAAGAGACAGCCGCTGGCGCACCTGAAAGGCTCAATTGCGGGAGTCTACTCTCTGTATGGCGGAGCCGGCATCTTGCTCCTGACCAAAGTGGGCGGAACCTTATTTGACACCGTTTCCCCCGGCGCACCTTTCTACATCATGGCTGGATTCAACGGTGCCCTATTGCTGGCCGGAGTGGTGAGCGGACTGGTGAGCCGCCCTAAGGCTCGTGTCCCGATAAATGGCGCTTAGATTTAATAATTCCGGTCTGCTACCGTGCAATTTTCCTTGCCATTTGTTCTAAGCGAATCACTATCCTTCTTGTACGGAGAATATTAAATGCAAGGGCCAACTAAAACCCAGCAAAAGACGGAGTGGCACCGAGGCGGCCCCCAAACTGATGCGGCGACAAGGGGAGAAGAGGACGGCGAAAAGTCAGGAACTATTTCTTAGCTGCCGCCACCGACCCAATCATCCATTCCCTCGTGCCTGACGATTTTCCTACTCCGGAGTAGTGAGATTAACAAGATTGCCCAAAGAGACAAGGGTTGCCTGTTCTTCTTAAGGGACTTCCGGCCCTGTTTTCTTCCCTGAACTCCGCCGTTCTCCACCCCAACTTGTCTCTCCTTTAGTATCGACGATCGGCTTCTGCCTCCACATTCATATATTCATTCACTTGAATACTTCCAACGGCAGTAACCATGCATCTCCAGTCGCTCACTCTCGCCTTCCTGGCGTCCGCCATATCCGTTGTCGCCAATGATATAGTGTCGATTTTTCTCCCGGAGGCTGATCCTCAGCCCATCGTAGGCAAGGTCATCGGCGTTGTAAGCCCCCTTCCCCCCCACGTCCAGTCATTCCTATGCGCATTCTATCTTCAGCAAAACTAACATTATTACCACAGGATGGCCCTCTCACCTCTTACGTTCTCTACTGTGCCCCTGGCACCGACTCCGATGAATGCGGTCTTCCCTCGGAAGGCTACACCGTCGCCCAAGGTGCCTCCACCTACGATATGGTCTACAGCTACGAGGACTAGTAAGTTGTCCCTCCTCCAGCCCACCTGCACGCATATAAATAAACAGATAAAAACAAATAAATCAAACCTCTAACCCTCCACTCCACAGCGTCCAAAGCCAAGGCTGCAAGATCGGCAACAAATCAGTCGTCACCTGCAATGTCCAGATGCACGACGCGACCACCACCATCTCCAGCTCCGCCGTCCTGACCACCACCGACCTGCCCTATCGCCGCGTCACCATCACCGGCACCGAGACCGGCGCCACCAACAAGGCCACCGCGTCCGCGACCGCCACGGCCAAATCCACCGCCTCTACCGGCGCCTCGGCCAGTGCTACCGGCTCCGGTGCCGATGCCTCCGCGTCTGCGTCTGCAACGGACAGCAGCAATGCTGCCCTGGCCCAGGCTACCGGTCATGCGGGCTGGATTGCCAGTGGTGCCGCGATGGCGTTGGCGCTGGCTATGGCGTAGATGGTTGAGTTGAGTTAAGATAGGTTGGATGGGTATTGTTGTGATGAATAATGGGCCGGGTCTTTTTTTTCTTCTTCATCTGCTCGTTTAATTAATTCGGCTCGCTTTGATGCTTTTCGATGACTCCCCCTACGCACTCATTCATCAAGTGCACTTACGCAGATGATTCCCCTTGACAGCTATGTTCTTATATCGATATAATGTGAATAATACGCTCGAAACCCAGTCCATCCGGACAAGGAAACCAACCCTCTTAGATTTAGGATTCTTAGCTTGCCTGAGAAATGAAGGGAAAATGAGATTGAGTAAAATTCGCGCGCAGCCATCTTCAATTGGTATCTATGCATTCATCGTAGATAGTAGGTTTTTTGTTTCTTTTTTCGCTCATTATCTAGCCTAATCATTGCTCCGGTTCGTATCTCTAGTTCTCATCCCATCTCATTCCATTCCATCGCATCGCATCACGTCCTGCCTCATATCGTGTTGTCTCGCTGCCCTTCTTAGATCCATCTAAATGCAGGCAAGTTTACCATTAAAGGATTAAAGAAATCCCGCTGTGCCTCTTGCCCCCTTCCCACCTTGCCCGTGACCATGCTGCCCCGTTTTCGACCGGTCGTCGGTATTCCGGACCTCCAGGCCCGCACGGATGATTTCCGTCCGTAATAGGCGGATGTGCGCCTCGCGGGTGAACTCGGAGAGATTGTTCAGGATGGCTTCTTGGACTTCTGTGCGCTTGTCGATTTCGTTGGAGACCAGGACCATTTTCTCTAGGTCGATGCGCGTGTCCAGAGTGCCGTCTTGGATGAGACTGATCAGTTCTTGGACGAAGGGGGAGTAGAGGTCCGTGGCGGGGGGTTGTTGGGCGGAGGCAGAGTTCGGGGCGAAGATCCGAGCCATCGAGTCGAGGGTGACGCGGCTGAAGGGGACGAGGTATTGCTGGATGGACTTGGTGCGGATGCGCGTGTACAGGGTGTCGACATGGCGCTGGAGGTGGATGTCCAGGAGGTAGTCGGCGCGGTAGGACTCGAGGATGTCGAGACAGGGGCGGAATTTGGAGGTGCAGAAGAACGAGATGGCGCGGCGGATGTGGGGTTCTAGTTCGAGGAAGTTGCGGAAGGCGGAGTTGTCGAGGACGCGGCGCTGGAGCTCGTGGCGGTCCATGGAGGCGAGCGCGCAGAGGCCGCCGTAGACGGCGACGTCGTTGGAGGTGAGCGTTTCGTTGTACGAGTCGCCGAGGGTGGGTGGTGTGCTGAGGAAGCTGTTCGCTGCATCCAGATAGGAGCCGGAGTGAAGCTGGGATAGGCCCAGTGCGGCGGCCATCTTGGGCTGGTTCTTGGCTTGTTCTTCCGGTTTGGACTGGAGGTTGCGCAGTCGTTGGACGTTCGACTGGACGCTGAGCCAGTCCCCTCGCTCGATGGCTGCATTGATGATCTTGAATAGCATGGATGCGATGTGACTCGGGGTGGTGCAGTAGTCCCTCATGCGAGAATAGGCCTTGGATGCTGCCACCAGGTCACCGATTTGATGGTAGTGTTGTCCGAGATCTTCATTTCCCATCTGCAACACAAGAACTTGTTAGACAATTCCGTACTATATTGGAAGATAAAGTCAGCTTACCCTTATGCTCTCTTTGATCAAATTGTTCTTGTAGCCTCGAAGCTCGTGCTCTAATCGGTCGCTCTCAGCCTTGACAACCTTGTTCATACGGTCTACCCACTCCTTGTCAAGAGCTGCCTCGGTTTCGTTCGGCGCAACCTCAGCAAGCGCTCGCACAGCCCGCTCATATCTCGAGACATCTTTGTTCGATTTGGCTTCGGCGACCGCGGTCTTAAGCGCTTCGCTGGAAAGGTATGTTGAACACGTGCCTATTAGATACAGGCGATTGAATCTGGTCCGGCCTAAAACAGAGCACACGGATTAGCCAGAAAGCTTAGTTGGGGCAGATGCTAACATACCAGTGTAGTTCGCGATGTATGATTCCAGTTCAAATTTGGGGGGATCTAGAAGGTCAGCAGCCATTCTACTAAACCTCAAGCGCCGTGTTTCCATCACACATCACCTGAAAGATTTCTGAAAGATTTCTGAGAGACATACCATCGACTTTCACAAATGGAGCTATAGCAGCAGCATTCCAATTCAAGCTCTCCAAGTCTGCGGCTCCCACGCCCGATATTTGCCTCGGGTACAAGGTCGACGATGGAGCGTCGAATGTGTCCGGCGGTATGTAATCCATCTCCGACTACTTTAGTGTTTGACACGTGCACTTTTGGAAGGACTAGTGAGCAGCGGTAATGCAGCCCCCAAAGCTGGAAACAATGAAATGTGCCTGGTATTTGTCTGAGAGCTGGGCCTCGGGCGGGTGGTGCGGTACTGGAGCCTTCCGAATCTCACGGTGCGGAGGGGGTGTGCGCCACGTCAAGATGAGAAAGGACGAGGCGATGGGACGGAGAATGCAGAGATGAGTATTGCGAAGCTTCGCGGAAAGCTCCTTGGTCAAGGCTGGTGTCGATGGTCAGCAGTGGTAGCAAGCGAGGCGGTTTTGGAGAGCGGATGTGGAGTGGGAGAGATGATCTATCATCATCGATCATCATGATTCGATATCGTCAACAACCCATCGCTACCCCGACATTCACCGCCCTATACACCGCCTTGTCCCTGTCCATCACCGATTATCTATCAGCTGAACAGGTACACACCTTTTTTCTACGTGGTGTTACCGAGAGTCTTTTCACAGGTCTTCAAAACAATTATGGGAGATTCTTAAATTTTCATTCTTCAATCAGGTACATTAAGAAGTGCAGATATTATTATGGGACAGAGCCGTTATGAGATGCGTGGACGATGAACCATAGAATCGGAAAGAGAAACGAAAACGCCCCATACAACGCTGAAAAGACAAGAGTACTGTTGGCAAATATGCTATGACCGGAAAGACACGCAGAGCGGGATCACGGAACTGTCCGTCCTATGATTTCTGAGCTGGGGAACGCCTCGCCACAGCCAGATGAAGAGATTAGAGCAAGGTAGCGAAGCCCGCAAGGAAAGCTCCGACCACGGCAACGGTACCATAGACATGGCCCATCTCAACCGACTGCCTGGGAGCAAGACCCTTGGCATCTGCCTCTCCGGTGAAAGGAGCCAGAGAGGTGGTAGCAGCGGGAGTGCTGACAGTGGAGGTAGCCGTGGTTTTATTGACGCGCTTGGGGTTCTGAGCTCCACAGGGGTGGTCATTGCGACAATCCGACTGGCACTCAGAGTCGCCGTTGCTGCAAGCATTCACACACTTGTTGTTCTGCTCAGTGCAAATGAAGTAGGGGATCGTCTCGGAGTATTCCGAGGCATTGGGCGATTGGCCGTTGCTGCAGATACAAGTGTAGTCCAAAGTTTTCTGGGTTCGACCGAAGGCTGTCAGAGAAGAGTGCTAAATAGATAGGACGTAACAAGAAGGCCTTACCGCGCTGCAGCTGTTGTCCTTGGGTTTGTTCGATGCCCCAGGCATCTGGAGGCAAAGAAGCGGGCAGGCAGAGGTCTGCGATTGACACCAATAATCTAATCACGAGAAAGACCGTGAGCAAAATGCGAGATCAAAGAAATTGGCATCTAGAAACATACCTCTGGTAGATTCATCGACAGTGCTCGGGTCGATAGTCTGGCCACCCGCCAGGCCCGCGACGGAGGCGAAGAGAGCGAGAGAATGTAGGAAAAGCATTTTGTATGATATGATGTTGATGAAAGAAGGAGGTCTAGATACCTAGTGTGCTGTCTGGTAAGCCTGAAGAAATGCAGAGTGACAGGTCTCAAAAGGAGAGCCTCGTACAGATATACCAACCGGATTAGGAGATAAGAGCAAAAGGCCCGACTGCGGGTGATCAATAAGTGAGATTTATTGACGCCTAAAATGGAGCGGACTGAGAGATTTAAACAACAAGACAAGGCAAATCAAAGTGAAGGGATTCTGAAGGGATTGCGAAAGGGACTGAGAGAGGGGGTCGGTGAATGAGAGAGAAAAAAAGAATTCATACTAGTGATGAAGACCGTTCCGCCAGGCCCATATATATGTAGTCAGACTACCACACCGTACTACTTTGGCCTTCCCAAACGAGGTTGGGGTGGCGGCGCTATCTTCCTAAGCTCCAGACCATTTCTCGTAATCGGTCTCCTAGAGCTTCATGTAGATTTCTGTTAATTTAGTGACCCGTTAGTCTGGAATTTTCCACTAAGAAGTTGGACGGCGGCGTCTTAACCGACACGAGGAGAACATTGGACCCATTTCATATTAATTACATACATATAGGAAAGACACATAATAAAGCGGCCCAAGAAATGTACTCAGAAAGGTAAAATAGAACCAGCTACTCTGTAGAGCTGCAGTACAAAAAACCAGGGAGGCAAAGGATTAAGCCGAGGGCAAGGGAGAGAGAGAGGGAGAAAAAATGAGACAAAGGAGCCATGTCGATCCGGGGCAGCTTGCCGGGAGGCATACCCTGGTCTGCATGGAGCCATAGTGCGTCCGATGAGTGACATGACTGCCTCTACCCCCTCTCTAGCCGTTCTATCTTTAGGAGTTTGATGGCGACGACGCGTCCTCCGACCTTTTGGAGCAGAACTCAACCCTCACATGGTCTGCAATGTCTTGGACACAGACGAGCGGGCAGATAAGTCGGAGCCACTGTGATTGATGGCTGTTTTCCTCCGGCAAGGACGGGCCCAGGGTGTCTCACTTGGGGTTGAGGATTACCCGAGATTGTGGCGGACTGATTGGGTCCAAAGACGCTTGGCTTTTTCTAGCGTGGACCCTAGTAATGTCGCTAGCAGGAAAGGGTAGCACGGCTAGGTCGTAGTTCTGCATCGTAGACTCCGTAGTGCATGGGATGGACTGATCCGAGGAGCGTTGGCTCATCGGGCCAAATCATCGTGCATCTCGAGAGTTGGTGAGAGGGATAGATAGGATGGTCAGATAACCCCCGTGAGTCAAGAAATATGTTTCAAAGGTCGGCAGCGACCGACGACAGGCAACGCAGAGTGTGTACTCAGTAGTCTAGTAAGAAACGTCGTTCGTACTCCAAGACAGACAGACCTTTGGCGGTCATGTGGCAGCCCGTGGGGTTGGGGTCTCTTGGCAGTCCCGTGATTCCCGGCCGCTGGGGAGGCATTTCCTACGACGGAAGGAGGCAAAGATTGCTATCGACGGTATTGATTGTCATTGACCCTTGTACCGACATCCCTCCTCATCTGAAACCTCCGATCTTATCAATTGTCCTCCCGGGTCTTTTCTTTTCTTTTGGATTTCTCCTCTTTTTGCCCCCGCACTTTCCACCTGTCAAAGCGGTCCAAATCCGGCCTGCTGACAACAAATCCCTAGTAAGCTTCAACTAACTAGTTACTACGACGTGAGTGATATCAAACGCCACCTGTACCCTTGCCTCTTTTCTTTTTCTTTCTTTCTTTCTTTCTTTCTTTCTTTTTTTTTTTTTAGTGTCTACACTTTTTATTTTATTTTTATCACTAGCCATTGGGTTTTTTCCCCGCCACTGGTTCTCGCACATACCCCCTCGATTCAACGAGGCTGGTTGCATCTAAACTTATTCTTAGTGACCACCAGGAATCGACCACTCCCTTAACTGTCCCCCCGGAGATCTAAATGTATGGAGCCAGCGAATGAGGAGACTGGTCTGGTGCCTCGGCCATCCTCCTCCCGATCTTCTGCCTCGAACCCTCGCCGTCCCGAATCCCCGACAGCTGCCGCATCGTCCTCGGATGGAGTCAATGGGCCCCAGGCCCGCAGCAATCCGCCTCACGCCTCGCCTAAAGATCGCCCCGTCTCCGGCATAGTTCCGCCATACTGGACTCACAGTCGGAATGCGTCTCGTGCATCCCAAGCCTCGCTCGATCGGTTCCCAGCCATCACGCTAGAAGATCATACGGAGGATCCCAACTCGGAGACGAGCCGCGGCCTATGGGCTCGAAGCGTATCGGTTAACGATCATGTCGTGGTACAAGGCAAAACTGGCATTGGGTCCTATGTGGTCTGGAATTGCACAATCCAAACCCTGGAGGTACGACAGTCCCTAGCTCCGATCCGAAGCCATGAACATCACTGTTCCAGGATAGATTGTTAACTTGCATTGGCAGGGTGGCCCCATCACTATTCGTATGAGGTATGTATACATCTAAACGATCCCAGCCACCCCATCCCCTCACTGATCCGAACCCCGATTGACCTCATTTTCTTCCATTAGATACTCCGAATTCGACGATCTACGAAATCAACTCGTCGCCTCCTTTCCACACGCAAAGAACGCCCTCCCAGCTCTCCCCCCAAAGAGCGTCCTCTGTGCGTCCCGATCTACATGCATGTCCCAACCACAAACACAAAACACCTCTAACCTACCTCTCCAGACAAATTTCGTCCCTCGTTCCTCGAATCCAGACGAGTTGGTTTAGAATATTTCTTGAAGTGAGCATACCAATCGACAACCGGACCCACGGATCATCGTTCTCTAACCCTTCTGCTTCCTTCCACCTTAGTTGTATCCTATTGAATCCCGAATTCTCTAGCTCGCCTATCGTCAAGGACTTCCTCTTTGGCAGGATGTGTTAATAATTAACTGTGAGATCATTGTTGCTATGTTTTTGTCACTATGATGTTATGTCTATCTACATTTTTTGCGTTGGAGCCTTTGGAGCAACACCTATGATGTGTTCTTATAATTTTCTTGCACAGGCCTGTCGGCAACTATATATACTGAGAGAGGCAGTTGATCTGCTTAGTTTAACATTTTACATTGGAAATCATGAGATCATCAGTACAGCGGCGGAATTGTTGTAGATGTTCAAAGTGTGAGCTAGCTACCGCAGTGATCAAAATTGATCAATCAATCCTTCGAAGCAAAACGCGATACTTCGAAGCTCGCACCTCAGGCATCCAAAAACCTTACAATCGCTACGAGGAGGAATGGTTGGACGAAGTGCCACATTGTTAAGATTTTGGGCAGTCAAGCATAAAGCCTCATGCATGAACCATTATGCCGTGGAGATATCGGCCCATTCATATCATCGACCGTACAGCGTACCGAGTACATCTAAGTCTTGTCCTCTGGGTTGACCATCACAGCCCGGGCAGCATTCTGGTCCTCTTCCTTTGCCTTTTGCATATTCTTGGAATACTTCCTTCCGGCGACAAGCCACCATGCCAGCTCAATGACTAGGAACCCCCCGACGCATGCACAAGTGTAGTTCATGTTGGATGCTGCGAGAAGTTTTAGATCTTGGTCTAATGCGAAAGAATACCGTCCAATGATGCGAAGGAGGCATACCTGTCACTGGCATATAGTACGGGAATGAAAAGAAAACGATGGCAAACACCAGCCACGCAATAGTTACGATATTGACCGTCATACCGCCAATAACACCCAAGAAAAAAGGACCTCTGTGCATTGTCTTGCGGCCAAGAATCACATTCGTCAGGATTGGAACCAAGTATGCAATGTTATTAATGGTTCTAATAATAACCCAGTTAGCTTTGAAAGTCCCCCGTCGAAAGAGAGATACGTGAAAAACTCACACAGCGGAACCCATCATCGCATTGAAGGCCGTGCTCGAACCAAGGTAGATACACCCTAGAAGTGCCACAATGACAGTAACACACAGCTGAGCGTTGAATGGAGAGCCCAATCGCGTATTAACCTTGGCCCAACTAAAAGAGTTAGTTGAATTTATAGTATTCAGATTCGGGTGCTACTTACACCCCTGAAAAGGGAAGACCACCATCTCGAGCAAATGCCCAAAACATTCTCCCTGTGCCTGTAACAAGATTAGTTGAATGAGAAATACTAATTTATGTAGTTTGCTCACTGAGTTGAGACCCAAGCATGCATGGTCCTAGAGCTACCCATACTAGGAAGACGAGGCCGAATGCACCACCACGTGTTTGGGTTGCTTGACGAAAGATTTCTGCTAATGGTAGGCCGGTTGGAGTGTCTGCCAAACTTCCATAGTCTTGCACGGAGAACATGAGACTAAGCATATAAGATAGGCCAGTAACGAACGCGATGATCAGAGTGCAGGCTAATATCAAATGTTAGCGAAGTCATGGCTCAATCAAAGCTAATGTCGGAACAAACTTACCTAGGGCCAAAGGAGCATTTTTCCCTGGCTTTGTAAAGATGTTAGCGAGACCAGGTACAAGATATGTTGGTTTATAGATGTCTGAGGCAACCTGCTAAGTATTTGCGCTTGTGGATCCCTCGATGTATGGAACACCTGAAAGACACCCACGTAGATGATCGCCTCATAAATTTGAGTTGAACCATTTGGATAACCATGCGCAGCATTTCCTAAATATGTACTTCCATAAGAGAAACTCCCGCTATCACTTACATTTGGCATTTCCTCGGTGATATGCTGTAATTGAAATCAGCAACAAGTACCCGCGAGCATTGAAACAACATACAGTGATTCCATCCAGTCCGCCGAGGGCATACAGCGGATTCACAAGACCAGTAATGAAGCATATGACATTACTGTCCCAGCCAGTATTATTCATCCAGGTTCGGAAAACAAATTTGTTACCGTTATGTGCTGGAGCCGCTGCGGCTACTGTGACCATGGTGACAAACCATGCGAGCTGTAGGTAGACCACTTCGGTCGTTTAACTCATGATCCTGCTGAATAAGGAAACGATGGACTCCTAACTCACAGGAGAACTTGTTGATCAATGGAATGTAGCGATTGCCAAACATGACAACGCTTGCAGTGAGAATGTTTAAGCCCTGATAAGCTACAAAGGTCATCCAGGGCTGGAGTACCATGTCGGTCTTGTAAAGCGCGATAAGAGCCATGGAGGTAGAGGCGTAGATGAGGTTTGTTGATGCCGTTGTGAAGATCCCTAATTGAATTAGCTTTCGAATGAAACAGGAGGTCAGAAACCGCCGGGGACTTACATCCGAACACTGTGCTCCAACCAGTTGCGAAGCTCAGAAGACTATTGTAACGCTTGGGAGCAATTGCTGCAATCCAGTGATACATCCCGCCCTCAACAGGATATGCCGAGACGAATTCTGCAAGGGAGGCACCCAGGAAGCACTGGAGGATGAAAACCAGAATGAAACCATAGATCACTAGACCAGTCAATGCATGGACTGTCTTATGTTATGTATGCGTCGACTTTACAAGCACCAGGACCGCCTGAGTTGATGGCAGTAATAAGTCCGAGACCGAGACCTGATGAGAGAGTGATTGTTAGATTCATCGACGCCTTGAAGCTCTCGAGTAATTAACTTGCCAGTCCATGAAATGGTACAGTTCGCAGCCAGACCGATCAAGCTCCACACGGAGAAATGTCTTTTCAATTCCTGTTTATGTCCTGAACAACGGATCAACGGTTTTCATTTGTTATCATCTCCTGTCGCACAGTAGAAGGGTTGGTTTGAAGAAACGCACCCATCTGGGCCAATCGCAATTCGTCGGCATTCTGGACCTGGATGATATCGGAGCCATTGTTGTCGAGGGAACTTGCGACGGGAGTCGCAATCTCGTCGGAAACGCCCATCCTGTGTCGAGTTGAAACCAGGATCCCGAAAAGGGGTGGTACGATGAAGAAAGTGAAGGAAGAGGGGTTTGTGTTCCTCTCTCAGACTGGCTCAGTAAGGGTTTTATAGATCGAGCAGCTCAACACGCGAAAATGCCCCGTGCCTGCCTTATCGGTCAGATCAGTCCTACCCCTACGTCGTTCTTATCGCATGTTTATCGGACTTCTTGCCCGTTCGCCGGTTCACCGGACAGATAGCCGACAGCCGCGTTACACTGAATCACTGAATCAAATGTGAAGCACCTGGTCATGTGCTGAATCCTCGCCTCGAGCCAAGCGCAAAGGCGGGAGAGATGCAGATCAGACGGACTAACTACGCTGAAGGAGGCTTGGCATCGCTTAACCCTGTACTCCCTGACAGTAGACTTCCTCAATTAGAAAGATTAAATACATATCTATTCATATTAATATAATAGCATACCAATGCATCTATATACTGCACAGAAAAAAAGTTTCAAAAAAAAAGGGTTCACCATGGGGAACCTTTGCATCGGCCATCAACAGAAGTCGTTAAGTTCATCAGAGTCCATGCAGTGGCGGCATATCCAAGGGGGGCATTAGAAACATAATATGAACAGAAACATATATACCCCCAGGAAAGAATGGGGTATACGCGGCACCGAAGTGTTGTCAGTTATACTGGAAGGAATTCACCGGAGAAGATGAGACTCCTTCGTAGTGGACGTTGGGTTGACCTGCGGAAAGAAGAGGGGACTTAGATGTATACCACTTTCTTGGTATCGCAAGATAACCTAGTCAATGGCTTTTGAGAGCTCCCTTGTTGGGGTCGGCGTTCAAATCCTCCTGGTTTCCCTCTCCAAACTCGCGGTAGGCCCGGTCCCTGGCTGTAGACTTGTCCTTCCGGATGGTGAGGCAATTGATTCCCAAAAAGGTTGTGATCCGGTTGATCACCAGGAATGCCCAGTGCATGTAGGCGACAAATGCAACGAGGAGGTAAAGTCGAAGGTACAGAAGTTCCACCCATCCGCTGATACCGGGCAAACCAAGTTGGGGAAGGTTGACCAGCACGGCGCCAATGACAAGAGGAATCTGTAGCACAGTCCAGTGGGGGAACGGCTGTCTTAGGAGATGGGCAAGGATGATCTTGGTGGTCATCCGTCCGAAAACAAAAGAGATCGTCCAGCAGTATAGAACCAGTCGATCGTCGGCCAAAATGATCGAGTAGGGCGAAAGAAGCCAGGCCAGGTTGCAGCCAGTAAAGATGATCATCGGGACCCATTCCTTGAAAATCGGGGTTAGAGGAAGGTTTTGCTGCCTCCGGGCAACAATGACGTTGTAAACACATCCCGGCAAGTGGCCCACGAAGAACGAAAAAAGGAGGAAGGGAATCCAGATATCCTTCACAGAGTTGTTTCCAAAGATTTGAGGATAATTCAAAAATTCAACGATAGGTTGGGACCAAATCTGAGGCCCAAAATAGCCAGAAGCGATCATTAACCCAATGGCAACCAATAAGCCCTCCGTGGGACCGTTAAAGTACCCAAGATAGAGCGTATGCGTGTGGTAGGTTTCCCAGGTCGAAAAATACATGGCAAGGCATGGGACAATAGCCGTGTATGCACCGAGTTTGGTGGAGCCGAGACCCATCGCTGCAGTCTCCAGAAGACTGGCAAGGGTGCAGTTCAATGAATCAATTCCATGACTGCAAATCATTAGCAGGTTTCCGATCCGATTCGGACACCAATACTAACTCAAAAAGCTCCCCAAGTCCGCTGGAGGTTCCGGTTCTCCGTGCCTGCTTGCCATCGACATTGTCTAGAGTCGAATACCTAGACCATCGTTAAGTTCAAATATGATACTATAGGTTGCGCGATCTTCTTACATCCACATGCCAAAAGCGAAACTGTAGTATAACCAAGAGGGTCCCTTGAGAAAAGTGTCAGTGCCGAAAACCCAGAAACAATCAGACAATAACCCTTACCGGTCCAATGAGGTCTGGCATATATATCTCAATGAGCATCACGTTGCCCACGATGAACATGAAGCCCAGAAGCGTCACCATATTAGGGGCCAACCATAATGGTAAGACTTCAACAAACGCATTCCACTATTCCCACGGGCTGGTTGTCAGAGACGGTAGGGTACTAGCGATGGTATAAAGGTATCGCACATAATGCTTCAATATATATCTCGATATAAATGACTTGTCCACACTCGAGTACTTGTAACTCTTGAGGGGTAGGAGTACATCGTCGGAAAGCGAGTCTTGGATCGCTAGGTTTAGAAGAGCCATTAATTTCTGCACGTCTATAGTGGATTGAAAATCATTATTCGTATTAACAACTAACCTTGGATCTTCCTAAAGATTGCACTCATTGTCCCAAAAGGTGTGTAATCGATGTAGTCTAAAGAAACCAAGAAAAAAAGAAAAAAAGAGCCGGGAGGGTGCTATGATCGACCTCTAGTTCATGGCGTGGAATGCGACTAGATAGGGCAAATGGCGCAGGGACGGTGAATTGCTTTTCAGAGATAAGCCAGGCGCTATTGAACACTCAGTGAACGCAGAGGAAACACGAATAGTAGAGAGCCGAGAGTCAACGAGAGGGAAACACCCGCCAAAAAGGACCGTAAAAGGAGAAAAAAGGGACCTGCGGACGGAGAAGGAGAGGATCGGCGAACGTTCTGTCCTCGGACGGCCATCACGTGCCCGGCGGTCTGAAGCTCCGCAGCTTCTCGAGCAACAAACGCGACATGAGCCGAAGGTGAATGAGTGAGTGCTTTGAGGTGGAAAAAGCCTTTTTTTTCTCAGCGTCTCCTGCTTTCCCACCTCCGACCATCTTCTGTCTGCGAATACTTGTCATTCTTTAATGTCCTGATCCCTGTCCGGTATCTCCCAGGCGGTCTTTTTCTTCCCTCACGGCCTTCATTGCCCTTCCTGTTCCCCGCCCACCGTTAAAGCCTCAAGTTTTAGGAACGCCCATATACCCCCAACTTCAACGAATTCCGGCATTTTACTCAAACGAGCGTCATCGGAGACGGATAACTGACGATCATACTGCTGTTTTCTGGGCTTGGACATGACGGTGGCTGGTCAGCCAGGCGCTTGCGGCGCAGTGCACGACTGAGTATTTTGCGCAATGCCGGGCGTCGTTGAGGCCGGCGCCAGCCCTGACTGGTCGGGGCTGGGCTTTACTGTTGCGCATCAGAAGGTTGAACTGGAGATTGACTTCGCGAATAAGAGCCTGAAGGGCAAAACAGAAATCACCATCCACCCGCAGTACAAGGACCTTCGCGTTATCCGATTGAGTTTCCGACAGGGCGAAATCAAGCGCATCACCGTCAGCGGAAAGTCCACTCCCTTCAAACATACGAACTCTTACGATACTCTTCAACTGTACGGGCCTCATTATCACCAGCGACTGTCGTCTCGGATAGATAAACTCGCCAAATCTCCACCGGAAGCTGAGTTGTTTGTGACCCTCCCGAAAAGCGTCAGGATCGATGAACTCGACCCATTCTCTATCGAAGCCCAGGGCCAGATGGCCCTGCGAGCAACAGGTGCCGGTGACGATGCCGAAGGACTCATAAACTCGAAAGCGGCGGAAAATACACTCCCACGTTTCACGGCGGTGACGGTGTATGCTGAGTTTGTCATTGATACTATCCGGGAGGGTCTGCAGTTTGTTGGTATGGAGAACGGCGATAGGCGCTACCCGCATGTCTACACAACAAATCCACTAGGGTATGGCGTCGGATGCCCCCTGTTCCCTTGCGTTGACGACCCCTCGTCTCGTTGTACATGGGAACTTTCAATAAAAACGCCTTGTTCGTTGGGGGACGTATTCGACCGCAAATCACGGGACCCATCTGGAGCCGGCTCATCCAGTCGTAACAAGTCTACGTCTGGCCACGGGCGATACATCTCCCCAGATGATGAGGGTTTGGATATGTCGGTGGTTTGTTCCGGAGACATGACGGATGAAATCATTGACCCGAAAGATTCGAGCAAGAAAACCGTATCATTCGCGTGCATTACTCAATTATCAGCGCAGCAAGTGGGCTTCGCCGTTGGTCCTTTCGAATATGTAAATCTTTCTGATTTCAGAGAAAGTGACCAGGATGAACAGCTTGGGCTAAATGCCATCCCACTTCATGCTTTTTGTCTCCCGGGGAGAGGGGATGAGCTTAGGAACACATGCTTCCCCATGGCAAAGGCAATAGACTTCTTTTCCTTGACTTATGGATCCTATCCATTCTCAAGTTACAAGATGTGCTTCGTTGATGACACTCCTGAAGAGACCTTGCCGACAGCCTGCTTGTCGATTTGCAGTAACCATCTTTTGTTTCCAGAAGATATCATCGACCCGATGTATGACTCCACGCGCATGCTGGTCCACGCTCTATCGTGTCAGTGGATTGGAGTCAACATCGTGCCACAGACAGTTGTGGACACGTGGGTGACCGTCGGAGTCGCTTGGTACATCACCGATACTTTTATGAGGAAACTCTGCGGAAACAACGAATATCGATTTCGAATGAAGCAAATGTCCGATCGAGTTTGCGACCTAGATTATGAACGGCCATCGATACACGACATGGGCAACTACTTGAAGCTGGATGCATCTGAAATTCAATTTATTGCACTGAAGGCGCCTCTCGTTCTATTCATTCTGGACCGACGACTCACGAAAGCAAGTGGAAAGGCGACAATGTCCCGTATTATATCTCGACTATTTCTCACGTCACGAACTGGCGACATGTCCAACGGTGCCATCACCACGGCTTCTTTCCAGAAGACGTGCGAGAGACTTGGCCATGCAAGGCTAGATGCGTTCTTCGCCCAGTGGGTGTATGGTGCCGGGTGCCCGCGGTTCCAAGCCACCCAAAGATTTAACAAGAAAAAGTTGGTGGTGGAGATGATGATCAAGCAAGTCCAGTCGGAACAACCGAGCACTCGTGATTTAGAGAAGAACAGTTTCATGCGTGATGTCAAAGAGGAGATTCGCGGTGTATACGCAGGTGTTGTTCAGCCGGTTTTTACAGGCTCCATGACAATCAGAATCCACGAAGCTGATGGTACGCCATATGAGCATATTGTTGAGATCAAAGAAGGTGTCACCAAGTTTGATATTCCGTACAACACCAAGTACAAGCGACTAAAACGGAATAAGAGACAAAAAGAGCGCGCCGCTGCCGTTTCTGGTGATCCTACCGCGGAAGTACAAGAAGATGTCTTACTTTACTGCCTTGGGGATGTACTGCAGAGTGAGGAGGAGATGCAGGAATGGAAACTGGCTGATTGGAGCAAAGAAGACGAGGAGAGAATGGGTCAAGAATCCTACGAATGGATCCGTATGGATGCAGATTTCGAATGGATTTGCAAACTATCATTGGTGATGCCAGGTTACATGTACCTCTCCCAGCTTCAACAAGACCGAGACGTCGTGGCCCAGTTGGAGGTTAGTAATTTATTTCTTCCCCCAACGTTGATTAATGATACTGACCGAATCTATAGTCCTTGCAGTATATGGCCGCCCAACGAGAGCATCCACTGATCTCCACAATTTTCGTCCGAACTTTGATGGATCGACGATATTTCCACGGGATCCGTGCAGCTGCAGTTCGAGCCCTTGTCAAGCATGCAAAAGAAGAAATCAACTGGCTAGGGTTGTTCCACCTAGAGCGAGCGTTTCAGGAGCTGTTTTGCCTGCCAAACTCGCCGATGACTCGTTCAAACGACTTCTCTGACAGGGCAGCGTATGCGCTCCAGTTGATGATCCCGGAGGCCATCTCAAAAGTGCGTGACAACGGCGGTAAGACTCCAATGCGAGTCAAGCGGTTTTTGCATGATAAGCTGAAGTTCAATGACAACTCCAATAATGAGGTGAGCACCCATGATTCTGTGCTTGTGGCTTAACTGTTGCTCATTCTTCTTACAGTACTCGGATAATTTCTACGTTGCGATGCTCATGGAGTCATTGTGTCACGCTATGCTTGGCAAGGTCGAGTCAGCGCCCGTTGAGATGGACGATTTCGATATGGAACGAATGCTCGAGCTGCAAGCAGAAGAGCAATTGGAAAAAGACGCCTTGGCCGAGATCGATCGGTATAGGCGAATGGACGAGTGGTCAAGCTCGTTCCAGAACGTCTATTCACGTGCAGCCCTACGTTGTCAAATGCAGCTTATGCAAGCCAACATAGTTGAGATGGATATTATGCAATTCCTACCTTACACACGGGCTGGCACGTATGACCTTCTTCGCCTGGATGCGTTCGAGTGCCTCGTGGAAATGGATTTGTTCAAAAACCCGGAACTTCTGAAGTGGTTCATCTACGCCATGTCGAACGATTCTTCCACCTGGCTCCGACGACGGCTCCATAGCTTGTTTGGCAATGCTCTTGCTCCTGTGGCTTTTGGCCGGGAATCAGAAACCCAGGCCCCAACCTCCGGTGATGGTCTCATTATTGAACAGGAATCATCAACCGAAGTCCGTCAGGCGACTTTGGCACGGAAACAAACCGTCCCAGGCGCCATGGAAGCACTCAAACTCGAAGTTTCCGGAGATCAAGTTCTCAAAGAAGCTCTGTGGGCTGCGTGCAACTCCCCTTGTATTGGGATCTTAGAGCTTTCTGAATTCGCCGATCTCTGCCGAATCATTTATAGCCCAGTCACCTCCGTGAAGGTCTCTCTGAAGTATCCACGCTATTGGAAGGTGAAACACCTCGGAAAGGTATGTTCCCTAACTCACGTATTGCTTTTGATCCCTTATCGCTCACACGTTCTAGGGTCGAATGCACTTTTTCCGATCCAATCGTGTTCGCACCACTCTTACCCCGTCGAAGGATTCATCTACAGCTCCCACGAAGCGCAAACGAGAAGAGCCGGGAATGCCACCTCCTGGACCTCGTATCACATTCAAGCAGTCGAAGAGCAGCTCAAAGGTTTCGTCCCAACCTCCGACCCCGGCACCGCACCCAACTCCCAAATTACACATCCCCAAACTTTCTTCCCCGGCACCCCAAGCGTCACCCCGAAACCCGGCTACGCCGTCTACGCCATCTACTCCTGGTGGCGGGTTCAAATTAAAGCTGAAGTTTGGCCAAAAACCCCAATAAGTTCCTACTAATACACCTAGGAGCTCCTATTTATTCATGTAACTTATACTTTTGTTCTATTTCTATTTTCTTAAAACCTTGTAGGGAGGTTGGCAAGGGAAATCTTATGGCGCGATGGTGGGATCGATTATTGTCTTTTCTTCTTTTCTTCAAATTCCCCGTCTAAACCTTTTCATGTTGCATTTGCTTGATCGGTTCTGGGGCTTCTACTTCCCAAACCCCAAGCCGGCTTTACCCCGGTTCGTTTGATGCTATACCGGATTTGATTTTGTCATGAATGTTGATGTCTTGCATAGCAATCAAATCATCAGATAGTCTATCAAGAAAATAATTTTCTTCGAACATACGGCAGCCTAAATGTGACTTGTGGACAAAATCCGTATTCACAAAAATTTCAGTTTTCTACTTTATTGTTTCTTCTACACACATTAATGGGAGTGTCATTTTTCTTTCTTCGTAAACAAAGGATGCGAGGAGACCGTAATTGGTATTTCTTCGACCAGACCATGAAAAGCAACAACCGATCCTTATAACTCCAGTACTTTATTTAAAAAACACAATCAACCCCCTATCCATCCCGACAGGGAAGGTGTATCTCTAACCCGGCGGACGTCCATTTATTTCTCGCTTATCCGTTCCAGAGCCTAGTGTGATGAATTGCGTTAGTTATCTGAGAGATCGATTACGCGCGCAACGCAAGGTTAGAAATTGACTCACCTCAAGCATGACGACGGAGTTACCGCGGATGACCTAGAAACGGAGAGGTCTAATTAGCAACACCGAAACATTTCGAGAAACCCAAGCTTCCAAAACCGATGTCACTTACCACCATGCCAGCAGCGACCTTCTCACCGCCGGGCTTCTCTTCAAAAGCCTCGTCGAGAACAATGTTCATGAAAACCTGCAATGCAACACAATCACGTCAGTCCTTTGCCTTTCCTCGGGAATATGAAACAGCCTGGGACATTCGCTCGCATGCACTGTCGGCGCAATATCTCTCCGGACCTTCACAAAACGAGACGAAACGACGAAGGCGCAAATCCTCCAAGCCCCAAGATCGTAGGTAGGGACGAGAAGAAGAGAAGAAGACGTACATCGTAACCTCGCAGAATACCAATGACTTTGCGGTTGCCGTTCAATTGGCAAAAGATCCGCTTTTCCATGTACTGTGGGGGTGTTAAAGCATCGTCAGTGACCAGAACAGGCGCCAAAAGGACGAAAGCGAAAGTAAAATAAACCGAAAACTTACCTTTTTCAATTCCGGCTGAGCTTGAGGCATCTTGGCTGGCCAGTTTGGTGTAAACTTTCCCTCCGTGGATGGTCGAGAGCAGTCGCGCGGCGGAACTTTTGAGATGGGTCGCCGTGGGATAAGCTGGGCTCGGAAGAATGTTGTTCCCGGGAGCTTGCGGCGCGTCTTGCGGAGCTTCAAACTCGCGGCCGAGTAAATTAACTGCTTCTTGCGATTGCGCAACGAGGGGAGTACCAGCACCGGACTTGTACGAAAAACCATCAAAAATGAGCACCAAATTCGCCAATCGGAAAAAACCGCGCAAGATTGGTGGGGATGATGAAGATGAAGGAGGTGATCAAGGTGGGTTGTTTCTATACAAATTCACGTCATTTTTTCTGTCTGAGTGGCAACCGACCAAATAGTTCTAACACAAAGTACATTCTTAGATACTGGTCCCGTCGTCAAAAGACCCGGCAACTCCAAAGGGAACCAAAAATCAAAACTACGCCTTTCGTTCGGTCCTGGCGAAACCTCTATGGCCGATGATGAAGAAGGACGGGAAAGCGAAGTTGTAATGCCCAAACGACCTGGTTTGGGAAGACGAGCGCTCGAGAACACGACGTCCCAGTCAGGATCGGGTAGGAATATTCCCTTGCGAGTCGGCCCCGAACAAGATCGACCCAGTTACAACAACGACTACCTGAAGGAACTCCGAGATTCGACGCCCGTGACACCGAAAACGCCCGCGACCGACGAGGAGAAGGAAAGGACGGTCGATGTCGCTGCGAAGTTTGGCGAAGTCATGAAGGTGTCCGCGCCTGCCGCTATCCCAAGCGAAGCGGAAATCAAAGAAAAGAAAGCTAGAAGGGCGCGGTTAGCGAAAGAGCATGGTGCCACCGTTACCGAACAAGATTATATTTCCCTTGAAGACAACGCGGGCGATATTGATTGGGAAGATGGCGCACGGGATAGTCACAAAGACACGAGGCTCATCAGGGACGATGAAGATTTTGCCGAAGGGTTCGAAGAGTTTGTGGAGGACGGCCGGATATCGCTTGGGAAAAAGGCCGAGCGCGAACAGAAGCGAAAACAACGCGAACAGATGAAAGAACTTATCGAAGATGCAGAGGGATCGTCAGACGAAGACGACTCCGACATCGAAGACCGAGCTGCTTATGAAGCAACCCAAACAAGAGCTGCAATGGGCAAGAGTGGCCGGGATCCCATGGAGCGACCGAAGACGCCTCCCAAAATGACCTCGCTTCCCCGGCTCTCAACCTGTCTAGATCGTCTTCGTACCAACCTAGCTGTCATGGAACAGTCAAAGACTCAGATGATCACTCGGATGGAGGATCTGAGAAAGGAGAAAGCCGACATCGCTGTGCGGGAAGTCGAGATTCAAGCCTTGATCAAAGAGGCGGGTGATAACTATGAGAGGCTCAAAGAAGAGGCTGGTCAAGCTCCCAAAGCCATCGAAGACGGGACCGCTGTTGGTGATGCTCAGAATGAGCGAGGACTAGAGAGCTTCGGCAGTCCCATGAAAGAGTCAACGCCAGATTCAGAAAATGAATCATGATCATTTCCATCATCCGATCTTTGAGCGCTTATCTGACCATTTACAACCTCCCATGCCAACCCTCACCAGGTAGCTACGTATGGTATTACTATCTGTACGTATGCGCTGTTCCAGTGGTAGGACTCGGTCATGGTCATCCCTTAGTGTGGCAAGGAAGAAGTGGGCTGACCGCCTGCGGGTAGTTCTGCCGCCTTACCCCAACAAAATCGCGGGACGCCCACGCCCGTGTTGCCCACTAGGAGGGGTCCTGCCTCCTAAGATCTTGCTCACTAAGTAAGATCTTGCCCACTATGGTCTTGCCCGTCGGAATTGCCCACTGAGATATCCTGCCTGCTAAGAAGGTCTTGCTCACTAAGATCTTGCACTGAGAGGTTCTGCCCCTGCTGGCCCTTACATGGACCATCCTCTCTACACAGTATCACCAACCACATTTGGGCCCAAAATGTACAGTATTCCGTTTTTTGAAACACCCATTGAACCGACTTCTGCACGCCTCAACCGGCATGCGGATGCAACTCCGATAGAATTGTTCTTTGACCTGTTTTTCGTGGCGAATCTGTCTACGTTCACGGCTACACATGAAATTTACAATGTAGAAGGTATCTAGCTCTACTCAGGGCAAGAATTGATTTATTCAGGGCTAGCGTTGACTTGCTATTTCCAGCTTTAGGAGCGTACACGGGCTTTCTCGGGGTGATCTGGTTTACCTGGCTTCAGGTGACACTATACGATGTCCGATTCGCTCGAGACTCGGTCTTTGAGCGGTTTTGCAAGGCTGTGCAATTGGCTGCAATGGTTGGATTTGCATCTGCGGGCACGCGATTCACCACGCGTGTTCGGGATGAGAACGTTTGGGCTTTCCAGTCACTGAGTCTACTCCTGGGTGGCAGTCGAATTTTACTGGCTCTTCAATACACCGTCAATATCCTTTTCGTCCGCCAGCACATGAGACATGCTGCTAGAGGAGTCTTCATCATCGCCACGACTTTATTTGTCACCAGCTTGATCTATCTGGGGGTGAGTAAAGCCCATCGCTTACTACTCTCTTCAGTCTCTGACTCCGTGCGCTCATTAGATGTTTTTCACATTCAAGGCGCAACTCGGTGTCCACCCCTATATATGGACTGTTTGGTTTGCTTTGTTCGGCCTGGAAATGTGGGTTGTCATGGGAGTTTCCTGTGTTACCCAAGGGATTGGGCTTCAAGACACTCACCTGAATGTGCGGATGGGGCTCCTCACACTCATCATCATAGGAGAAGGTGTAATCTCGATTACAAGGATTGTTAACAAAACGGTTCGGCCAGGGGGCTGGACCAAATGGTCGTTTGTCCATATCTTGGGTGTTACGACTAATGTGTATCTTCTTTGGCAAGCATACTATGACCTTTCCCCAAGCATGCTTGGAAAATATGCACAGCAGATCTGGGCCCAGTTACATTTTCCATTCCACGTGGCTCTCATTCTTCTCCTTGAGGGGTCACAGATTCTCGCCCTCACGCTGGATATTTCGTTGAAATTGACCTATCTTCTCGAAACCATTATGTTTGCCTGCGAAGAGCCACGCCCAAAACCCGATGTTGCCATCCACCTCCTTCGGACCACCATTGCTGATATGGAAATCGACTATAGTCGTGGTTCGATCAACGCCAAAATGGCGATTTCCGACATTCTAGAAGATTTGCCTAATCATCCCCTATGCCCTGTGATCGCCAATGTGGGCCAGACCGTCAATGTGGGAGAGACCGCCAGGTACTACGTAACTCGCAACCGCATGGGTGCACTGGTTGGAAATGTAACGGCCGCTTTATTTTCTAGTATGGGCATTGTGCCGTCCGAAGACCCAAAGTTTAACCTCAGTGGACCTCAGCTTCTCAGAACGTATGTGGAGGTCCTAGGATTCGTCTACGTCTACTTCTTTGTCGTTGCGTCGCTCGTGATGTTCATTTTCGCCGCATTCCTGCTACTAGCGCGTCGCCGGCACCAGAGTCGCTTCAGCATTGGGATTGGAGCAGCAGCTCGGGTCTTTCTAGGAGTGTTCTTGGCCGGCCTGCTATCTTTTGTCCGAGATTTCTCGCTGGTGTATTCTTTCATGACGTCTCCGGCGATCCTCTACGCATTCACCTTCACGTTGCTGACGGGTAAGTTTGTTTTCATTGCCTCTATCCGACGAGACACGTTTTCTGATTGGATTGATAATGGGAAATCTAGTTCTTCTGGTTGACCGACTTTTGGATCACTACGGAGGCGCAGCAGGCTCCCGCCGGGCGCAGGAAAGCGACGTGACAATATTGGATGCCAGTTCCGGCATGGTCATCGATGCCCATTCGTATTGCGGATCCATGGATGAAAAGAAAGATCCACCGGTTCTAGGGGGAAAGGGTGGCGATGGCAGCAACAGGGTCATTTCATTGCATGAGCGTGGAGACACATCCCAGCAGCAAATATAGGATAGACGATACAAATTGAAAACGGCTAATCCGACGCATTTTGGTTTCTTAAATTTTATTTTCTTGATTAAGAATTTTCCTTATGGAGGCTTCTGATTTAAATTATTTTGTTTTGTTTTAATTCCCCCCCGACAGCCAGTGTCGACAAACCGAATACCCGGGCAATGATCGGGAACAGGCATGAATGACCAGACAGGATAGAAGTCAGAAGGCACAATCAACATGTTGAAAAGAGATGGATCAGAATTTCACAAGAAAGGAAGAAGTAATAGAAACAACCAATTACTGATTTTCCACTGTTTAATCCTCCATCCCCAAAAAACTGATTACTCTTGTACCAGGCAGAGATCAATCAGGTAGGGCAGAACCACCGCAGCCCTAACTTACCGCAGCGCCGTCACACCCTCCTCGGTGTACTTTTCATATCGAGACGCCATTTTTCATCTGCTTTCTGCTTCTCCATCCCCGTACAACCATCCATCCACCTAATCCACTCTGGGTCAGGTCCGCACTCAGGTATGTAGGTTCCCGCAGGTTCAGGCTCAGTCCAGTACGTCCCCCCTTCCTTTCCATCCCCGGACCACTCCAAATTAGACCAGACGAGACCGGAGACCGAAAAAGTGCACCAAAAAAAATTTAAAGTCTCTGGCCCTGGTCCGGGATGCTTACTCGATGTCCCACAAACCTCGACTCGCAGCCACAGCCACGCCCACCCACACCTCCTTTGCCATCCCCGTGCTCGGTAGCTGGCCAGTCAGGTTGAGTTTGTCCGGATGAGGATGTGTTTGATACGGGTCTGCACTGTCTACTGCCTCCTGCCTAATGTTTTCACCGTACTTTCTCATTAGTACTCTCTCGCCCCCTCCTGATCCGCTGATCCGGGGTGAGCGTGCATGGAGAAGACTGAGGATCAGCAGACAGAGGAGGGGGGCTGGGTGATACGCGGGGAAGGCGAAAGAGAAAAAGGGAGGTAACGGTACAACGCATACGTACAGATAGTAATACCATAAGTAGCTTCCTGGTGAGGGTTGGCATGGGAGATTGGTACGTAGTAAATAGTCTCTTCTAAGCCTACGTACATACATACCCAGAATATGTTTTTTGAACTTCAGATTCAAACGGGTCATTGATTTCGCCAGCGGGAAGGTGGAGAAAAAAGGATGTAGTGTAGTTATCTATTTGATTATATTATATTATATTTTAGTTTATTCTATTTCTGCTTGTTTATGCATTTATTTAAATGTCCAATTATTTCTGCAAACTTTAAACTTTCAGCCGCCGCGGCCGGAACTTCTCCATCTCGTCCACGGACACTTCTCTACCTGTCAGAAATACCAAGGGGGGGGGAATATAACATCTCAAGTCTACGTCATCGCAAACCACACTCGATAGTCACGTTTCACTTAATTTAAGAACCCCATTTATTTTCACTGCTAAGTTGAGGCTCAACGCCGACTAATTCGACAATTTGACTCGAAACTGTTAGAGGGAACGAGACGAACATGGACGATCTCATCCATCTCTCCAAGGATGTTGTGAACCATGTTATCGTTATCATATAATAATAAAAAGAATATACATGCCACGCTGAAGTAAACGCACACTAGATCCCAAACGGGATTAGAAACAAACCCAAGATCAAGCCAAGATCACGAGCAAAGAAGACTGAAGTTGATCAATCAGAAAGGAAAATAAAACGGAGTTAGGGGATCTACCAAGCATACTACGTACAGCCTTTCCCCGCGGACGGGAACAACCTAAATTCTTCGCTGTTATTTGCTTTTTTCTCTTCGTAGTATATTCGAATATCGTCTAATTTACATTCTACTTCCACTGGGAGGATGGGGATAGTTCTTCGTTTGTTTATTCTCCGAAATGTTCCTGTCTTATCCTTTTCTTTTGCACATTTTGTTTTAATGTGTAGGGTGTGTAGTAGTAGTAAAAGCTAAAGAGTTTGAAAAAACCATCCCATCCCACCTCCATCCTCTCCGCCTCAAGTGAAGAAAACAAGTGCAAGGGGAAACATAAACCAAAAGAAGAAAAAGAAACTAGTGACATGCATATGCAACACGGCGCAGTCCTGCAGTTCGACCAATCCGTCCAGCAAGGAGAAAATACATCAAAGAAAGAGCAAACCAAACCAAATCGTATAATTCAAGAGAAAAAAATAAAATAAAATAAAAACTAACTTTAAAAGGATAGATAGATAGAGACCAACAGCCAAAAGATAGAGCCTACCTAAACGCCACATAAACGAACGCAGCCCTAATTCTCCGACATCAATCAAACGTTATCTAGCCCAACCCCCGATTTGCAACATTTCAGAACCATAACCAGAGCCAGAGGCATAGCCAGACAAAAAGGTAACGGAACAGGTCATCAGACAAAAACAACCAACAACTCACAACCAACCGCCATCCTCTACATGCCGTGGAGGAGGGTAGACGAGCGAAAGAGGGGTGAGTACAGCGAACAAAGCCCTATCTGGCTACCCGTTGGCTACCCGTTTCCTCCCATCCTTCTCAACTCCGCATCCACCAGTCAGACGAGTTGGTTACAAGACATGGCGCTGGCGGAGGCTTAGGCAGGCTTTTGGCAGGTTGCTTCTTTGGGAGGGGTGGGGTGGGTTGCGAGTGGAAGATGTTCTTTCTTTTAATTTTTGTTCTTTTTCTTTTTCACGCACACACTTTTCCACCCCTCCCTCCTTTCGGGTTCGATTTTTGAAATTCAAATGTTGTTATTATTGCAACAGGAAAAGGAGGACAAGACTGTCCTGCATTTATCCATCATCTTCGGCGTAGGGCCGGGGGTGTCACGTCCACCCAACCTGTCTGCCTCTTCCCTTGGTTTGACATCCCGAGAAAAGGTCCGAGAGCGATACGATTGGACATCGGGAACGTTGAAAAGCCAGGGGAGGGTAGGGAAGAGAGGAAGGGATGGACCTATGTAGCATTTGAGACTCGTCAATCGATCTTCAACGGGCGTTGCGGACAAAAATAAGGTAATGGACTAGGACAACGTCAACGCCAACGTCTAGAATCGGGAACCATCCATGCTAGTTTAGTCTAGTCTATTCTATCAGGGAAAAGGGAAGATCCTTCACATGTATCCAATACGGCGCTTTCTAGGTAGCTTCTGGGGGGAAACAAAATCGCTTTGTACGTGAGAGACAAGGAATCTGTTCCCGTTAGTGCGAGATGGGATGGATAGAGGATAGAGAGACCCTGGCGGTTTGTGATCAATAATAAACGTAAAATCAGAATAAATAAATAAAATAAAATAGACACAATTGAGTTGCAGGGGTATACAGCGTGAGGTTCACAACGGCGCAATCAATGTCCATGTCCTTACAAGAAAAGGGGCTTTCTGTTGAAAGTTGGGGGCATTGGAAACTCATTCATATGCCGAGCATATTCAGAGGATCACCTTGCTAGAGTTCAGTTGATATTACTTCGCCACTCTTTCCTGCCTTCCACTTGTCTCGCTTTTCTATCCTCGTTTCTTCTCTCTTTTCTGAAACTGTTCCAACTATATCAACTCTCCATTTTACGAGAGCATCTGGGACACGGGGAAGAATCCGCACCAGAACATTCCCTGAGAAGTCTGCTAAGCTACCTCTCGAATCACAACGACTCTTCTGTCTTAAGAAGGTGAGAGAAAGCGTGTGGGACATTGGGGCGCTCATCGGCCTGTGGCTTATGGGTTTGGCAAAGGCAGATCGTGCCCAACAGAAGAAGACCTGACTGACTGACTCCGACAATAGAGACAAGACATCCAGACCGCCAGAATATTTCACTCCGGTGTCTCTGTCTGTCTTGGTTTATTTTTCTCCGGTATCCTTTTCACTCCATCCACAGAAAATTCTTCTACCTTCTTTTTTGCTCTTTGTCATCGTCTTCTGGTCTCGCCTCCGCCGCAAGAAGGTCTTGGATCTACGACGCATCCACACGGGTTGAGGCAACAGCGAGCTTTGAAAACCGACAGGCTCTCTCACCTTGAGACGCTCCTTTTTCCAATCTAGACCGGGGAAAAGAAAAAGAAAAGAACAGTAAGCAAGATCGGCCCATCCAAAGTGAGACCTCCATATACTGAGTGGTCTGCAGGCGCCCTGTCTCAAGCCCAACAACGTGCATGATCCAGAATCCCGAAAAGCCTAAATGACCAGGCCATCTTCATCCACAACTAACACACCTTGATCATAGTAGCGGTGTGATTCTAGAAAGTCTAGATCAAGACAAGGACGGAAGGACGGGGCACGAGCGACCTTGTCCCAATTTAAGAACCATGCGCTGCATTCTCGTCGAGCCTGGGAATAGTCGTCGTCCGCAATCAAATTTTATTCTTGATAAGCACGGTTGTTCTTCTTCAGATATGGCTACGGTTGATCGACTCCACACGGCCGAAGGCAATGTCCTTCGCTCTATTGATCACTGCGACTTAACAGCCGCATCTGCATCTGCATCTGCACCTGCATCCCCATCCCCTCCTCAAGATACCACCCGTGAAGATTCCCCAAAGACACAGTCGTTGGAAAGAAGAAACACTTCCTCGCACGATGTCGACGAGGAGCCAGTTCAAACCCCAACGTCGCAGAGTGATGTCATGGAGAAAGACATCCAACCGTGGTCTCCTCCGCTTCCTTCCATAGACTGCGAGGGTGAGGACTTTCAGCCTCATTATGGAGCCCCAAGTCCTTCAGCCCTACAAGGCACAAGTCCATCAATTCACGGCGAGAACCAAATCCAAAGTTTCAGCTCCGAGTATCATCCCTACGACCTCCCACCGGTGGCAACCTCTTCCGAGCCAGACACGTCAATCAAAGGAGAAGAGAGCTTTGATCCCAATGATCCGACCATTGATCTATTTCATCCTGTTCCCAGACTACCCAGTCTGCTCATCGCCAGCAGGAACATGGCGATGTTTCCAGATACTTTCCCAGATGCTAAGATCGAGTTTGACTCAACGTCGCTATTCCCCTCCCCTGAGGATTCGAACGAGTGCTTGTTTAACGACGGCATAATTCCAAAACCAGAGTGGATGATGGACGTGGGAACCGCGCCGCTATTCAACGACCTCTTACCGAGAATGCCGGTAGACACGCTTGTTGGCACCAGCGTGACCTCAATGAATGACACATGCAGTCCCGATTCCTCACTATCGTGGTCGTCTCTTGGCTACCAGACCGGTTTCGGCATGCAGCAGCAGCACCACCACCAACAACAACAGGCTCTTATCAATCACAATGAGGTCCTCTGCTCCAACGGTCCAGAACTCTTCACTACCCCCAATGACCATTACGACAATATCAACACCGGATACGACCAGACAGCCCCGACAGGCACGGCAACCAATGACTTCCACGGCCTGACGCTCTTGAACTTGAACAACGAAACCCAAAGCCATCTTTACCTCCCTCCACCGGTACCAGTACCAGTACACATGAACCTGAACCCCTGCCGACCCGAATACACCAACCTACCAAGCCCCCGAGACCCAGCGCCGGCGCTGCTGAACAGCAACCCCTCGCCATTCTACGACCCCGCAGACACATTCACATACCAAGAGAGTCTATTCCAACTAGATCAACTCACACATCCACAACCGCGATTCACGCTCACGACAACGACAACAAGCCACCTTCGTCCGCAATTACTAGGTACTGGTACTAGACCGTCCAGGTGCCCCGGCGAGGCCCGAAACGCCTTCTTGATAGAATGTAAACGCCACGGACTATCATACAAGGATATCAAACGGCTCGGGGGGTTCAAGGAAGCAGAGTCAACGCTACGTGGTAGGTTCCGGAACCTGACGAAGTCGAAAGATCAGAGGGTCAGGAAACCACAGTGGCATGATAAGGATGTGAGCTTTCCGCTTCCCCTTCCTCGCGCACCAGACAGACACCAAGGGCTAACATGCAAACAAGATCAAACTTCTCTGCGAAGCCGTGAACCTCTGTTCGGAGACCGGGAGGGCCTGCCACCATTGCCGCGGTCGCAGCTCTGGTCGTCGACCCAGCCTGATCACAGAGCCGCCTAAAGTGTCGTGGAAAATAGTGGCTCAATATATCCGGGCCCATGGCGGGTCGTATTATTTCGGGAATGCCACGTGCAAGAAGAAATGGTGTGAAGTTCATGATGTGATAGGTTGAGTCGTTTGACTCCCATGTTTGGTTGCCGCCATGTGCTGAATGAATTCTGGATGGATGAGTCCCTGGTTATGGTTCCTTATTCCTTTAGGGTTGTTAATCTCATAAAAGCCTTTCGTTTTTGTACCAATGCCATGTTTTCGGCAATGTCAAGCTAGACTCGATAGGGCTGTTGTTTAGTTAATGGTTCGTGAAATGATCAAACTGGGCGAGAAACCTCTAGTTCGCAAAACTGTCTTTAACCTCTATGAGTCTTTCGGGGCATTCAAGCTAGATAAAAACAAGATCGACCATATATTCACTACTAATTGAAATATAACTCTCTGGCTATATCTTGGCCATAACCAGCTTAGTTATATCGCTTCCAGCATGCAGATTCTGGAGTCCAGTTGCTCACTTGCAGAGATATATGTCTCTGATCTCCCTCAAAATTCTCACTCCGTCTACTCTCTGAATCGCCCTTTAACTTCTTCATATCGTCCTAGGGGTGCTGTTTATGTATCTAGTCTAGTAAGAGAATCTTGTAGATTCTTTGGCGATTCTTTCTTACAGGCCTCTATACCCATGCTCAATTTACTATTGTAACTTAAGAGTTTTGATTGAACGGATTTATGGATTCCACATAGGAATTTGGCATTTAGAAAGGTGTATTTACTACTTCATTTATCCTGCCGCAGCCTGTTTAGACGTTGGCGACTCGGGAAGAGTCCCATCAGGGAGCTGATATTCGAGTATAAACCATCATCATCATCACCATCATAAATGAAAACCGTGCTCCATAAATCCCACTAATATGTTAAATGAATTCTTTCTGGCACTAGGCGTATACCAAGCAGAAACCCTCCTCCGACGTGATTCTCAATATAAATTATAAAGAGTAGCAGCCGCGAGATTCATTCAATGCACCTTGTTATAGACATGGAATAGCAGACATATACCAACGTCGTCTCTACCACGATATAAATTCAAGTATGACCAAGTGAGCCGATCAACGTATGAATACAGATACAGACAGGACCGAGATAGGGTAAGGTGGAAGAGTTTCCAACAAACCGGGATTTGTTTCGAAGCCCTGTACTCTAAATATTATGCTGTCCATAACCAAGTATCACTGTATGTGTAGAGTAGTAGTAGTAGTAGTAGTCGTATAAACACACAGTATACACTCACACGCACCGAAGAAAAATCAGAATAAATCACAGTTATATTTCCTCTCAAGTATACATCATTAGGGGCCGAATTTAGAATGAAATAAATGATTTGTTCTCGTCTTTCCACATCATCGGCTTGGTTAGGTTCTACTGTCTTATGTCTAACGTCTCATGTCCACGACTGCTTTGATCCGCCAGCCACGTTCGGGACGGTCTGGGAGGATTTTTTCATCTTATTTTATTTTTCCTTCTTCTCTATGTATTATTATTTCTGGGGTACAAACCGACCGTGTATCCTATCTAGAAAGATGATGGAATATCTACCTATAGTAACTTGTAGTTAGGTAGCAAATAATTAATGTTAAGTAGGTAAGGTATAGGTAGTCTGTATGGTTTGGTTTTGTTTCGTTGGGGTAAGATTGAACAGGTCCAGCCAGCCTCGTTTTCTTAGCCTGTTCGGGGGAGGCGAAGTGGGATACCTTACCTTAGGTTCCTCACTCTCCGGTCAAGTCATCTTGTAACTAACGAACTACTGGATAGATTTAATCATTAATACATCTATTAATTAAGGAAGATACTAAGGCAAAAGAAATGGAAAGGAAATGAAATCCTTCCTGACTTGCAGTGACTTGCGACAGGGTTTGCCGGGAGAAAATACTGGGATTGGTGGTTCGAAATCCGTGTTCGCATAAGCTGGTCGATGCAGGATTCTTTTCCCTGGTCGATGAAGGAGTTTTTGTTTGGTAGGTGGAAAGGAAGGAAGGGAGGGAGGGAGGGAGAGACTACTGTACGACTGACTCGGGGTTGGAGTTGAGGTCGTTCTGCTGTCTGTCTGTGTGGCATTATTATCCCCGTGCGGGGTGTCATGTTCAGTACCCCAGAGTAGACAGACACACTGTTGGCACCATGTACACACCGTATGTGGGTGAATGTAAATCCTTGACCAAACGAGAAGATCTCCATACAGGAAAGGTAGGGTTGATCTGCAGGTTCCTGTCAAGTCACCATCACCACCTGACTTCTCCGGCAGGGATGCTGGGCAAAGAAAACAAAACCAACTGCCACGAGCCAGTCCGCTCCTTTGGGGTTTACATGTCCCCGTCATGTCGCCGGTCGCTGGTTGCCACCCAACACGAACCGCAGGTGGTTTGGCTTCGGTTTTGGTTTTCCCCCCTCCTTGGTTTTTTTCTCTTTCCTTTCTCTGGTCAGTCTGCCCCTCAATAAGGGATAGGGTGATGATGACTGCAAGGAGCAAGGAAGGAAAAAAAAAAAAAAGAGGAGGGGTAACTTGCAGCAACGCCCACGCCACCGTCTAGGAGAGCTTCCCGAGGGGCAAAACGTGTTCGAGTCTCATGCGAATGAGATGATACATACAGTACAATGAGATGGGTGAATCTCTTCTAGATGATGACCACTAGCTTCTCTTCTCCCCGGCGCTGGAGGCCTGATGCTGACCGGAGACTTTGCAGTCCCCCCAAGTGATTGGCAGGCAAGAGGACAAGAAGTCTGAAGAGAGACATTCTGTAACGGCGACCAGGGAAGAAGCAGAAGAAAATACTGGGGATGAGAGTAAGGAGCCTGTGATTTGCTCCTCCGGGCAGGCAGACTCCCTGGTATCTCCCTAACTCCGTAAGTTCTGACTCCTGTTCTATGCAGAGGTTGGAGATGCGTCTGTAGAGGGCTGGGAAGGCCCAGAAAAGGCAATGGTCCGAGCCGGATCGGGCAACTTGGTATGTGGTACGGAGTACTGCCTACAGACCCTAGGAGGTCCTCGTATTCCGAGATTTCGAAATATGTCGAGGTAAATGCGGCAGCCCCGATATGACTAGGGAGGGAGTGAACACCCCCTATTTTCTTTTACAAAAGTTCGGTTCCCTTTTTTCCCTTCCCATGCATGTACATGCATACTGTGTGCATTCCTCTGAAGCACGTTAGCAGTAGATCGACGATGTCGAGAGGGGGGCGATAGAGATTGTGGAGTTGGGGTCATTAAGCTCACTCCGCAAGCTTTGTATCCAACAATCCTATACTCCACACAATGAATCCTTCACCCGATCATCATTGTATTGATGTACAGTATTATATAGGTACACTCGACATCGTCCGAGTCCGTAGTCCGTACCCTCCCGCCCAGGAGGTCTGAAAAGATCCAGTGTGGCGGAACCTCGATGGCAGGCTCACGGTCCAGGCCAGTTGCTGACCTCGGCAAGGATGGGAATCCCTCTGCCCTACAAGAGGAAAGTCAACCATCGGAGCCGACGAGTCTTTTGCGTTTCGTTACTGATTTCCGGATTCGTCCCTAACCAAGCCACGGGGGTTGGGATGAAGACTTGGCCGGCAGATAGACAGGCCAGGCTATCGGGCAAGGCCGAGGCCGAATCAAAATAAGGTGACCTGACGAGGTGGTAACTGGGATCGTGGGAAGACAATTTGATTGATTTTCTGATCAGTCACCGGTTTAGAGCGAATGCAAAATTAAAGCCCGGAGAAGTCGAGACTATTGTTTGGGGATTAAGCATGTCCTCCACATTCGGATGGTACTTTTTACCTTTTTTCTTTTTTTCTCCCTCACGGTGTCACCGCCTCATGTGAAATCTGAAGGAAAAGAAAAGAAAAGAAAAAGTCAACGGCGGATCTCGGAGGGGAGCCAGGCTCCATCTCATAGGCACAGTGCCTGAGGAAGTACGGCGACCGTCCGGGCTGAGCCACACCACTCAAGCCAGCCAAGCCACATCGGGATATCCGTTGAAACCTTCGGGTTCCATCCTGACGGTATTTTTCGCTGTCCAGAGGTCCACCGGGTATGGGTACGGTGTATGGTCAGGGCACATGATGCGTCAATCATTCAAAGTCGGGCAAGACGATCGATGATCTTTTGCCCGGCGACTCCACTCCTCCCTGCGAATTACGGAATCGACCACAGTCCGGCCCAAAGATGGAGATACCTTAGCGGAGTGGATGTCATCTTGAGCATTACGGGGTTGGAAAAATCCCACGATCTTTTCTCCATCTCTCCTCTAGGCTCTCTCAAAAGGCCCCAGGATTGCGACTATTGAAAAAAAAAAAAAAAAAAAAAAAAAAAAGAGCTCCATCTCCTATCTGCATTCAATCACCTTCGGAACCCCTCCTTAGTTCGGAAGCTTTTCCCGACCGGTCGCTGCGACGAGACGATCCATCTGACCAATTCCACCAGAAAGTACGGAGTACGGAGGAGCAAGCAACTGATGTCAGTGACCTTTTAGCTAGTGGCCTAGACTCGTCCTGAACATGGTTGAAAATTTCTCGTCGCGATCACAGCAGGCTAAGTTGGCTAAGTCGGTTAGTGACCCTCTCGGTTGGGGCCTAACCATTCCTTCCAGGTGCAATGCCGTATATGACAGGCTCATGGAGATCGGGATCTTCGATCCTCGATCGGTATCGAATCCGGATGTATTTTCTCCTCGTCAACATCACGGTTGGCGAATTGATCATGTTGATGAACGTGCATGATCGCCAGAGTCCAGTCCAGTAGACAGGCGGTAGGTACGGATAGTCGGATACTGTACCCCGTATACGTATGTAGTTACCCACGCGCAAACCACACGCACTGTGAACTATTTGGCCCTGGAAGTGATCCCCGCGGCCTAGTCGCATGCAATTATTGGCCATCCACCCCGAAAAAGCAAAGAATAAATACCGTAGGTATTACTGAAGAAGGTGTGGTTACACAGAGATCGGACATGCTTCCCTCCACGGGTTTA